TCGAGTGGGCGGACGCGGCGAGCGACGACGACGTCGCGGTCCCGCCGCCTCCCGGACCCGCCGCCGCGCGGCGTCGCGTCCGAGGGCGACTCGACGACGACGACGACGCCGCCGCCGCCGCCGCCGCCGCCGCCGCCGCGGATCGAGGACGCGATCGCCGCCGCCGCCGCCGCCGCCGCCGCCGCGACGATCGCGGCGCCGAAAAAGACGTCGTGGGCGTCCGTCGCGCGGCGCGGGACGGACGACGCGCGCGCGGACGACGACGGCGCGGCGTTCGAACGAACCGAGAACGACGAAGAAAACCAAAAGGTGGAGGTGGAGGAGAAGGAAACTTTCGGCGTCGCGGAGGAGGAAACTTTCGGCGACGCGGAGGAAGAGATCCGGTGCGACATCAACATCCCGAACGTCCCCTCCGCGTTCGTCGCGAAGTACCTCCCGCGGGACGTCGACCTGGACGCGACGGAGGAGGCGCGCGAGGGCGACGGCGTCGTCACGCGTCGCGTCGCCGCCGCGAAGAAACTCGGCGAACTCGTCGCCGACGTCGGCGTCGGCCGCGTCGGCAAAGGCGCGTATTCCTTACACTGGTCCCCATGTGACCGCGTTCGCGCGGCGCACGCCGATCCTTGAGGATGGACTTTATCTCCCGGCGTGCGTTTCTCTCCGCCCAGCCCTCGGTTTAAACGCTCGACGTCGATGCGTTTCAACTCCCTCCAAATGACGCGCCCCCGAATGAAAACCAAAAACCAAAAACCAAAACCAAAAACCAAACGCGGCGACGCTCGCAGTCACCGTCCGACGGAACTGGAAGCACCAGCACATCGTGCAGCAAGCGGGTGGTCACTCGAACGCCGCGGACGCCACGCCGAAGTACTACGCCGTGATAGAGATCGACGCGTGGCACGACCTGGACACGCGCGACGAGCTTCTCGCCGGGAACGTCGTCAAGTACGAAGGCGCGTTCCTATGAGCGTTTAGTTCCGCGACCGCGCCGGCGTCCGCGACGCCGCGTCGACCGCGTTTCCGCGCGCCGTTCCTCGAGGACGTCACTTCCCGCGCGCGTCTGCGTCTCTCTCCGCGCACTCCTCGATGACTCGCGCGACTCCGTCTGACGACGCGCCCCTTAAATCCACCCCTACGGGTAAAATTACATACCCTCAGGCTTTTACGACGACGAGAGCGTCGCGTTTCGACGTCAACGATGGGAGCTCGGCGGCGGGAGAGAGCAGTCGCGCGGGTCCGTCAAAGGCGGGTACGACGCCTCGCGCCCCGGGTTCGGCGCGTACGCCACGGAATCGTCGACCGCCGCGACCGGGTGCCTCTCTTCGGGAGATTTCGACCGCGTCTTCGGCGTGGGGAATCGAGGAAGCGACGACGACGCGCGCGCCGACGCCGACGCCGACGCGGAGGACGAAGACGCGCTCGCGCGTCGCGGCCGCAAAGAACCCAAAGAAACGCTCGAGGGATGGGCGTTCACGGGGCGGCACCAGAACACGTACTCGAAGAAAGGGCAGCCCGTGCACGAGGGCGCGTGCGATAACTGCGGGCGCAGGTGCGAGGTGCCCTTCAGGCCGGTGATCGGAGGCAAGCCGCCGACGTGCTCGACGTGTCGGAAAAACGACGTGGAAAAGAGAGCGGGGACGTGGGCGGCGTGAGCGACGGAGGATTTGGTTCCGTCTGACGTGGCGCCTTGCGATTGGTGGACGGGTGGTTCGAGATACTGGATCTGTGGATGGAAAAACGACGCGTGGACGTGTGACGAAAGCGAGCGAGCGACGACGACGGAGCATAGACGTAGCGTAGGACGACGCTTTGTACGTGTACAGGAGAGAGAAGATGTTCACGACGACAGCCGAGACTTTGTTTTTGAAGAGAACTCAACGGCCCGTTCAACAGATCTGACGCGCGCGCAACCTTCCCCGCACACGCGCACACGCCGTCTTCCGCCTGTCATCCTCATGGGATTCATCAAGGCTGTCGCGCAGCAGCTCGTCATCACCGGCCTGCTCCTCGGCGTCGCGAAGCGAAGCGGCGTGATAAGCGTGCATCCCAGGTCCATCAGTCACGAGACCGGACGGCGCGCGTTCATGCTCTGGGTCGGGTGCTCGGACTCCATCGTCGGCCAGGTCGACTCGCTGTGGCACGGGTTCAAGAACTCGCTCAAGTGAAGCCGCGGCGTCTCGAGCGGCGGATAGCGAGGAGGCATACGATAGCGATAGCGCAGCGAGCGGAAGAGGGAGGAGGAAGGCTGAGCCCGCGCGGACGCGCGAGGATGCGGGCGGTCTCGGGACGCGGCGTGCGGCGGCCGATCGTCGCGGGGCTCCTCCTCGGCGTGATCATCGCGTCGATTCGGAACTACCTCGACCACAGGCACGCGGAGAGCAACCACAAGGGGACGTACGTCAGCGGCGACGTCTTCCACGGTCGCTTCTGGCGAGATCGCCACCGAGGAGGTGATCGTTTCCGATTCGACCGTCGTCGAAGCGGTCGCTCCGCCGCGGTCGTCGGGGACGCGGCGTCGGCGTCAGCGTCGGCGTCGGCGTCGGCGTCGTCGGCGGCGTCGTCGGTCGCATCCCTCCCCACGTCGTCCTCGAACGCATCGTCGTCCTCGAACGCGTCGTCGTCGTCGTCGTCGTCGTCGTCGTCGTCGTCCGCGCTCCCGCGGACCGACCCAGCCCCGGCCGGCGGCGCGGTCGTCGTCGACCCCCTGGACCTCGTCTACCCGGATCCGTTCGCGCCGCCGCATCTCGGCTGCGAGCCGCGGCGGCCGATGCCGGGGATCGCGGCGCCGCGCGCGCTCGATCGCATTGGGGGAGGAGGAGGAGGAGAAGACGAAGAGGAAGATGGAACGTCAACCGTCGCGTGGCCCGTGAACTGCGACGGGCACGAGGTCCTGTGCGAGCTCCTGAGGAAGACGGCGATACAAAAAGAGGTTCTGGTCGCCGTCGCGGACTCGCGCGCGCCCGGCGTGTACGCGTTCGTCGACGCGATCAAGAAGCTGCCGGTGCCGAACTTCCTCGTCGTGACCCTGGACGACGTCCTTCACGACCAGCTCGCCGCGATGAAGGTGCCGCGGTACAGGGTGAAGAACGAGAAGGGCGCGACAGGGAGCCACAAGGTGAGCGCGTTGAAGTTTACGATCATCAAAGAGTTCGTCGGCGTCGGGTGCTCCGTGCTTCTCACGGACACGGACGTGATGTACGTGCAGAACCCGTTCCCGTTTCTGTACCGAGACCACGACGTGGAGAGCATGAGCGACGGTTGGGACGGCGAAACGGCGCACGGGTGGATGGATCAGGTGGACGACCCGGCGATGGGCGCGGGCGGGCGGAGACGCGCCAAGGCGTTTCGCGTCGCCGCGTTGAACAGCGGCATGTGGTGCGTGTCGTGTGTTCTGTTCTCCTCACAATGGTCCCCATATCATACGACCGCGTTGGCGTGGTGCACGCAGTTCCTCGAGGACTTTACTTCCCGTCATTTATCTCCGCCCAGGGTCCCACGCTTTCAATCCCGACACGCCTCGACGCCTTTCAACTCCGCTTCTGACGCCTTTCGACTCCGCCCCTCAGGTACGTCTCCGCGACCCATAACTCGTTTCGTCTGATGACGATCATGGAGCACCGCATGAACACGGAACCGAACCTCTGGGACCAGGCCGGGTACAACCTCGAGCTGTGGTTCCCGTCCAGGGACGCGCACCTCACGTCCGGGGCGTCGATCCGCGTCATGGACCCGCTCTGTTTCGTGAACTCCAAGGTGATGACGCGAGTGATTCGCCACTCGCCGGCGCTGCGCAAAGAGAAGCACGTTCCCGTTGCCATGCACGCGAACTATCACACGGACAAGGCGAACAAGATGAAGAACGCGGCGGCGTACTACGCCCCCGGGGGCACGCTCCGCGCGTTCGAGCCGTGCCTCGTCGGGTGCGGGAAGGACCCGAAGACCGTGGCGGAGCTCGAGCGGAAGCACAGACACGCGGTGAACGACGGCGTCGCGAGCTCGAAGAAGTGGACCGCGGGCGCCGCGGGCGCGTGGGGCGAGCACGTCACGGAGGGCGACCAAACGGGGGGGACCCGCGCGAGAGTCTCGCTGTCGTTCGAGCGGCTCGCGGCGCGAGGAAGCGACGACGTCGCGCACTGCGCGCCCGCGAAGCCGTGGGGCGGGGCCGTCGGGAAAGAGGCGCGTTCTATACACTGGTTCCCATACGACCGCGTTCGCGTGGTGAACGCCATTCCTTAAGGACTTTGCCCGGCACATCTCTCCGCCCAGGGTCCCTCGCTTTCAATCCCCGCCCGCGACGCCTTTCAACTCCAACTGACGCCTTTCAACTCCACCCCGACGTTCGCTCGTATGGAACGCACCTAAGTTGACGCCGCGAGCGTTACACGTCGTTCCGTCGTCGAACGCGGCTCGCGTCTGCGGCGGCGGCGGCGACGCGTTGACGAAGGCGACGTGCGACGCGCTCTCGCGCGTCGTCGGCGACGCCGAGTCGCCCATCTTCATCGTCGCCGCGGACGGAAGAGATCTCGAAGCGCTTCGAACGCTCGCGACGCGCGGGTTCGCGCGGTTGCGCCTCGCCGATCGCGTCGTCGTCGTCGCCGCCGCCGCCGCCGCGGCGACGCTCGCGACCGAGCTCGGGCTCGGGTCGACCGTCGTGCGCGTCGCCGAGACCGAGACCGATACCGAGAACGGCGGGGGTGAGCTAAAGCTAAAGCTAAAGCTCGCGATGAAGTGGCGGGTCGCCGCGATCGCGCTGTCGACGGGGCGCTCGGCGCTTCTGATCGATCCGGCCACCGCGCTGCTTCGCGACCCGTCGTCTTACTTCTACCGCGACGCGGATATCGAGGCGCTCTCGGACGGGTGGGACGACACGACCGCGTACGGGTACGATCACGTCGTGGACGACCCGGACATGGACTGGTCGCGGTACGTCCACGGCGGGAGGGTGTTGAGCGTAGATCCGGGGTTCGCGTTCGCGCGACCGACGATGGAATCCGTCGCGTTGGCCGAGTTGGTGGCGTCGCGGATCCTCGGGAATTCGAAACGACGCGGTGGGAATTCGAAACGACACGATGCCGACGCGGACGCTGAGCATCTCGCGTTCAACGAGGCGATGTACCTGCCTTCGCACGGGGCGTACACCTCCCCCGGGGCGATGAAGCGCACGCTCAATTACTTGTGCTTCGCGAACAGCAAACTCGCGTTTCGATTTTTACGCAAAGACGCGCATTTCAAGGACCGCGCGAAGCACGCGCCGGTCGCGGTGCGGCTGTCGTACCACGCGCGCGAAGTGAAACGTCTGGAAGCCGTGTACGACTACTACCTGGACGGCGACGTCGCCGGGATGAACGCGTGGAGCGACGGCGTCGGGGTGAGATCGAAGGGAGAAGCCGCGGAGGAGGCGGAAAAAGCGGCGCGGGACGCGCGGCTGTGCGCCGCCGGCGCGAACGCCGCCGCCGCGTCGACGTTCACCGCGGCTGAAATAAACGCCAGTGCTATGGGCGTTTTCATCGCGAAACATTCGAACTGGTCCTGGGCGGGCATCACGCCGTTCGCGTTCGAGACGGATGGGAGGTTGAGCACGCCGTGGGGGCGAGGGACGTGGACGCTCGTCCCCGCCGCCGGAAACGCTTCGGTATCGAGCGTTTCGGGGAGCGCATCGAACGTCGCGACGCCGCCGGACGCGAACGCTCTCGTCGCGACGTTCGCGGGCGCGACGCACGTCCTCCACTTCGAGCGCGAGAACGCGCGCGGCCAAGGCGAAGGCGAAGGCGGCGGCGAGGCGTTCGACATGTTCATAAGCACGCGGTGCGGCGACGGCGACGTCGTCGTCGGCCGCGCGGTCGTCGCGGACGGCGACGCGACGTGAGATTCGATGCGTACAGTACTACTTTCGAAATGCGAAACGATGCAAAATAGTCCATGATCGCGTCGACGCGCCGCGCTCGATGATAGTCTATCTCGACGCGCGTTCGAGAGTTCGACCCGGAAGATGCTCGAGTTTGTTGATCGATGGTTGAAAGGCAAAATCTGGCGTTTGAACGCCGCGATCGCCGCGTCCGTCGATTTCAAAGAGAAACCACCGATCAAATCGACCCCGCGCGCGGGCGATTCTCCGCCCGACGTTCCCGCGCCGAGATCGATCTGCGCCGCCGCTTCGAAACGCCTTCGCGCCATTCCCGCCCGCCCGCGCCGCCGCGTCCCCGCGTCGTCGCCCGCCGCAGGCAGCGCGTCTCGCATCGCACCGCACCGCACTCGACCCGACCCGACGAAAGCGATGGCGACGCTCGCGGAGCTCACCGCGTCGCTGACGACGCTCCGCATCGCGTACGACCCCGCGCTCGTCCCGCCCGGCGGCGCGGAGGTCGTGTCCGCGTGCGTCTCGCCCGTCTCCGGCGAGGGGCGAATGACCGCGGAGCCCGCGGGGAGAAAGTTCCACGAGAAGGCGATGCGCGCCGCGGGGCTCCTCTCCGCGGACGACATCGCCGCGGCCGCGGCCAAGGCGGAAGCCAAGGCGGCCGCGAAGCTCCGAGCAGAGCGGACGCCGTCCACGCCGCTGAGCAACCGCGGCTCCGTCGCGTCGTTCGGAGCGATCGAGAACGACGACCCGGAGTCGCAGGAGAACGACGCGTCGTACAAAGGTCCGAAGGAGCTCATCCGCGTCGGGAACAGGGAGTGGCCGGACCTGTACGACGTCATCGGCCTCGGCCGCGAGCGCTACCTGGCGACCGAGAAGCAGATCCGCGACGAGTACAAGCGGCGATCGCTGTGGCTGCATCCGGACAAGTGCGGCGTCGCCAACGCGAGCGAGGAGGACAAGGAGAAGATCGAGGCGCGGTTCAAGAACCTGCAGCTCGCGCTCGAGACGCTGACGGACACGAAGCGCCGTCGCGAGTACGACTCCGTGGACGCGCCGCCGACGAAGCTGCCGAGCGATCTGAGCCCGGAGACGTTTTTCGACGTCGCCGTTCCCGCGTTTAAATCGCTCGCCATGTTTTTCGACGGGAAGCAAGACGCGAACAAGTTCATCGAGGCGGACCCGGACGCGCCGTTCGAGAGGGTGCGAAAGATGTACGAGTTCTGGGCCAAGTTCAAGTCCTGGAGAGAGTTCCCCGCGAACGACGAGGAGGATCTCGAGCAGGCGGAGGACCGCTACGCGCGTCGAGAGATGGAACGCGAAAACAAGGCGAAACGCGAAAAGGAGAAGAAGCTGGACACGAAGAAGATCAAGACGTTCGTGGAGCGCGCGGAGGCTGCGGACCCGCGCGTGATCAAGAAGAAGCTCGAGGAGAAGGAGGCGCGCGAGGCGAAGAAGCACGCGAAGGGCGCGGGGAGGCGAGAGGCGGAGGAGGCGGCGAAGAAGGAGGCGGAGGCCGCCGCCGCCGCCGCCGCCAAAGGTGCGTTCCACACACTGGTCCCCATACAACCCCGTCGGCGTGGTGAACGCTGATCCTTAAGGACTTTTCCCGGCGTGTCTCTCCGCCCACCCCCCGCTTTCAATCCCCGCCCTCGACGCCTTTCAACTCCATCTGACGCCTTTCAACTCCACCCAAAGCCGCGGAGGACGACAAGCTCGCCAAGGCGAACGCGAAGAAGGAGCTCGAGAAGCAGAAGAAGGCGCTGCGCAAGGAGAAGGCGCGCCTGCGCGAGATCGCATCGACCGCGGAAGGGTGGGTCGGGCACCCTGGGGAGGAGGACGTCGAGGAGCTTTGCGGCGCGCTGAGCTTCGACGCGATCAAGACGCTGTGCGACGCCGCGGAGGGCGCCGACGCCGGCGTCGTCGTCGAGGGGCTGTGCAAAGCCCTCGCGGGGATCGAGAGCGCGAAGAGCGACGCGAGGAAGCAGGCTGCGGAGGAGGCTGCGAAACGCGTCGCCGCAGAGAAGGCGTCCTCGGACGGGGGCGGGGCGGCGAAGTCGGAGCCGTGGGATGACGAGGACGAGCTCAAGCTTCTGGACAAGGCGTGCAACCAGAAGTTTCCGATGGGGACGAAGGAACGCTGGGAGCGCGTGGGGGAATATCTGACCGAGCACGGGCCGCGCGCGCGGACCGCGAAGGAGGTGATGGTTCGATACAAGGCAGGGCTTTAACTTCCCATCGCCGTCCGCGTCGCGTCGTCCGATCGCCGAACGTATTATTTTTCATCGTCTCCGACGAGTCGCGACTGCGCGCGCGGCGCCGCTCTTTTAATCATAACTTATTAATAACCGAGATGACATCGTATTCATTCCAACGCGTTGCATCGTTCGCGTGACCCTACGCGTAGCTGGGCGTGAAACCTTCCGGCGCGGATTACGACAACTTCAAGAGCGCGAGGGATAAGAAGGGCAGCGCCGAGGTGACGGACGCGGCGACGACGCGCGAGCACGCGTTCACGGACGTCGCCGTCAAGAACCTGGTGCGCGGACGCCCTGTGCCGCACTGTGCTCTCTCGCGCCCAAACTCCGCGCCGACCGACGCGCACGCGAAATCCTAAACCACAAACCACAAACCCCAAACCCTAACCCCCCTCCCCTCAGGATCAACACGGGTGGAGCGAAGAGCAGCGCGGGTTCCTCGCGCGCGCCATCGAGGCGGTGCCGAAGAGTGACGCGATGAAGGACTCGGAGCGATGGAAGCAGATCGCGGCGTGCGTCCCGGGGAAGGACGCGAAGCAGTGTTTCGAGCGGTACAAATCCCTCCGCGAAGATTTCAAGGCGGCGAAGGCGGGCGCGTGATGACGTTTTGTGATTTCGGAGGAGCGCGTTTAGTTCGCCGACGACGTCGACGAATGAATTATTACGTTTGTTTTCTTTCAATCGCGCCCGCGCCCGCGCCCGCTCAAAGCGGTCGGGTCTCTCTCCTATCCTTCTCCCTCGCTGACCGATCACAGCACGCCGCAGTCCGCGATCACGAGCGTTTTGCTCGTCTTCCCCCCCCCGCTGCCGAACTTTTCCATCGCCTTCACGACGTCTTCGTACCCTTCGATCACCTCGCCGAAGACGACGTGTTTCCCGTCGAGATGCGGCGTCTCCGAGGTGGTTATGAAAAACTGCGAGCCGTTCGTCCCAGGGCCCGCGTTCGCCATGGACAACAGACCCGGCTTGGTGTGTTTCACCTTGAAGTTTTCGTCGTCGAACTTCTCGCCGTAGATGGACTCGCCGCCGGTGCCGTCGCCGTTGGTGAAGTCGCCGCCCTGGCACATGAAATGCGGAATGACGCGGTGGAAGCCCGACCCCTTGTACGCCAGCGGCGTCTTCCCGTCCGCCGTCGCGCCCTTATCGCCGAGGCACAGGTGCTTAAAGTTATCGCACGTCTTCGGCGTCGTGTTCCCGTAGAGACCGAACGTCACGCGCCCGAGCGGCTCGCCGTCCGCGGTGACGTCGAAGAAGCATCTGTCCGTGAAGGTCACGTCCGGAGGCACGTCGTCGCGCTTGAGGAGAAACTCCCACGGGACGGGCGAACACTTCTTCAGCACCACGCGCACGACCCTCAGCCCTTTCTCGTTAGTGTCGATCTCCCAGTACGAGTCGTCCACGAAGCACGTGTTTGTCAGCGCCTCCTTGTCGAAGTACTTGGGGTGCCCGCGCACGCCGATCGATAGCTCTTTGCCGTTCATGACGTAGTCGACGTCTTTGCCCTTGACGTTGGAGTCGACCGGGATTTCGACGTGGACTTCGCCGTTCGTGTCTTGGTTCCACTCGTGGTACTCCATCCGTGCCGTATCGCGTCGATATCGCGCGGGGGGGGGGCGGGGGGGCGTCGCGGGGGAGGGCGCGCGCGGGGACGAGTGCGATCGCGGCGTTCTTCGAAGGCTCTGGAAACTTATTATTGACAAGACACTTTCCGCGACGATTCGCATCCCGGATCAGACGGGCGCGCGCGCATTTCTTCGCGAACCACCCTACCGACGGCCGAGACGACTACCGCGGCCGCCTCGCCGGGGCTTTCATCGGCGACCAGTGCCTCGGCAGCGGCGGCGCCGCGTCCGCCGGCGCCGCGGTCGTCAGCAAGAGCGCGGTCTCGTAGCGCATCATCCGCCGCCGCCGCCCGCCACCGCCGTTTTCGTCGCCGCCGCCGTTTTCTTCGCCGCCGTCTGAGGGTCGTTCTATACGAGCGAACGTCGGGGTGGAGTTGAAAGGCGTCAGTTGGAGTTGAAAGGCGCCGAGGGCGGGGATTGAGACCGAGGGGTGGGCGGAGAGAAACGACGGCAAAAGTCCTTAAGAAACGGCGTTCACCACGCGAACGCGGTCGTATGGGGACCAGTGTATAGAATGCACCCGAGAGCTGACCGAGCAGCCCGCACCCCTCGCCTCTCTGCACGACCGCCGCGGGAGGCGCGAGCGGTCGCACGACGCGCGCGCGCGCGGAGTCGCCGAGCGCGCCGAGGCGAGCGCCGTGCGTCGCGTCCGCGATCGCGTGCCACAGCCGAGCGCACGTCATGGCGCGCGGGTTTCGCAACCCGCGAGCGATCGAGACGCCGCCGCCGCCGCCGCCGCCGCGTCGCGCCGTCGACGCCGTCTTAATCGCTCGAACCTTCACCTCCTCCCGGCACCCGCCGCCGTCCGCGTCGTCGTCCGCGGTGGTGTTCGATGATGAAACGGTCGACGCGTATGCGTTTCCGCCGCTCGCGCCGAGGAGCAGGCTGCGCGCCTCGCCGCCGCGTCGAACGCATCCGCCGACGCGCCGCCGACGGAAATCGATCGTCGCCTCCGTCGCGGTCTTCTCGCACGTCACCGTGACCCGTCCGCGCAGCGACGCGCGCGGGAATTTCCCTTTCAAGAACCCGCCGACGCGGACGCTCGGGAGGTTGAACGCGTACACTTCATCGGTCGCGACCGGCCCGCCGCCGGCGTCGGCGTCGGCGTCGGCGTCGGCGTCGACGTCGACGCCGCGGACGCGTCGGAGAAAATCAGGGTGCCCGCCGGCGCCGCCGAGTTCGATGTAACACCCCTCGCGAACGGCGTCGCCGTCCGCCCTCGGCGGGTCGTCCGGCGGCGGCGGCGGCGGCGGTGGCAGGTCGATCACCAGCGTGGACCCGACGAGCGCGCAGGTGGGCGCTGCAGAAGAGGAAGAGGATGAGGAGGGGGGAGGGTCGGGGCGCGGAACGCCAAAAAAAAACCAAAAGAAAACAAACAAAAAAATGGGGCGGGCGGCGCACCCGCAGCGACCTTCGCGCTGCCCCACACGCGCTGTCGTCGTCCGTCCACGAAGTGATCCACCGTCCGCACCGCGTCGTCGTACGCGTACGAGCACTGGTCTTGGACGTGCGCGTCGAGGCCGTCGGCGCGCGCGAGTCGGCGAACGAGGTGGGATCCGAGCGGAGGATCGCCGCCGCCGCCGCCGGCGTCGGCGGCGGCGGCGTCTTCCGCGGACACCAGCGCGTCGCACAGCGAGAGCACGCCGCCGCACACGATCTCCATGCGCGTCACCGCGTCGCGCTCCGTCGCCGCGGCGCGGACGACGTCCGCGAGCGCGGCGTGGACGCGCTCGACGCCGCCTCCGCCGTCGTCGTCTCCGGCTCCCGCGACCGCGCGCGCGTTTGCATTTTTTATTCCGGACCGACCGGCGCGCCGCGCGCGCGCCCGCTCGCCTTCGTCCGCGTCCCTCGCGCCGTCGTCGTCCTCCGCGTCGTCGCGCTCGAGCCGCGCGCGCAGCGCCGCGGCCGCGGACGCGACGCCCGCGCCGCCGCGCCGCGAGACGTCGCGCGCCCACCAGCAGTCGTCGCCGTCGCCGTCGCCGTCGCCGTCGCCGTCGTCGTCGTCGCGCGCCGCGTCCGAGGGCGACGCCGCGCCCCCTCTCCCCTCCCCGAGCCCGCGCCCCGCGTTCTCGTCGCGCGACGCGTCCTCCGCGCGCGGCGGCGAAGACGTCGACCGCGGCGGCGACGGCGACCGCGAGTCCGTCGCGGCGGCGCGGAAGGGGAAGAGGCACAGCGCGGACGTGCGGCGCGCGACCCTTCCCATCCTTCCTGTCGACGTCGCGCCCGCCGCGCCGCCGCACCCCGTGCGCGCGCGCGCGTTATCTCGACGACTCGAGCCGGCGACGGCGGGCCGAAGGGAGAGGCCGTGATCGCGCGAACGCGAGCGCCTCGATCGGTCGACCGAAGAAACGTCGATCGCACGAACCCGAACCCGCCTCGAGAAGGACGCGCCGGCGAGCTGAGAGGGCCGTCTGGTCGGCGACTTGAAGAAAAAATCTCTGAGAGCTCGTGGTACAACAACTAGTATATATACGTTCGGCTACATCCTCCCCCCCACCACATCCCCCCTCACGCGTCCACCGCGCTGTCGTTCAGCGCGCAGCACACCGCAGCCTTGTGATGCCCGCTGTACACGCGTATCGCCTCCCCGCTCGCGCAGTCCCACAGCCGCGCCGTCGTGTCGCTCGACGCCGTGACTAAATACGCCGCGTCGACGCTGAGGGTCGTTCCATACGAGCGAACGTCGGGGTGAAGTTGAAAGGCGTCAGTTGGCGTTGAAAGGCGCCGAGGGCGGGGATTGAAAGCGAGGGGTGGGCGGAGAGAAGCGCCGGGCAAAGTCCTTAAGAAACGGCGTTCACCACGCCAACGCGGTCGTACGGGGACCAGTGTATAGAACGCACCTAAACACGCAGTCCCACACCCACCTCTGATGCCCCTCCAGCACGCGCTCGAGCTTGAACCCGTCCAGGTTCCACAGCTTGACCGTCTTGTCGCTGCTCGTCGTCGCGAGCAGCCGGCAGTCCGGCGAGAGCAAGCACTTGAGCACGTACGCGTTGGGATGCGCGTTGAGCTTAGGGCCGTTCCATACAAAGCGACGTCGGGGTGGAGTTGAAAGGCGTCAGAAGCGGAGTTGAAAGGCGTCGAGGTGTGTCGGGATTGAAAGCGAGGGGTGGGCGGAGAGATGCGATGGCAAAAGTCCTTTAGGAACGGCGTTCACCACGCCATCGCGGTCGTATGGGGACCAGTGCAAATATGAACACACCTTGTGTAACGGCTCGAAGTGCGCCGTCGTCTTCGCGCCTCTGCGGAGCTTCCACACGTAGCACGTCCCCGTGCTGTTCGCGGCGACGACCAACGACCCGTCGCTCGCGATGGAGACGCTTCGTATCGCGCTGCCAACCTCCGGGACGAGCTCGCAGCTGCACGCGTTCGCGGTGAGGTCCCAGACGCGGACGTTGCCGTGCTGGTCGCCGCTGATGAGTTCCGTCTGAGGACGAGGGTCGAGGGTGAAGGGTCGAGGGTGAAGGGTCGAGGGTCACGCGACGCGACGTCGGGGTGAAGTTCAAAGGCGTCAGGCGGAGTCGAAAGGCGTCGCGGCGCGCGCGTCGGGATCGAAACCGAGGGACCCTGGGCGGAGAGAGTCGCCGGGCGAAGTCCTTAAGGATCGGCGTTCACCACGCCAACTCGGTCGTATGGGGACCAGTGCGATAACGGGACGCGCCTGATTCGGGTGCAACGCCGCGCACGTCACCGCGCCTCTGCTCTCGTACTCTCGCTGGTACCCCCCCGCGCGCAGGTCCCAGATCTTCACCGTCCCGTCGTCGCTGCCGCTGTACATCCACCGCCCCTCGCGTTCGAACCCGACCGCGTTGACGTTTCCGGAGTGCCCGTCGTACGACGTCACCGGCTGCGGGTTGCTCGTGTGGACTACGCGTCGAGAGGGAGGATCGAAGAGCGTCGAGAGGACGCGTCGCGTCGGTCAGACGAGGGCGTCTCACGGGTGAAGTGACGGAAACGGGAACGGAAAGGTCGGCGTCGTGAGGGAGTCGCCCACCGGGGGGGGCGAAGAGCGACGACGGCGGGCGCGCGGTGAACGAGTGTCTGTCGCGCGAGACGCGCGCGGTAGACGCGCGCACCTTCGTAGAGCCTGACGTGCGGATTCCCCGCGGCCGCGAGGTACTGCTTGTCCGGCGTGATCTCGAGCTTGTTCACCTGCGAGTCCGCGTACTGCAGCGTGCGATAGCAGATCCCGCGCGTCGCCTCCCAGAAGCGGACGGTGTGGTCGTATCCCGCGGTCGCGAGGACGACGGAGGGGTTCGGCATGCCGCCGTCGTCGAAACGCGACGGACGCGCGCGATCGATCTCCCAGTCCGTTCCGCGTTTCCTCGTCCGCCGCGAGCGGGCTTCGGTCGCGACCGCGACTCCCGCGCCGAGTCCGACGCGCGCGGCGGCGTCGCGCGTCCTCGAGCGCGGCGCGAGGCGTGAATCGACCTCGCGCGGAGGCCGCGCGGGCGCGTGTGACGCGAGCGAATTTCAGGGTTGTCGAGTTGAGACCTCATTTGGTCTCGCGCGCTGACGCTGACGATGTCATATTTTCGCCGCCGCGGCTACGGATACTACATACCCCACCTATCGTCGCTACGACACCACGCGGCGCACGTCGTCGCGGATCGCGTCATAAATACCGCGTCAACTGCACCGAAAATTTCCCCTTCTTCGTCGTCTCCACCTCGCCCACCTCGACCCGCCCTTTCCCCCGCAGCGAGATCACGTCCCCGGTCGCCACGACGGTTTTCGGCTTGCACCTGCGTGGGTGAAGCGATCGGTAAGTCGAACGTCTTACCGGTCAAACGTTGAAAGGGAAGCGCGGGTGAAGAGTGACGACGGGAAAAGTCCTTAAGGAACGGCGTGCACCACGCGAACGGGGTCGTATGGGGACCAGTCTCACCCCTCCCTCCAGTTCACGCGCACCGCGCCCGACGTCACGAGGTCCGACATCTTGCTCCGCGACATTCTGAACCCCGCGGACGCGATCGCGTCTAAGCGCATCGACGCCTCGACGCTGTTGAACGCGTCCACGCGCGGGGGCGGGACGCGCAGGTCGGAGAGCGGAGCCGCCGCGCACGCGACGGGGACGCTGCGCACCGACGTCAACGCCTGCGCGCGATTGAATTGACCACGCGAGGCGACGTCGGGGTGGGGCTCGAAGGCGTCATATGGAGTTGAAACGCATCGACGTCGAGCGTTGAAACCGCCAAGGGGTGGGCGGAGAGAGACGCCGGGCGAAGAAACTCCTCGAGGAACGGCGTGCGCCGCGCCGATGCGGTCGCGCGGGGACCGTATGGCGCGAGGGAGAAAGTCCTTAAGGAATGAAGTTCACAACGCGAACGCGGTCATATGGGAACCAGTGCCATCATACAAACGGGACGCGCCTGCGATAAAAACGTCGCCATCTCCGGCGTGGCGAGCACCTGCGCGCCTCGCTCGCCCTGAACCAAGATGTCCCCGACCCTGTCGCGCTCGATCCCCGTCCCGAGCACCGCGCCGAGGAAGTCGCGGTGGTCCGCGGCGTCGAACATGAAGTTGCCGGAGACTTGCAACAGCGCGACGACCGCCGCGCCTGAGGGTCGTTCCGTACAAAAAAAGTTCACGGGTCAGTTGAAAGGAGACACGATCAAGTGTTGAAACCGGGCGATGGGTGAAAAACGTTTGTATGCTGAAACGCACCTGACGCCGTGTCGTCGCCCGACAGCTCCGCGAACGACGACCCGACCCCTCGCCGCTCGTCGCCCTCCGACGCCGGCGGCGCGTCCAACACCTCCGCGCGTCCGATGACGAGGCGCACGCGCTCCGCGCGGTCGTATCCGCCCCACGGCCTCGCGTCCACGTCCGCCATGCGCCCCACGACGGCGAGCGCGTCCGCCGCGAGCGCGGGGTCGAGGAACGGCGTGACGTGCACGCTCCACGCGTCCGACGCCGCCTCCGCGCGCTCCGCGATGCTCGCGCACGCGACGAGCGAGTCGGGGTGCACGCCGGAGAGGAGTCCGGACGCTCGCGGGGGATCCTTGTCCTTGCCCTTGCCGCCCTTAGCGGCGACCGTCGTCGTCAGCCGTCGTCCGCCGCGACGATGCGACGCGCGTCCGCGCGTCGTCGTCGTCGTCGTCGTCGTCGTCGTCGTCGTCCACCCGCGTCGAGCGGCGCGTCCACCGATCGCCGCCGCGCGCGAAGACGCGGCGGGCGTCGCCGCGCGGACGCCGAGGCGCGCGAGCAGCGCGGGACGCAGGGACGCGAGCATCGCGCGACGCGCGGTGACGACGAGCCGGCGTGGTCGCGGACTGGGCGGAGACACGCGTCTATCCATTCTTTTCTCTTCTCGCGTGCGTGCGCGCGTGCGGTGCTGAGACTGGACGCGCGCTCATCATCACTTTCCCGCCGTCGGAAACACCGGCCACAACGCGACGCAGCCGTCCCTCGACGCGGACGCCAACACCCCCCCGCCGTCGTCCTCCCCCCCGCCGACCCCAGCGAACGCCACGGACGTGACGACGTCAGAATGAAACGCCAAAGACGCGAGCGTTTTCGGTGTCTTCCCTCGATACGCGTACACCCGCACGCGGCCGTCCCTGGAGGTCGTTCCATACAAAGCGACGTCGGGGTGGAGTTGAAAGGCGTCGGTTGGAGTTGAAAGGCGCCGAGGGCGGGGATTGAAAGCGAGGGGTGGGCGGAGAGAAGCGCCGGGCAAAGTCCTTAAGGATCGGCGTTCACCACGCCAACGCGGTCGTATGGGGACCAGTGTATAGAACGCACCAGCACGCGGCGGCGACGAGCTTCCCGTCCCCGCGAATCGCGACGTCGCTCACGCCCGCGCCGGCGGCGCGACCGCCCCACCGCGCTCTATCCGCGACGTTAGCGCTCGGGGTGTAAGGCCCGTGCGCGTGCCGCATCGTCACCGTGGCGGTAGGCGTCGTAGTAGTGGCGGCGGCGTCGAAGGCGAGACTAAACGCGCACACGCGGCCGTCGGCGCCGCCGGTGACGAACCCGGCGCCGTCCGCGTCCGCGGCGACGCACGTCGCGGCGTCTTCGTGCACTCTGTCGCGCCACAGCGGCGATTCGTCTTCGTTTTCTTCGTTCGCTGCGGCGCGACGGTTCGGATCCCACAGCGCGACCGTGCCTTCTTCGTACGCGGCGAGCAACAGAGGCGGGCGCGCGTCGTCGCTGTCGTCGCCGCCGCGTCTCGGGACGAAACTCAACGCCATAACCGCGCCCGCGCCCTTCTCGTGTGCGACGGTTGACGTTCCATCTTCCGCCGCCGCCGCGCCGCCGCGCATCACGAGCTTCGTCACGAGCGTCGGCCCGCCGCATTCGCCGCCGGAGGCGGAGGGAAGGCACAGGACGTCGACGCCCGACGTCTCCGCCGCCGCCGCCGCCGCGAATGAGGGCCGTTCTATACAAGCGAATGTTAGGGTGGAGTTCAAAGGCGTCAGGTGGAGTTGAAAGGCGTCGATGGCGGGGATTGAAAGCGTGGGGTGGGCGCAGAGACACGCCGGGAAAAGTCCTTAAGGATCGGCGTTCACCACGCGAACGCGGTCGTATGGGGACCAGTGTATAGAACGCGCCTGATGACGCGCCGCCGCCGCCTGACGCGGCGGCGACGGCGAACTTACAGAAGTGGTACGCCCCCGTGCTCGCGGTCCACGTCGCGTCCGCGGGCGTCGCCGCGCTCGGCGACGCCGACGACGCCGACGCGAACGACGGCGGCGCGCGCCAGCACTTCAGCGTCCCGTCGCGCCCTTGGCTCAGCACGGACGCCGCGGACGAGGACGTCTCCGAGGAGGACGACGACGACGACGACGACGGCGCGAGGGCCACCGCGAGCGTCCCGGACGACGGCGTGTGCGCGCGCGTCCGCCACGCAGGGCGGCGCGTCGTGAGGTCCCACGCGACGACGTCGCCGTTGCTGTCCCTGGAGAGAGAGGGAGGGAGGGAGGGAAGGAGGGAGGGAGACGTCGGCGACGCGCGGGGGGTCGCGGATGGACGGAGAGAGACGCCGGGCAAAGTCCTTAAGGATCGGCGTTCACCACGCGAACGCGGTCGTATGGGGACCAGTGTATAGAAGGTCGCGCATCGATCGATCGATCGCGCGGCGCGACGACGACGAGAGACTGGTCTCCATACGACCGCGTTCGCGTGGTGAACGCCGATCCTTAAGGACTTTGCACGGGGGAGAGACGGACGCGCGAGGGCGGAGGACGCGCCCGGAGAGGAGGCATCGCGCGTCGTCCAGGCGCGCGAACGCGAGGCACTGCACGTCCGCGCCGTGCCCGCGCAGGACGACCGGGTCCGGCGCCGGGTTCCCCATGCGCGCCGCGCCGCCGCCCCGAGCGCGCGGACGTCGTCTAGCCCGACGAACCGATCGAAGTTGATGAAAGTTTAACGACAACAGTCAACTGTCATCTCTCGCAGACCGCCCCCGCGCCGCGCCGGCCGCGATGTCCGCCTCGCCCGCGGCGTCGCTTCGCCGGCGCCAGACCGAGATCCGCAAGCTCCTCCGCGGCGGCTTCACGAAGCACGCGCTGCTTCGGCGCGCGATGGAGGGTTGGAAAGACGCGGGGCGGGACGCGCTGACGGACATCGCGAACGCGCTCGCGCTCCGCGGCGAGGGCGCGTCGCGTCCGCTCCCGGAGCATCTCTCGACGCTTCCGGGGCTGACGGAGAAGATCAAGGCGAAGCGAGAGGCGAAGTTCGAGGCCGCGCTGAGGGCGCTGAGGAAGGTGCGAGGGGGATGGCGCGCGAGAGAGGGCGACGACGACGACGACGAGGAGGAGGAGGAGGAGGAGGAGGAGACGCGCGCGAAGAAGGCGGAGAAGGACAAAAAGAAGGGCGGCGGCGGCGACGGCGACGCGGCGTTCGTCGCGGCGCTGACCGAGGTGGACGCCGTCGTCGACGCCCTCCGCGCGCTCCTCGACGGCGACGACGACGACCTCGCCGCGCTGTTAGACCCGGACGACGCCGCGACGACGACGACGACGCGCGGGAGGAAGAAGAAGAGGGAGGACGACGTCGACGACCCGCCGTTCGGCGGCGCGTCGGCGTCGACGCTTCTCGACATGCTCGAGCGCGCGACGGAGGCGTACCGCGAGGATTACTTCGTGAAGCGCGAGACCCTGGACGCCGTGCTCGACGCCGCCGCGTCCGCGACGAGGGAGAAGGAGAAGGAGAAGGAGAAGAGCCGCGGCGGCCGCGGGACGGACGACGAGGGAGGAGAGGCGCGCGGGGAGGGCTCGAAGGATCAACATTCGTTGGACCTGAGCCACGAGACGCTGACGACGCTCGTGGCGACGTGGATCTTGTCGCCGGCGATCGACGACGACGCCGTCGACGAGTTCGCCGCCATCGCCGCGAGGGAGACGAGCGCGACGTGAGGGAAGGGTGCGGTAGTAGGGTGGCGGTTTTAGGGTTTAAGGATGCATAGTTTACAGCGCTACTAGGGTGCTCGCGTGCCGCGGTCTATGATGAACGTTTTTTCTGGTTTTTTTTTGGCGCAGCGCCCGCCTCACGCGCCCGCGCCGACGCGCTCGCCGATGGCCTCGAACCCGACGAACGTCGGACTGCCACCGCGTCCGCGCGGCTTCTCCCCCGCCGGGCCGACGCGCTCCGGGTTCCCGTCGACGCTCCACCGCCGCCGCCGTTCCGCGTCGTCGTCGCCGCGTTCGAAAATCGGCGTCGTCGTCGCGAAGAGGAGCGGCTTCGTCGCCGGGTCGCTCCGCGCGCGCGCGCTCTTCGTTCCCCCCGCGCCCGCGGCGTCGTCGCGCGCTCCACCAACGCAGCTCTGCGCGGGCACGAGCCACTTGCTCATGATGCTGCTCGGGCGCCGCCACGGCGGTTGCGACATCCCGTTCGCGTCGAAACTCGCCCGCATCTCGTCGCAGACCACGTCCACGAGTTTCGCCAAATCCAGCCGCGTGCCGACGAAGCGCTCGGGGAGACTTCGCAGCAGTCGCGAGTACGCCTCCGTCGGGCGCGAGACGACGAAGTGCGCGCGGATGTCCGGCTCGAGGATGAGCGTCGTCTCGTCGTCGCGCGCGGGAGGCGCGGGAGGCGCGGGAGACGCGTCGGAGGAGGAGGGATCCGCGCGCGCCGCCGCCGCCGTCGTCGCCGCCGCGCCGCCGCCGCCGACGTCGATCCAAAGAAACGCGTGCCTCAGATTCAGGAGCGCCGCGCGGCCGGTGCTCCCCGGCGCGACCGCGACGTTCGCCCTCGACGTTGACCCCGAGACGCTGCCACCGCCTCTGCCGCTGCATTCGGAGCCGTCGCTGACGTACCCTTCCGCGACGTGCGAAGACGCGGTGGTGGGCCGCCGCGAATGAAAATCATCATCGTCGTCGGCGGCGGCGGAGATGGCTTCGAACGCGACGCGCAGGCGTTCCACGTGCGCGTCGTCGCCCATCTCTCCCGGGCCGACCTCGAGGCACGCGGCGTCGAACCTGTCGCGTATCGCGCGCGCGAGGTCGTTCTTGGGGCGCGTCAGCTCGCGCGCGAGTCTGCGGACGGAGGAGGAGGAGGGGAGGGCGAGGATGATGAGAAGACGACGAAGCGAAGGGTTTAGAATAATGTGCGTTTTTTCGAAGCCGAAGGGACGCGGGCGGAAGACGATCTCGGAAGGCTCGCGCGCGCACCTCACGCGCGCGTCTTCCGCGCTCTCCGCCAGGGTTAACCTCGGGAGCTGTCGCGCGAGCGTCGGCGGCGTCGGCGGCGGCGTCGGCGCGCGCGACCCCGACCCCGTGTCGAAGAGCAGGTCGAAGTCGAACGTCGCGTCGTCGACGTCGACGTCCATCGCTTCGTCGATCTTATTCCTCCCCGAGGCGGGCGACGCGGGCGCGTCTCGCGGCGCGAGCGCGAACGACGCGTTCGTCGCCGTCGTCCGCGCGGGCCACAGCCGCGGCGGGAACTGCTCCGGCGACGTCTTGCGAAGACCGGGGAACGTCGCGGTCCCGGGCTGCGGGAGCAGCGTCGTCGTCATCGCCAGCCCCCGCGCGCGTCGAATGTGGATATTCCAGATAACAAGATGCGCGCGCTTTTAACAAACGCAGCGCGCGCGCGGTGTCGACGCGCGCGCGGACGCGTCGACGCGCGCGAGGGGCGGCGTCGACGCCTCGCGAGGTTTTCTCGAGAGTCGCGCGGCGGCGAGTCGCGTGACCGCGCGTGCGCGTGCCGAGCGCGCGTCGAAGTGACGACGGAAGGGAGCGGGCGGCGATCAGAATATACGCGCGCGATATGCCTTCTGATTTGCCTGAACGATGAAAATATTGACGTGTGCGCGCGTGTGTCCGCAATACGAATACAACGTTGTACAGCTGTATGTCAGAACAGTTACATAGTTGAGAGTATAACAAAAGTGACACGCGCGCGTAAGCGAGTTTATACAATTCGCGCGTTCAGAATAATTGTTAGATTTTTTTCGAGAGAATCCAAAATTGGATTTTCAACCGCGGAGTGACGAGGGGGCCGATCAAGCGGATCAACTTCGATCGGTGTGTCACCGCGCGACCGGTGCGTCATCGGACGCCCCGACCGCGGTTCGCTTTTTGGCATCCAGAAGAGAGCGACGAGCAGAAGAGAGCGAGAGCGCGAGTGCACTTTTCTTTCCCCACGGCGGCAATCGTTCATTTCCATTCACTCGCGACGCGCGCGGGAGCAGGCACAAGTCGCGCGATGGCGTCCGCCGCGCCGTGCTCCGTCCCGACCGTCTGCGCGAGGCGAACGGCGCCGAATCACCGCCACCGCGCCTCCTCCTCCTCCGCGCGGCCTCCGCGCCCCTCGGGATTCGCGCGCCTCGGGAGACGCGACGACGCGGGCGAATGCGTCGTCGTCAGATTCACGAGAGTCTCGGTGGCGGCGGCGGAGACGTCCGAGGAGACCGCGAAGAACGACGCCGCCGCGGACGACGCCGACGCCGCCGCCTCCGACGACCCCTTACACGCGCTCGTCGGCGAGTCCTTGGTCGCCGCGGCGACGGACCTCAAGACGACGGAGCTCAAGGCGCGCCTCGCCGCGATGGGCGTCTCCGCGACCGGGCTTAAACCTACGCTCGTCGACCGCCTCGTCGCGTGCGTCGAGATGCGCGCGCGCGGGGAAGACCCGGCCGTCATCATGCGCGCGAGGGCGCTCAAGAAGAAGAGCGCCATCGAGGACGAGAAGGCGGCCGCGATCGCGCGCCGCGACGCGCGCCGCGCGAAGCGCACCGGCAGCGCGGAGGGCGCGTACGCGCTCTCCAAGCAGACCGCGAGGGCGATCCGCGCGCGGAAGCAGACGGGAGCCAAGGGCAAGACGAAGCCGAGGGCGCCGCGAGCGGAGGAGTTCGACGTCGAACTTCCGCCGGACCCGGACGCGTCGAGCGAACTCGTCGGGAGCAGCTCGTTCGCGGGGGGGCGCGAGGGCGGCGGCGGCGGCGTCGGAGGGAGGAACAAGATGAACAAGATCTTGCGCGACCTCGCGACGCAAGAGGAGCTCGTCGCGGATATAGCCGCGGATGGCGGAATCGACGGCGACGGCGAAAATCATCAATCCGATCGCGATCGGGACTCGCGAGACCGACAGACCGGATGGTTCACCGTCGCGGTCCCGGAGAACCGCGAGGACCGCGCGGCGGCGCAGATCCTGAGCCTCAGCGACACCCCCGCGAGCGATAACACAGAGGTGAAGGTGTGGGTCCCGCGCGTGCCGCCGAGAGACTACGTAGCGAGCGAGTCCGAGGCGCGTTCTATACACTGGTCCCCATACGACCGCGTTGGCGTGGTGAACGCCGATCCTTAAGGACTTTTCCCGTCGCATCTCTCCGCCCAGGGTCCCTCGCTTTCAATCCCGACACACCTCGACGCCTTTCAACTCCACCTGACGCCTTTCAACTCCACCCCGACGTTCGCTTGTATGGAACGACCCCGAGGCGCGCGAAAAGTCGCCGCTGGATTTGTGCCGCGCCGTGCCGAGCGACCTCGACGGCGCGGAGATGTGCTTCCCCGGGTTCATCCTCATCCACGTCACGATGAACGCGGCGCTGACGCAGTCGCTGGAGCAAATGTACGCGTTCAAAGGCTGGACCGCGGCGGGGATGACAAAGTACGGACCGACGGCGAAGCACTCCGCGGAGAAGCCGCGGATGACGCCCAAGACGCAGATGGACGCGTTGCTGTCTCAGGCGCGTCCTCGGAGCATCACACTGGTCCCCATAGACCGCGTTCGCGTTGTGAACTTCATTCCTTAAGGACTTTCTTCTCTCCCGGCGCATCTCTCCGCCCGCCCCTCCTCGCTTTCAATCCCGACGCACCTCGACGCCTTTCAACTCCGCCCCGACGTCGCTTTGAACGATGAAACGACCCGCAGTGCGCGGTGCGCGTCGTGTCCGACGGCGAAGCCGCGGACATCCGCGCGGCCGCGGCGAAGGCGAAGGCGGACGCGGAGGAGGCCGCGAAGAAGAATTTGGCCAACGCGACGAGCGACGACGACGCGGGCGCGCGCGAGATGACCGCGGAGGAGATCGCGGAGAAGAAAGCCGCCGCCGCCGCGGCGATGGCGGCGGACGCGCCGGAGGCTGAGCCGAGCGAGTCACGGCGCGAGGCGATGGGTGTGAGCGATCGACCGGAGGGCGCGGCGTCGATTGAGGTTCAGGAGGGTCCGTTCAAGGGGTTCAAAGGGTACATCACCGGGAACAACACGAACGGCAGCGTCGAGGCGAGGTTGTTGATTTTCGGACGCGAGACGTCGGTGACGCTGGCCGCGGACGAATACGACGTCGTCTGATTTAACGTCGTCGTTCGTTTGAGAGCGCCTGCTCGTGTGTAATAGTATTACTCCTACGATGGATGGCTGGCTCATTCCTTCCTTCCTTCCTTCCTTCCTTCCTCCTCTTCTACGATCGCAACGGCTCGACTCAAGCCGTTTCTCCTGCGTCCTCGCCCCCGCCGCCCTCCTCGCCGCCCTCGAGCTGCTTCAGCAGCCGAAACAACGTCGCCGCCTCCTTGACGTGCATGAACTCCACGCAAAACGCCTGCGTCTCGACGACTAAATCTTTCGCGGTGACCACCTTATTCCTGACTAACAACTGCAAAAACATGCACGCGAGCCGCACGAGCCGCGTGCGCGCGCCGCTCTCGCTCGTCTCCGCGCACGACCGCACGCAGTTGGCGACGTACGCGTGGACGAACGCCGACGGGAGCTTAGGATCGTTCCATACGAGCGATGATATCGGGGTGGAGTTGAAAGGCGTCAGAAGCGGAGTTGAAAGGCATCGCGGGCGGGGATTGAAAGCGAGGGATGAGCGGAGAGATGCGACGGCAAAAGTCCTTAAGGAACGGCGTTCACCACGCCGACGCGGTCGTATGGGGACCAGTGTATAGAACGCGCCTTAATCTCCGGGGACGTCGTGAGTCGGTTCACCACCTCCATGGAGTGCAGGCTCATCTCCATCTGGACGAGGGTGTCCAGAAACGCGCTGGCGGCGGGTGGAGGTGCCGTCGTTGTTGTCGTAACGCCCCCTTCTTCTGCGTTACGGCTCGTGTTACTCCTCGCCGCGCTCGCGCTCATCGCCAAAACCAAAAATTCGTGCGCGACGTTCGGGTTATGCTCCACGAGCGCGGGGAAGTCCGCCGGGGAGAGCCCCGCGTGACGACCGACCGTGTCCGGCGGCACCGCCGCGAGCGCGGCGAGCACGTCCGCCTGCTGCGTCGGCATCAGCGCGGTCTTGACCGCGCGCGACAGCGACTCGCGCAGGGTCGCCAGCGCGGGGTCGCTCACGTCCGTCGATTCCGTCGTCGTCGATTCCTCCCCGCCCCCCCCCCTCCACGCCACGCGCCCGCGCGGCGTCAGCCGCCCGCCCCTCGGCGGCGGCAGCGACAACGCAGCCGCCGGCGCCGCGCCCGTCCCGCGCGCGAGCAGCGCGTCTCTTCGCTCGCGCGACGCGCGCGCGACGGGCGCGCCGCGCTCGCGTCGCAGTCCCTCCAGGAGCTCCCTAGGCGTCCGTCGCGCGATGGCGTCCGCGCCCCCCCACCGCTCGCCGCCCTCCCTTGGGTCCGACGCCGACGCCGACGCCTCCTCGGCCTCCCCGGACGTCACCAAGTGCGTCGCGAAGCGACTCTCCTCCTCGCTCGCGTCCGCGCGTTTCGGCCAGTCCAGGAGCGTCGTCGCGAACGGGTTCGTCGTCATCGCGCCGCCGTCGAACGTCGCGAGGCAGTACAGCGCGGCGACGCGCTCCTCGGGCGAGAGCGCCGGCGATGTCGCCGCCGTCGCCGTCGCGTCGCCGTCGCCGTCGCCCGCCGATGCGCGTCGCGCGTCGAGCGCGACGCACAGGGCGACGCGCGAACTGAACGTCCCGACGCCCGCGCCGCGCGCCGCGTCGAAGGCGCGCGCGATGGAGGATAACGGCTCATCGCGCGCGAGGCACGCGCGGAGACCGGCGCCGTCGACGACGCCGCCGAGTGATGAATCGGACGCGTCGAGGACGTCGTCCATCGTCGCGATGAGGGTGGTTCTCTCTTCCTGACCGCGCCCCCCGCGCGATCCCGACCCTCACTCGCGCGCGACAGATGGGCGCGGTGAGGGTCTCGCGAAGCGTCCGACGCCTTCCCCCCTCCCGACGTGCGAGGGGGCCGCGGCGCGCGCGTCTTCTGATGCCTTCCTTCCATTCGTTTATTCGTTCGTCCTGCCTTCCGAACAGAAAGAGGAATTCCGAAACTCGCCCTCGCGCCACGCTAAAGTCATTCACCCATCGCTCGGTTTCAACATTTGATCGCATCCCCTTTCAACTGACCGATGAACACATTTATTGCTGTAGGGGGCATCGCCGCCACAGCTAGGGCCAGATCGTCGACGCGCTCGCGGCCCGCTGACCCGACCGCGCGATGTGGTGGTTCCCGACATCGCACGCCGCGGGCGCGGAGGACGCGTCCTCGTCGCGAGATCGCGCGGAGACGGAGACGGCGTCGAAGGCGGCGACGACGGCGGCGGCGACGACGGCGGCGGCCGACGAACCCGATCGCGCGCCGGATGCCGACACGAAGAAGAAGGAGGGCGGAGACGGCGCGAAGGCGGAGGAGGAGGAGGAGGAGGAGGAGGAGGAGGAGGAGACGTGCGGGTTCTGTAAGTTCATGAAGGGCGGCTCGTGCAAGGCCACGTTCGTGAAGTGGGAGAAGTGCGTCGACGCCGCGAAGGAGCGCGACGACGATTACGTCGCGGAGTGCGCGAAGCAGACGGAGGCGCTGCGCGACTGCATGCTCGCGGATCCGGGGTACTACGGCGAGATGCTCCCGGACGAGAAAGAGGACGACGACGAGAAGGGCGGCGACGGGAAGAAGAAGGAGAAGGAGGAGGTCACGGAGGAGCCCGCGGCGAAGACGCGCGCGGAGAAGGCCCTGGGGAAGTGACGCGACGCCCATTAATAAAAACGACAGTCTCCCCGCCCGCGCGCGTCGTCAGTCCGAATCCGAATCGCTCGCGTCGGCGAACCCCGCGAACCCCCCGCCCGCGGCGCGTCGCGCGTCTTCCTCGCGCTTCTTCGCCTGCTCGCGCTCCTTCGCCTTCCCCTTCAGCTGCGGCGTCGGCAACGCCGGCCGCGCCTCGGCGCGCTTCTTCTTCTCCTTCTCCGCGATGGACTCGTCCTCGAACCCGGCGAAGCGGCTCGACTCGTCAGGGTCCTTCTTCTTGTGCGACGTGAGCAGCTTCGACGCGCTGGGGGCGTTACCGCCACTCGCGGCGGCGAGCCTCTGTCGCCGCGCCTCGCGCTCCTTCTCTCTCGCGGCGCGCTGCGCGTCGGTCTCGCCCTCGCGGCGCCGCGGCGGCCTCGGCTTGTCCGCCGCCGCCGCGGGGGTGCTCGGCGCCGACGAGAGCGCTGGCGACGGCGGCTCCGACGCCGCCGACGAGAGCGCCGGCGACGGCGGCTCCGACGCCGCCGGCGCCGGCGCCGGCGTCTTCGGCTCCTCCTCCTCCTTCTTCACCTTCTCCGCGGCTTCGATCTCCGACGACGTCGCCGGCGCGTCCGCGAGAGGCGCGCACGGCGGGGACGGCAACGTCAAGTCGCCGTCCGCCTCCGCCTCCGTCTCGCCAGCGTCGTCCGGCTCCGGCTTCGTCTTCTCCGGCGTCGTCTCCGGCGTCGGCGCCGCGCTGCTCGCGGCGGATTTCATCTCGTCGAACCCGTGACCACCACCGAGCGTCGCGACGACGGAGTGTTCTTCGTGTTCTGAAGAAGAAAGTAACGGCGCCTTCGCGTCGGTCACGTCGTCGTCGTCGTCGTCGTCGTCCGAGTCCTCGTCCTCGTCCGCGCCGAACGTCGCGGGCGTCTTCGGCGGCGCGACGGCGGACGCGTTCTTCCCTTTCCCGCCCCCGTTCGTCGCCGTCGCCGTCGCCGGCGTCGGCGGGAGGTCGTCTCCGGGCTTCGGCATCGGCCCTGGCGGGGGCGCGCACGCGATGAGGATCTTCTCGATCGCCTGAGGGACGTTCCGTACGAGCGAAAGTCAGGGTGGACTTGAAAGGCGTCAGTCGGAGTTGAAAGGCATCGAGGGCGGGGATTGAACGCGAGGGGTGGGCGGAGAGAAACGACGGCAAAGTCCTTAAGGAATCGCGTTCACCACGCCGACGCGGTCGTATGGGGACCAGTGTGAGATAGAACGCGCCTGACCGCCCAACCGCGCGCCGAAGCCGGTGAACCGCCGCGTCAAACCGCCGAGCCCGCGGTTTAAATACGCCTCGCGCGACGTGAGTAAATCGCCCGCCGCCTCTCTCGTGAACCCCGCCAACGACGCCATGATCAGCACCAGGGCGTCGTCGCCGCTCAGCAAATACCTCCGCATGATCGTCCTGAGCTGGGACAAGTGCTCGCGCTTCGTGTCGAAGTCGTCTTGGACGTCCGCGATCTGAGGGTCGAAGGTCCATACGAGCGATGATATCGGGGTGGAGTTCAAAGGCGTCAGATGGCGTTGAAAGGCATCGAGGGCGGGTATTGAAAGCGAGGGACCCTGGGCGGAGAGAGACGACGGCAAAAGTCTTTAAGGATCGGCGTTCACCGCGCCGACGCGGCCGTATGGGAACCAGTGTGAAGAAGAACGCGCCTGATCGTCCATCTTCGTCAGCTTCGCCAACGCGTTGTCTTCCAGATACTGCAGCTGCTGCGCCTGTAAGTTCGCCATCACCTCGAGCGCTTCCATACACTCCTGGAGCCTCTCCCGGAGCGCGTACGCCTCCGAGGCCTGGTACTTCCCCTGGACTTCCTTGATCTGTTTGTCCTTTTCGCCGATCATCCACTTCTGGCGGCCGTTGTCCTCCTCTGAGGGTCGTTCCATACAAAGCGATGTCGGGATGGAGTTGAAAGGCGTCAGAAGCGGAGTTGAAAGGCAACACGGGCGGGGATTGAAAGCGAGGGATGGGCGGAGAGATGCGCCGGGCAAAGTCCTTAAGGATCGGCGTTCACCACGCGAACGGGGTCGTATGGGGACCAGTGTATAGGACGCGCCTAAGCGCGCGAGCTCGGTGGTGAGCTTCGCGACTTGCTTCGAGTCGACGCCGTCGGCGCCGCCAGAACCGCCGCCGCCGAACCCGGAGAAGAACCCGCCGCTCTGGATCCTATGCCGCGCGGCCTCGCCCTCGAGCACGGTCACGCGCGCCCTCAGACGTTTGATCTCCTCCGCGGCGGACATCAACAGCGCGCGGTTCACTCCGTCCTCCGTCTCTCGCGCCGCCTCCACCGCTTCGCTGGACTGCTCCTTCAAACCCATCATCGCGCGCAGCCCCGCGTTCTCCGCTAAGATCATCTCCTTCTCACGCGCGTGCTGCGTCACGATCATGTTGACGTCCGCGTCCTCGTGCCACTTGATCCGCTCCACGGTTTGCGCGGGGACTTTCACGTAACTGGGGTGGACGGAGTTGAAAGGCGTCAGTGGTGGAGTTGAAAGGCGTCGAGGTGTGTCGGGATGGATTGAAACCGTGGGGTGATGGGCGGAGAGAGACGCCGGGCAAAGAAACTCCTCAAGGATCGGCGTTCACCACGCGAACGCGGTCGTACGGGGACCGGCGCGATACGAACGACTCACGTGGGTTTCATCGAGCGCATCCCCTCCACGGGCATCCACTTAGCCGCGTACTGCGCCGCTTGGAACAGCGCCACCGTCTCCGTCGCCTTGCTCGCGAGCGCGTCCGCTTCTTCGCTGAGGTCTTTGCCCATCGCGCCGAACGCGGACTGGACGTTCGAGACGTTCGACGCGAACGCGAGGCGATCGAGCGACGCTTTCACGCGCTCCGCCTCCTCCTCCGCGGACTCGAAGTTCGCCTTCGTGGCGACGAAATCGAGCTTCGCGCGCACCTTGGCCGCGAGCGCGTCCGCGTCGCCGTTCCCGCCGCCGCCGTCGTATCCTCCGCCGCCGCCTCGCGCGCCGCCGAACCCGCGGTCGGAAGGGCGCGGCCCGGGCGGGAGCGACGACGGCATCCGCTGCGAGGACGACGACGACGACGACGACGACGACGCGCGTTGACGCGCGGGTTCGACCTGCGGCGACGCGAACGGCGCGGGGTGCTGCGATCGCGACGCGGACGCGCGCGCGCCCTGGGATCTCGCCTTGCTGTACTTGTCGTCGTCGTCGAGCGACGACCGCGCGGAGCCTCCTCCGCGTCGAGACATCGCGGCGTGCGTGACGGCGCGGGGGCGGACTGAAGTAGGACGCGACCGATCGCGGATCGCGCTCATCATCGCGAACGATGAAATCAGATTCTTTTTCGACAGTCGTTTGGCTGCTGCGTGAATTCGTCGTCGTCGCGTTCGAATACGCTCTTCGACTCGTCGTCGTTCGCGCGAGGACGCCCTCGTCGGGTCCGCGCGCGCGCTCGCTATCTCTACTCGCGATCAAAAGAAAAGAAAACGCTCGCCCCGCGAGCGTCACTCGCACACGCCCGCGACGAGGACCTCGTCGGCGCCGACGCCGACGCCGACGAAACCCCCGCCGACGTCCCCAACCCCCGCCGCCGGCTGGGCGTTCCTCAGACGCACCCCGTGCGTCTTGATCCGATGCCGGCTGAACTCGCCCTGGCTCGAGAACGCGCGCTCGCACGCGCCGAACGTGCACCGGTACGGCTTCTCCCCCGTGTGCGTCCTCGCGTGAGACGCGACCGCTTTTTCCGTCTTGAACGCCTTGCCGCAGCCCTCGTGCGGGCACGCGTGCGGGCGGCTCGTCGTGTGCGTCATCGCGTGCGAGCGAAGGACGCCTGAGCGAGAGGTTCGAAAGGAGAGGGTTAGGGTACGGTTTTAGGGTTAGGGTTAGGGGTAGGGTTCGAGGGAGGCGCGAGGAAGGACGAACGACTCGGAGACGCGAGCGATGGACGGACGCGCGGGGCGACGCGACGGTCGTTCAGGCGTTGAACGCGTGTTGAACGCCTCGACGCGCCTGCGGTTTGGAAGCGTTTCCCGCACAACGCGCACTCGTGCTTTGCGTCGTGCTTCTGCGCGTGCGTCCGCAACCGATCCCTCGTCGGGAACGCCTCCTCGCATCCGTCGTGCTCGCACCGAAACGGCGTCGTCCCCGAGTGCACGTTGGCGTGCTCCGCGAGTTTCGCCGGGTAGTAAAACCTCGCGCCGCACGTCTCGCACTGAGGGTAATCGTCCATACACGCGAACGTCGGGGTGGAGTCGAAAGGCGTCAGTTGAAGTTGAAAGGCATCGAGGCGTGTCGGGATCGTGAGCGAGGGACCCTGGGAGGAGAGAGACGACGGGAAGTAAAGTCCTTAAGGATCGGCGTTCACCACGCCGACGCGGTCGTATGGGAACCAGTGTGAATTCAACGGACTCTCCTTGTACTTGCCCTCCCGCTTCACCGCCTCTCGCTTCTCGCGCTGGGACGTGCTCGCCAGCCTGCGCGCGTGCTCGAGCATGACGTCGCACTGCGCGGTCGTGAGCCGCTGCCAGTGGTTCACGTGCGTGACCGGGACGCGCGGGTCGCGGCGCTCGCGATGCTTCGCGAGGAGAAAGTCGTAGGACACGAGCAGCTGCGGTATCCGCGCGATGGCGAGCCCGTCGGAGGGGCGGAGGCGTCTCCATCGCGTCGAGACCGGCTTCGGCGCGCGGCCGTCCTTCGTGTCGAACGACACCGCGCCGGGGAGGAGCGACAGGGGGACGTCGTCGTCGGACGACTCCGACCCGCTCGCGTCGTCGTCGTCGTCGTCGTCGTCGTCGTTCGTTTCCTTCGACGTCGTCGCGCGCGCGCGTCGTCGCTTCGCGGACGCGGCGCGCCCCGCGGCGTCGACGTCGAGCTCGAGCGACCCGGGGTTCTCCAGCGTCTCGAGCGGCGCGTCGTCCGCGTGCATGACGCGCGGATTTGGCGGTGCGCCTCGGTGCCCCCCCGCCGCGCGCCGCGAGATTTGGACGTTAGAACCGGAGCGCGCGCACGCCGCGGACTGGACGGGATGACGATGACGATCATGAATCGCGATCGTGAATCGTCCACCGGGCCGGCCGCCGCGCCGACGGCCGAGCACACAGCGCGCCGCGCACGATACCGGACCGCGTTCATCACACGATGGCATCGCTCGCGATGACGTTCGCGTCACCGACGCCGCGCGCCGCGGCGTCCGTCCGCGTCGCGCGACCCCGCGCGCGCGTCGCGGTCGCGTCCGCCGCGGCGGCGACGACGACGACGACGACGACGCGCCCGAATTCGCGGCGAGCCTGGCGCCTGACCGCGCGCGCGTCCGTGGCCGGCGGCGCGCCGTCCGCGCTCCTGACGCGCGCGGTCCAGAGAAGGACGTCCCCGCGAGGGAGAACCCTCACGGTGCGCCTCGCGTCGTCGACCCGCTCTCCGCGCGTCGCGGAAGAACCCGCGAGGAGGGAAGGAGGGTTTCGATCGATTCGACGCGCGACGATCGAAGCGCTTTTTCCAACGACATCCGCTCGCTCGCGCCCTCCGCGCGTCCATCCGTTCATCTACCCTAAAGCCCTCACCCGTTCCACCCGTTCCATCCGTCCGCGCGCAGATCACCCCCGCGGCGTCGCTCTTCGGCGTCGGCGCCCCCGAGGCGCTCGTCATCGGAGTCGTCGCGCTTCTCGTCTTCGGCCCGAAGGGCCTGGCGGAGATCGCGAAGTCGCTCGGGCAGACGCTCAAGGCGTTCCAGCCGACGATCCGCGAGCTTCAGGACGTGTCGAGGGAGTTTAAGGCGACGTTGGAGGACGAGATCGGTCTTGACGAGCTTCGGAACGACCTCGCGACGCCGACGCCGACGAAGCGCGCGGCGGAGGCGGCGGCGCCGGCGACGCCGGCGACGCCGGCGACGCCGGCGACGCCGGCGACGCCGGCGGAGGGCGACGCCGAGGGCGGCGACTTGGAGACGGTGACGGAGGAGATGAAGGCGGCGGCGGCGGCGGCGGCGTGGGGTGCGCCCGCCGAGGTGCCGTCGGATCTCGCCGCGCCGGAGGATGAGGCTCGGACCAGCGGCGGCGGCGATGGCGGCGGCGGCGGCGGTGGCGGCGACGGCAACGCGTCGTCGTCGTCGTCGTCGTCGCCGACCGACTCGATCCAGGCGTGAGCGTCGCGGGTCGAGGACGATAGACGACGCGAGTCGAGGTGATTTAATGAAGACATCGAAATCGAACGCGCGTGCGTGCGAAACGAAACGAAACGAAAAGAAACGAAACGAACGCGCGCGGAGTCGACGAACGCGCGCGCCTCGTCGGCCCGACTAATAATTCGCCAGCCTCGAAACACGTGGTGCACGCCGTCCACAGATCTGAATGGAACATTATTCCGCGGCCTCTCCCCCTTCATAACCGCGGCGCCCGCCCACGCCCGTCGGCGCGCGCGCTCGATGTGGCCGTCGCCGAAGTATAAGAAAGGCGGGGACAGAGAGAAAGACGGCGGCGTCGCGGAGGACGACCCCGCGGATTCGGTCGCGATGGATCGTTCGACGAATCGCTCCGCGTCCCCGTCCCCGCCGAGCTCGGGCCCGAGCTCGTTCAATCGCGACGCGTCGCGACCGCACGGGGCGCTCTCCTACGGCTCGCCGACGCGCGCGCCCGGCGGGTTCGGCGGCCGCGCCGACGCGGACGCGCCGACGCGCACGCCCGCGACGAGAGGAGACGCGGGGGCCGCGCGCCATCACGCGCGCCATCCCTCCGCCGCGTTCAGCGAGTCGGAGCCCGGCGAGGAGGGCGAATCCGACGCGAGCGAGGACGGATCTGACGACGGCGACGACATGGACGTCCTCGGCACCGCGGGGAAGATCGGTCTCGGCGCGAACGACGACGGCGTCTCGTCCGCGACGTCCAACGAGAAGATGCGCCTGTTCGATCTCGCCGTGCGCATGTCCACCGAGATCGAAGTGCGCGAGCACCGACGACACATGAAGCGCTACAAGGCGTGCTTCACCGGAAGGGAAGCGGTGCGATTCTTACTGACGAATCGAATCGCGAGAGACACGCGCGACGCCGTGGCCATCGGCCGGCAGCTCCACAAGGCTGGCCTCCTCGGCCCGATCCGCCGCTCGCGGCAGTTCGCGAACCGGAGCTTCTTGTACCGCTTCAACGACGCGATGACGCCGGGCGTGCAAGCCGCGCGTTGGACGCTCGCGAACGAGATGTCGAAGATGCAAGGCCGGGTCAAAGACGTCTGCGCCGTGGTCGAGACGCACACGGCGGCGACGCACGCGATATCGAGCGAGCACGCGGTCGCGATGAGCCGCGTGGAGCAAGTGTACACGGAGATGCGCGGGCAGCTCGCGCGAACGAAAGCCGCGACGTTCGTCCTCGCGTTCGCGTGTTTCGGGCTCGCCGCGGTTGATCTCAGCGGCGGCGGCGACGGCGACGGCGCGGGGCTGGGGTACTTCTCGCGCACCAAGTTTACGAGCGCGCCCGGCGTCGTCGACCGCGCGTGGGCCGCGCGCGTCGCGATCGCGATAGTCGCCGCGGCGCTGTCGACGCTCGCCGCGTGGCTCGTCACGGATCGAAAGTCGCTCGACACGGTGTTGTACACGCGCGACTGGCTCGAGGACGGCGAACTCGCGGGCGAGCTCCTCGGAGACGACGGCGACGGCGGCGCCGCCGACTTGATGTCCCCGGGACGTCGCGTTGGGAAGACCCCGGGAGGAATGAAGCAGGGCGCGCCGCCGCGCGGGAAGGCTGCCGGCGGCGTCAAGGCGGGCGGCGACCGCGACGCGAGGACGGAATCGTCGTTCGTCCGTCGCATCTCGCTCGGCGGAATCGGCGAGGCGGGGGACGGCGCGTCGCCCTCCTCGATCAAGCGCTTGGGGAGCATACACCGGTGGTTCAGCCGCGGCGGCGGCGGCGGCGCGCCCGGCGGCCCCGCGGCCGAGCTCGCGCGGCGCCTCCGACCCGAGGACCGCGCGCTGCCGCCGCCCGCGGCGGACTCGGCAATCTTCGCGAACGAGGCGCAGGCGCCCGTGGGGATCCGGTTATCCCCCGAGCGCCCGATGCAGTGGCTGCCGGAGGGCGAGAACCGCCCGGAGGATGGCGTCACGTGCCCGGCGCAGACGCCGTTTCCGTTCGAGACGGAGCTCTTCAAGGGGAAGGCGATCATCAACCTCAGGGGCCTCCAGAACACCCCGGCGCGCGTGTTCAAGGGCAAGGCGAGGTACATCCAAGTCAGCGTCCAGGGGCGGTTCAAGCGCCCGGTCGCGATGGACGACCTGCAGATGGGCATATCCCTCCCGCGCCCGCTGCGAAGACTCCCGACGCGATGGCTTCTCAACCTGTGCACGCGCGTGATTCGCACGCTGGGCGCCAAGTACGGCTTGGAGATCACCGACCCGGCGGCGCCGAAGCCCTACGCGGCGGCGCCCGTCATCACGTGCGCGGACGCCATCGCGTGCAACGCCCCCGGGGAGGAGCCGGACGTGTCGCTCCCTCCGGTGGAGGACACGCGGCGGGTGCCGTGGCTGCGCGATACGTCGTCGGACGCGTCCACGATCGGCGGGTGTCTGACGGCGCCGGAGCGACGGAAGAAGATCGCGAAGGTGATGCGCGACGCGAGAAAGTCGCGCGGGAAGGAGGTTCGAGACGAGGAGGCGGCGATGAACAAGGCGCGTTCTTCTCGCACTGGTCCCCATACGACCCCGTCGGCGTGGTGAACGCCGTTCCTTAAGGACTTTTGCCATCGTATCTCTCCGCCCACCCCTCGCTTTCAATCCCGACACACCTCGACGCCTTTCAACTCCGCTTCTGACGCCTTTCAACTCCACCCCGACATCGCTTTGTATGGAACGATCCTAAGGCGCTGGGAGGCTCGTACCGACCGTCGCCGCCGTACGACGGACTCGTACCCTCGTACGACGTCGACAGCGTGTGGACGTTTTCGTTCTGGATGTCACAGATCGACTTCGCGAAGTATTCCATCGACCTCGGCGTCGGGAAGTTTGACCTGGTGCCCATCATGGACGGGCAGCCGTTGACGCTGCTGGCGCAGACGCGCGACGGCGCCGACGTGTTGTTTCGGTTCGAGCTGTGGCATCAGCGGCTGCTGCCGGCGGCGCACGCGCACAGGGTGCCGGACGCGGTGACGATACGCGAGCCGTACCGACCGAAAGGCGGCGGGAGCGGGAGGAGCGAGGGGGGCGGGGGCGGGGGCGGGTTCACGAACGACGAGCTGAGGGTTCGAAGGCGGGGCGCGGACGGGTCGGAGCGTATCAGCGTGGAAAACAGCGACGAGGAGTCCGAGGGGAGGAGTAGGAGCGGTGACGAGTCGAACTGATGATTGTTCAACGCTCGCCGACGCGCGAGCGCGCGAATCTTTCGTTTTCTCGCATAAAAAGAAGAAGACTTCACCGCCTACGGTATCGTACAGTACACCAAGTGATCGCTCGTTTACCCTCCCATCCCTTCCCTTCCCTTCCCTTCCCTTCCCTTCCCGCGGGAAGAAGACCCCAGCCCAGCCTCCTCGAGATAAATTCGCCGTCGCCGTCGCCGCGCGTTTACTCGTCCTTCGTGCAGTCCTTCCCGCCCTGGAAGCAAATGATCAAGAACAACACGAGGATGATGAACAGCACGCCGCCGCCGAGCATGAGCTTCATCTTCAGGTTCTGCCACCACATCTTCCTCCTGAGCGCCCGCCCCGTCCTGTGAAAGTTATCCGCCTGGAACCGCAAGTTCTCCGTCTTGTCCACGAGAAGCTGTCGAACAGAGACGCGGAGGGTAACGATCGGTCAGGGGTCGACTTGGTAGATTTGATGACGTGTCGTGTGGGAGTGTACACGCGACGCTATGGGCAAACAGTATGAAATTGTGTACACGCGCGCACCTCGATCTTCTCGCCGCGGTCCAGCACCTTCTCGATGTTGTCCATCATTATCTCCTTCACCTCGCTCACCTGCTGCTGCACCCTGGTCACCTTGCTGATCTGATCCGGGTTCGCGGTGCAGTAGTCCATGTGCTCTTTCAGTTTCGGCCCGAACGATCGATCGAGCGAGTGCGCGATCGCGTCCTTCGCGCGATCGGCGAACGTGCCCTTGAACTCTTCCTTGACGCGTTCGAGGCACGCGAACGGCACCTGTGAGGGTCGTTCCATACGAGCGAACGTCGGGGTGGAGTTGAAAGGCGTCAGAAGCGGAGTTGAAAGGCGCCGAGGTCGGGGATTGAAAGCGAGGGATGGGAGGAGAGAGACGACGGCGAAAGTCCTTAAGGAACGGCGTTCACCACGCCGACGGGGTCGTATGGGGACCAGTGTGATGTAGAACGCGCCTGTCGGCCAAACTCCTCGTCCGCGACGACCAAGAAGACGTACCCGTCGTCCGCGAGGTAGTTGAACGTGTGGTGGTCCGCCACGAGCGTGAACTTCGACTGCGCGGAGAGCTTGTCGAGGATCTTGGGGAGCGTCTGTCGTGTCGTTCGTGGTGGTTGCGGGGGCGGGCGGGGTGAGAAAATAAAAATGTTCGAACAGAACGACCGCGCCGGGAGGAGGAGGAGGAGGACGCGCGAGATCTCGCGCGCGCGCGCGCGCGGGCGGTTCGCGACGCGCGCGCGACGCGCCGCGGTCGTCCGCGCGCGCGATCGACGCCTCGCGTCGTCGCGCGGCGCCGCGCGCGCGGAGATCTCGCGACGACGCGCGCGCGGCGGCGAGGAGACGAGACGGGACGGCGAACGGCGCGCGACGACGCCGCGTGCGAGGAGAGCGGCGGGGCGGAGAGCGCGCGCGCGCGCGCGCACCTCGGCGGCGACGGTCGCGAAGTTGCCCGTGTGCGCGGTGTACTCCGCGAGCACGGTCGCGCCGCGCGCGACGAACGAGTAGATGAGCGGCATCGTGTGTGGTCCGACCGACGCGCGCGACGTCGCCGCGCGTCACAAGATGGCCGTAGTCGGGGGACGACGTCGCGCCGGAGAATTTCGATGCTTTTTGAACGCGCGCGTAGTACGAGTACACGAGTACGCGCGTTCTGACTGCTCGCGCATACGAGCGAGCGAAACCCAGTCAAAAATTGCCACCTCGGCGCATCCTCGGCGGCGTTCGTTGTTACCCACGCCGGCGTGGATTTTATCCCAACCCACCAACCGCTATTAATCTCGTCGCGTGACGCGCGCGCGCGACGCAAAGACGCCCGCGCGCGCACGAGAGAGACGCGGCGCACGCACGACCGGATCGCGCACCGAGAGAGGACGCGCGCGCGACGCAAAGACCCCCGCGGAAGGATCGTATCGAGTCGTCGTCTTCGAGGATCGATCGATCGGCCGCCCCGAACGACGTTTGAAGAAGGAAGAGGGTTTCTCTTCTCGTCGAGGTAATCGCCGCGCCGGGGGCTGACGCGGAATGGCCGCGTCGTCGATGGCGAGCGCGAGCGCGCGCGCCGGGTTTGGCGCGGACGGCGCGTCCGCGCGTCGCGCGTCCACCCCGGGCGCGCGCGCGCGATCGCCGTCGCCCATCTCCACGTCGCGTCGCGACCGCGCGGGCGCGCCGAGCGGCGCCCCGGTCCCAGCCGCGCGAAACCCGTCGATTCGACGAAAACACGCATCGAATCGGCCCCCGAGCCTCCTGATCGCTCGCGCGGACGGCGACGGCGCCGCCGCGAAGAAGGACGAGGACATCATGCGCAACGTCGCCGCGCGCGTCAAGGCGGCGCGCGAGCTCGCGAAGCGGCTCGCCGCGGAGGAAGAGGGCGAGGCGGATGCGCGCGGCGGCGTCTTGGGCGAAGGATTATCCGGCGACGGCGGCGGGTTCACCGGGTCGCAGTACATCGAGACCGAGCACGGCGGCGACGTCGACGCCGCGGCCGCCGCGCTGAACAAGTTCGCGTCCGACGCCGCGGTCGAGGCGCAGGCGGCGGAGGAGGAAGCGAACGCCTTCGCCGCGCGCGCGGTCACGGAGATGGACGAGGCGGTGACGAGGATTCGCCAAGAAGCCGCCAAACGCGTCGCGAGCGCGGAACGCGAGCGAGATAAGACGCGCGAGAGCGCGAAAAAGGCGATCGCGGAGGCGAACCAGCGCGCGTCGCAGCTCGAGGAGACGCTCCGGCTGGTGAAGACGGAGACGGACGCGAAGATCCGCGCGGAGAAGCTCGCGCAGGCGCGTTCTGCTACCACACTGGTCCCCATACGACCGCGTTCGCGTGGTGAACGCCGATCCTTAAGGACTTTGCCCGGCGACTCTCTCCGCCCAGGGTCCCTCGCTTTCAATCCCCGCACTCAACGCCTTTCAACTCCGCTTCTGACGCCTTTCAACTCCACCCCGATATCATCGCTCGTATGGATCCCGCGCAGGCGGAGCTCGAGCAAGAGATGGAAAAGACGGATGATTTCGCGTCGAGGACGGAGGAGGAGGCGCGGATCAAGATCCAGGTCGCGGAAGAGACCGCGCGGCGCGTCATCGCGGAGGCGGAGCAAGCGCGGAATACGCTTCTGCGCGAGCTGAACGAGACGAAGCAGGAGAGCGCGGCGGCGGTTCAAAAGGCGAAGCAGAAGGCGTCGGACGACGTCGCCGCCGCGAAGGCCAAGCTCGAGGACGAAGTTCAGAGGCGCGTGCGCGACGTCGAGGACGCGTACAAGAGCATCGTGAAAGCCGCGGAGGACAAGGCGAGGGCGAGCGAGAACGAGCTGGAGAAGGCGCAGGAGGCGGCGGAGATGACGGTGGAGGAGGCAAAGGAGGCGGCGAACGAGGAGCTCAAGGCGGGTCTCGCCGCCGCGGAGGAAGCGCTCGCGGCGGCGGAGGAAGTCGCCGCGATCGAGATCAAGGCTGCCGTGGACGCCGCGGACGCGCTCATCGCGAAGAAGGAGCAGGAGCTCGCGGAGCAGAAGAAGAAGGAGATCAACGAGATCAAGCAGAAGACGGCGAAGATGCTAGAGCTCGCCAAGGCGGAAACCACGGTGCTCGTCGAGGAAGCGAGGGCCAAGGCGCTGCAGGACGTCCGCGAGGCGAAAGCGGTCGCGGCGGAGCAGATCGATCAGGCGAAGAACGAAGCGGAGAACGAGATGCGGAAAGCGGAGAGCATCGCCGCGGCGAAGGACGCGGTCGCGGCGGCGGTGGAGCAGTCGCAAAAGGACGTCGCGAGCGCCGAGGGCAAGGCGACGAAGCTCGAGGCGGAGATCGAGAAAGTGCGCGAGGCGGCCGCGAAGCAGATCAAAGAGCTCGAGGAGGACATGAAGCAACAGGTGGAGACGGTGAAGCGCGAGACGCGAGAGCAGAGCGAGAAGGAGGTGCAGAGGGCGCTCGCGAAGCAGAAGGAGGCGGAGGAGAGAGTCGAGCTCGCCGTCGCCGACGCGAATAAAAAAGCCGACCGCGCCGTCAAAGCCGCGGAGACGAGAGCGGAGGAGGAGATCACCGAGGCGGTGCGCGTGAGCGCGGAGCAGATCGAGGCCGCGGAGTTGGACGCGACGAAGAGGGTCCTCGAGGCGGAGAACAGCGCGCGCGCGCAGCTGGAGAACGCGAACAAGCTCGCCGCGGAGGAAAAGAAGAAGATTGAAAAAGAACGCGACGAGAAGGTAGCCGCCGCGGAGAAGGCGACCAAGGAGATGAAGAAGATGAAGAAACGGCTCGATCTGATCGAAGAAGACGCGAAGCGCGTGGAGGAGATGGAGGACCGCGTCGAGGAGGCGGAGAAAGAATCGACGCGCGCGAGGACGGAGGCGAGCGATCACGAGAGCGCGAGAATCGACGCGGAGTCCGCGGCGGTGGAAGCCGAGGCCAAGATGGAAGCCGCGGTCGAAGCGCTGGAGATCGCCGAGGCCGAGCGCGACGCCGCGAACAAGGCGGCGAAGCAAGAGGCGTCGCTCCTGGAGGGCGCGGTGAAGGCTGCGCGGCAAGAGGCGGACGCCGCCGCCGCGCAGGCGCTCCTCGCGGCGAAGGAGGAGCACGATAAAAACGCGGAAATCGCCGCCGCCGCGCTCATGGAGACGAAAGATTCCCTCCGACGCGCGGAGAACGATCTCGCGGAGGCGCGCGCGACGCACGAGGCGGCCGCCGAGGAAGCTGCCGAGCTCTTGCGAATCGCGCGGCAGGACGCGGAAGAAGCGCGCGCGGACGCGGACGCCGCGCGAGCGGAGGCGGAGGAGGAGAAGAACCGCCTGAGCGAAAACGCGGACATGGAGACGCTCGTGCTCTTCGAGAAGAGAGTCGCGGAGGTCACCGCGGAGATCGAAACGCGCGTCGACGACGCGAACCACCGAGCGGAGATTGCCGAGAACGACCTCGCGGCGGCGAACTTCAAGATCGACGGCCTGAGAGCCGAGCTCGGCGTCGCGCAGACGGAGCTCGCGAGCTTGGAGCAGACGGATCGCCGCACGACGCTGGACGACGAGAACATCCGCGCGCAGATCGCGGCGATGCAAATCAAGATCGAACGCCGCGACGAAGAGATCAAGAAGCTTCAGGCGCTCCTCGGGATCGTCCCGAAGCTGGAGAAACCCCCAGAGGAGCTCGGACAGGAGAGCATCATCCAACGCGCCGAGGCGAGAATCTCGGGCCAGACGTCCATGCCGACGGCGGAGGAGGAGGTGGACCCGGAGACGCTCGAGAAGCGGCAAGAGCTGGAGCGGCTCCTCGCCGAGCTGACGATGCTCAAGGGAGAGCAAGCGCAGACGCCCGCGCAGGCGGCGCGGGCGGCGATGGAGCTCACGGGGATGGCGCCGCCCGCCGCGCCCGCCGCGCCGCCCCAAGCGGCGGGCGGGATCTCGATGCCGACGCCGCTCGCGCCGGGCGCGCAGCAGGCGGTCGCGATCGAGCCCGCGATGATCGAGCCCTCTGTCGCGTCGCCGGGGGATGCGGGCGCGTTCGTCCCGACGTCCACGACGGTCGTCGTGGACGAGAACGCGATCAACCAGGCGTATTGGGACGCGTACAACGAGACGTTGGAGCAGCGGAAGCGGCAACGGAGGGTCGACGCGGAGGCGTGGGCGGCGGGGCAAACGTCCGTCGTCTCGAGCAACCTCGCGAACGTGTACCACTGGATCGGCGGGAACCCGCGCGAGGGCGACAACGCGATGATTTACAACCGGAAAGACAACGGGCTGAGCGAGGGCGGGCAGCTGTTTTTGCACTTGGGGTACAACGGGTGGCAGGGCGAGCCGAGGCAGGTGGACATGCGGCCGCTGCCGCACGACCACCCGTCGCGGCAGGAGCTGGGGCTGGACGACAACTCCGGGGACTGGTGGATCGCGGAGCCCGTGTACGTGGGCGCGGAGTCGAGGGTGCTCGACTTCGTCTTCAGCGACGGCGAAGGGAAGTACGACAACGCCGGCGGAAGCGATTACCACACGCCGTGCGGCGACGGCGAAACCGTGGACCCGGTGGCGGAGCGCGTGCGACAGCTCGAGGAGGAGAACGCGGAGCAGGACGAGATCATCGCGCAAAAGGCGGGGCGGCGGGCGCAGCGGCAGACGCGCGCGCGGCAGGGGTTCAAGACGCAGGGCGCCAAGGACCCGAAGACGGCGTCGGTGCTGACGGACCCTGCAGTCCCAGTTGCGGGGCAGCCGCTCAAAATTTTCTACCGTTACGAGAAGGACGACCGTGATCACCCGCTGCACGACGTCCACGAGGTGTTCGTGCAGGGGGGCTGGAACCGATGGTCGCACGCTCAGTCGTTCGGTCCGGTCAAGATGGAGTGGTCGGACGACCCGCCGGGCGGGACGCCGACGCTCCCCGCGCTCGAGGCGACGGTGACGGCGCCCACGGACGCGCACGTGATGGATTTTTTCTTCCACAACGGCCGGAACGGCCGCGAGGCGAAATACGACAGCAACCACTCGCTCGATTACCACATAAACACGAAGGGCGCGAGAGGGAGCAACCCGAAGCTGCGGATCGTGCACGTCGCCGTGGAGATGGCGCCGATCGCCAAGGTTGGCGGCATGGGCGACGTCGTCACCGCGCTCTGCCGCGCCATCATGGAGAAGGGGCACTCCGTCGAGGTGATCCTACCCAAGTACGACTGCATGGATCACAACCAGATTGAAAACTTGAAGCAGACGGAGCAGTTCGAGTTCAAGGGTGTCGTTCTGTACGTGTGGAGGGGCGAGGTGGAGGAGGTGCCCGTCGTGTTTTTGCAACCCGACAACGGCAACTTCGACGTCGGGTGCATCTACGGCCGCGGCGACGACCACGTGCGCTTCGAGTTTTTCTCGCAGTGCGCGCTGCACTGGTTGAAGCACAGCATGGACAAGCCCGACGTCGTGCACGCGCACGATTGGTCGACCGCGCCGGTCATCTTCGCGCGCCGCGCGCTCCTGCCGCCGACGGCGGCGACGGTGATCACGATCCACAACCTCGAGTTTGGCCAAGACCTCCTCGGTCGCGCGTTGGAGCGATGCACGTTCGCGACGACCGTCTCGCCGACGTACTCGCGAGAGATCGCGGACCACAACGCGATCAAGGACAACAAAGAGAAGCTCGTGGGCATCCGCAACGGCATCGACGTCGAGATCTGGGACCCGAGCTCGGACGTGTTACTCTCGCAGTGGTTCGACGCGGGGACGTGGGAATCGGGAAAACAGGCGGCGAAGACGCAACTCGCGCAGCGGCTCTCGATGAACCTCCCGCAGCCCGGGACGCCCGTCGTCGGCGTCGTCGCGCGCCTCACGCAGCAGAAGGGCGTGCACCTGATCAAGCACGCGGCGAAGCGCACGCTCGAGCAGGGCGGGCAGTTCGTCCTGCTGGGGTCCTCCCCGGACGGCAACGTGCAAAACGACTTCAACAACCTCGCGAACGAGTTCAACCAAAAGCACCCGGGGCAATCCGGCTTCGTCTTCGCGTTCGACGAGCCGTTGTCGCACCTCATCTACGCCGCCTCCGACATGATCCTCGTGCCGTCCATGTTCGAGCCTTGCGGGCTCACGCAGTTGATCGCGATGCGGTACGGCACCGTGCCGGTGGTGCGACGCACGGGCGGGTTGCGAGACACGGTGTTCGACGTCGACGAGGACGTGGACCGCGCGAGAATGGAGGAGACGGAACCCAACGGGTACGCGTTCGACGGCGCGCAAGCGCACGACATCGACGCCGCGTTGGATCGCGCGATGATGACGTACAGCAGCGATTACGGGCGGTGGAAGCTGCTGGTGAACACGATCATGCGGCAGGACTGGGGGTGGAACGGGCCGGCGGAGACGTACGTGGAGCACTACTGGCAGGCGAAGAAGAAGCACCTGACGAATCCGAACGTGAACGATTGATTTTGATCGAGACGTTGATGAGATGAACGAGAACGGCGCGGACGAAGTTCGCGCGGGGTGTGGGTTCGACGGTGGAACGACGATGAAGGGAAGAGAGGCGAGAGGAGGAGGTGATAGAGTGATTCATTCATTTTACGTTTTGAGGCGGCGCGAGGCTTGTAATATGAGAACGGCCGCGGTGTACACAGGAAGGAGCTCTTTCTTTCATCATCACAATCGTCGTCGAAATCGTTCACTTTTTTTTAGTCGGCGCGGCCGCGCTTTCCTCTGATACGTCCTTTGTTGCACTGCGGGCACCCGGTGGATCTGGCAATACTCGTGCGGCTGTCCACTCTCGCCTTCCATGCGTACTTACACTTCCGGCACTTCCATAGCGCCTTGTACTTCGACCCTCTCTTCACCTCCGTCAGCTCCCTTTCCGGGTCGACGTATTCCTTCAGGAGCTTGGCGCCGCGCTCGCCGTTCTTCCCGCACCACGTGAGGAAGTTGTCGGTCTTGCTCAGAGGCGCATGATTCGCGCACTGCGGGCACCCGCTGGGTCTGACGCTCCTCGTGCGGTTTTTCACTATCGCCCGCCACGCGTGCTTGCACTTCTGGCACTTCCACAGCGCCATGTATTGCGACCCTCTCGTCACCTCAGTCGGCTCCCTTTCGGGGTCGACGTATTCCTTCAGGAGCTTCACGCCGCGCTCGCCGTTCTTCCCGCACCACGTGAGAAAGTTGTTGGCCTTGTTCGGACGCGCATGATGCACGCACTGCGGGCACCCTGAGGGTCTGACGCTCCTCGTGCGGTTGTTCACTTTCGCCCGCCATGCGTGCTTGCACTTCCGGCACTTCCACAGCGCCTTGTACTGCGACCCTTTACACACCTCCGTCGGCAGCTTGTCCGGGTCTTTGAACTCGTTGGCGAGCCGCTCGCCGCGCTTGCCGTTCTCCTTGCACCACTGGAAGAAGGGCTTGCCAGTGTACATGTTTCCTCGCTTCTTCACCATGATCGTCCTTTCGTGCGGGGACGCGGCGGCGCGCCAGCGAAAGTGACGACGAAAGCTACGACGGCGGGGAAAAAACGTCGTGGCTTTCTCGGCGAAAATCTCTCGGACGCGCCGGAGAAACCAACCCCGCCCCCCCCCTGCGCCGCGCACTCCCTCCCGCGCGCGCGCCATGCCCGCGCCCCCGCCCCCGCGCCTCGACGTCGCCGCGTTCGTCGCCGCGAACGTCACGCCGTGCGACGACGACCTCTCGAAACTCCCCGGCGCGCTCGCGGACGCGACCGAGAAGACAACCAAGCTCTGGTCGCTTTGCCGAGAGCTGCTAACGCAAGAGTTCGACGCTGGCGTGCTCGCGATAGACGCGACGACGCCGTCGAGCGTGCTGTCGCACGACGCGGGGTACATCGACGGCGACGGCGTCCTCGACGACGGTGCGCGTCGCGTCGCGTCGTATCGCATCGCGTCGCATCGCATCGCGCCGCCGCGCCGCGCCGCGCCGCGTCTCTCTCCCCGTCGCTCGGTAACTCTCTCTTCCCCCTCCCCCTCCCTCCCGCTCTCCCCCGCAGTCGTCCCCGGGCTGCAAACCTCCGCGCCGCTCGTCCGCGGGATCAAACCCCTCGGCGGTATGCGCCTCGTGAAGCGCGCGCTCGCGGAGCACGGCGTCGAGCTCGACGCGGACGTCGCCGCGTTCTTCGACCGAGGCTGGCGCCGCACGCACAACGACTGCGTCTTCGACCTGTACACCCAGGAGATGCGACTGGCGCGGAGGCACCACCTCGTCACCGGGCTCCCGGACGCGTACGGCCGCGGACGCGTCATCGGCGATTACCGCAGAGTCGCGCTGTACGGCGTGGACGCGATCGCGGAGACGAAGCGCGCGGACGCCGCGAGGCTCGCGGAGGAAGCGTCGTCGACCGCCGCCGCCGCCGCCGCCGGCGGCGACGGCGACGTCTCCGCGACGTTTCGTCGGCGCGACGAACTCGCGTTGGAGCTGAAAGCGCTCGAAGCGCTGAAGACGATGGCGGCGCGGTACGGCGCGGACGTCTCGCGGCCCGCGTCTAACGCGCGCGAGGCGGTGCGATGGACCTACCTCGCGTTCCTCGCCGCGTGCAAGGAAAACGACGGCGCGGCGATCTCGTTGGGTCGGCTGGACGCGTTTTTCGACGTGTACATCGAGCGGGACCTCCGCGGAGGCGTCATGGACGAGTCCGACGCGCAGGAGCTGATCGATCACTTCGTGATCAAGCTGCGATTGATCCGACAGCTTAGACCGAAGGCGTACGACGAGATCTTCGCGGGGGATCCGGTGTGGGCGACGTGCGCGATCGCGGGCGAGTCCAGTCGCGGCGGCGGCGGAGGCGGCGCCGCCGCCGCCGCCGAATCGCGGCACCTCGTGACCAAAACCTCCTGGCGGTTCATGCGCTCGCTCGCCAACCTCGGCGCCGCGCCGGAACCGAACATGACCGTGCTGTGGTCCCCGACCCTCCCCTCCGGGTTCAAGCGCCAGTGCGCGCGTACGTCCATCGACACGAGCAGCGTGCAGTACATCAACGACGGCTTACTCCGGCGCGCGTTTAAATCTGACGACGTCGCGATCGCGTGTTGCGTCAGCGGGACGCGCCTCGGCGTCGACGCGCAGTTCTTCGGCGCGCGGTGCAATCTCGCGAAGCTCCTGCTGCTCGCGCTGAACGGCGGGCTCGAGGAGCTGAGCGGCGCGCGCGTCGCCCCCGCGTCGATCGAGGCGTCGCTCGGCGGTGGGATCGCGCCAAACGTCCCGTTGCGCTACGACGACGTGAGACGGCGACTCGACGCGTACATGGACTGGCTCGCGACGCTCTACCGCGACGTCATGGCGCTCATACACTGGAGCCACGACCGGTACTGCTACGAGGCGGCGATCTTTTCGCTGATCGACACGGACCGGCACTATTACATGGCTTACGGCGTCGCCGGGCTGAGCGTCGTCGTGGACAGCCTCAGCGCGATCAAACACGCGAAGGTGACCCCGATGCTGGACGCCGAAACCGGGTTGATCGCGAGCTTTGAAACCGAAGGGACTTTCCCCGCGTACGGCAACGACGACGACGCCGTGGACGCCATCGCCGTGGACGTGGTGACGTCGTTCATGAACAAGCTGAGAGCGCTGTCGCAGTACCGCGACGCGGAGCCGACGCTCTCGGTGCTGACGATCACGTCGAACGTGATGTACGGTGCGCGACGACGATAGACTATTTTTTTTCGTTTTGGATTTCATTCGCCCCGCCGACCGCGCGCGTCTCCTTTCCAATCTCAACCGCCGCCCCCGCTGCGCAGGGAAACACACCGGCGCGACGCCGGACGGGCGACCCGCGGGCGCGCCGTTCGCCCCCGGCGCGAACCCGATGCACGGCCGCGACGCCAGCGGCGCCTTATCCTCGCTCAACTCCGTCGCGAAAGTGCCCTACGCGCACTGCAAGGACGGGATCAGCAACACGTTCAGCATCCCGGGGCCGAGCCTAGGAAAGACCCCGGACGCGCGCGTCGATAACCTCGCCGCTCTGCTCGACGGATACTTTGATCGCGGCGCGCAGCACCTGAACGTCAACGTGCTGAGCCGCGAGACGCTGATCGACGCGATGAACGACCCGATGAAGTATCCCAACTTGACCGTGCGGGTGTCCGGGTACGCGGTAAATTTTAACCGGCTGAGTCGCGAGCATCAGGAGGAGGTCATCGCGCGGACGTTCCACGCGTTCACGTGAGAGGAGAGTGATGGGGGTGAGAGAAGGGGGAGAATTTGGGGGTACGTTCGTTAGTAGTTTTGTCATTTCAAGAGAAGGTTTCTCCGTTGGCGTCGGTTCTCACTCGTCGTTGATTTTCTTCAGTCGCCGCGGTTGCGCTTTTCAGGTTGTCGCGCTCTGAGGTGGCACTTGAGACACCCGGTGGGTTTGTCGCTCTTCGTGCGATTGCACACCATTGCCCCCCACGCGTGCGTGCACTTCTGGCACTTCCACATCGCCTTGTGCCTCGACCATTTCGTCAGCTCCGTCGGCTTCTTATCCGGGTCGACGTATTCCTTCAGGAGCTTCTTCCCGCGCTCGCCGTTCTTCTCGCACCACACGAGGAAGTTGTTCGTCTTACTCAGCGGCGCAAGATGCACGCACTTCGGACACCCGGTGGGTTTGTCACTCTTCGTGCGGTTCTTCACTGTCGCCTTCCACGCGTGCTTGCACTTCTGGCACTTCCAAAGCGCCTTGTACCACGACCCTTTCGTCACCTCCGTCGGCAGCTTGTCAGGGTCTTTGAACTCGTTGGCGAGCCGCTCGCCGCGTTCGCCGTTCTCCTTGCACCACTGGAAGAACGCCTTGCCGCGAGTGCGCTGCTTCGATTCTCGTTTCTTCACCATGATCGTCGCGCGGGGACGCGGCGGCGCGCCAGCGAAAGTGACGACGAAAGCTACCACGGCGGGGAGAAAATATGCCAGTGCCAAGAAAAAACCCGAGACTGATGCGACCCGACGACGAAGACGACCCGCCGGGTCTGGTCTTCCGCTCGGGACGGTCACACCTCGCGGCGCGGCGGCGCGGACCGCGCGCGGGGAAGGGCGCGTCTCGCGGCGGCGAGCGTCCCTTCGTCATGGTCCACTACCGCCGCATGGTCGCGGAGGCGCTGGCCCTCCTCGAAGCCGACGCCGCGGTCGCGAACGCGCTGCCGATAGATCGCGTCGCGGAGGCGGCGGCGGACGCGGACGCGGAAGAAGCCGGCACCGCCGCCGGCGGCGAGGACGATGATTCGCGTCTTCACGCCGACGACGACGACGACGCGCGCCGTCGCCTGGAATCCTTCGCCGGGTCCACGTCCCAGGAGGTCGGCGCGCGCGTCCGCGCGACGCGCGGCGCGGACGAGCCGTCGCTCAACGTCGACGACTGGTACGCGCGCGTGCGCGCGGCGCTGCGCGGCATGGCGCGCGACGGACACGTAGAGATGGTGACGTTCAATCGCTGGCGGCTCGCGTGCGACGTCGCGAGCGTGACGTGGATCGTGTCGCTGAAGTGGGACGGCCGCGGCGGCGCGGGGACGATGCCGCTGGAGATCAGCACCGCGTGCACGAACACGCGTCTGGAAGAGATCGTGCGCCGGCGAACGCCGGGCGCGCTCGCGGGGCGCGTGGTTCGGTGTTTCATGGACGTCACGAACGACGCCGAGAATCACCCGAGCGGGGCGCCGAAGGGCGCGAGGGTCGCGTTCCACGACGCGCCGCCGGACACGCCGCTGAGCGCGCTCGGCGTGGACGACGGCGCGGAGATCGAGATCGACATCGAGCAGAGGGTGGGCGTGGGCGGGGGAGGGGGAGCGACGCCGCTGCCGGGGCGATCGGGGAGCGCGATCGACGACGACGACGACGAAGACGAAGACGAAAACGAAGAAGACGAAGTCGCGGCGGCGGACGCCGACGACGCGGACGACGGCGACTCGGAGACGGAGAGCGACGACGACGAGGAGGAGGAGCTCGACCCGCACGAGATCGTGGAGAGAGAAGCGGAGGGCGCGGGCGGGTGGAACGACAGCGGCGACGGGTGGGTCAACCTCACGCGCAGCGACGAAGACGACGATTCCGATTCCGATTCCGACGACGATTCCGACGTCGAAACGATCCTCCGAAACCCGAAGAGCCAGACCGAGGCGGACGCCCTCCTCTCCCCGCCGCCGACGATACGCCGCCCGCCCGACGCGACGGCGATCGCGCCGTCGCCGTCGGTGCAAGACCTGACGCTCACGACGCCGGTATCGCGCAAAGGCGAGTTCGCGGCGCTCGTGGACGAGGACCTGGACGAGGTCCGACGCGTGGAGAAGGAGAGCGACGAGAGCGACTCGGGTACGTTCGTATTCACACTGGCCCCCATACGACCGCGTTCGCGTGGTGAACGCCTTTTCTTAAGGACTTTTCCCGGCGCATCTCTCCGATCACCGCTCGCTTTCAATCCTCGACCCTATGATGCCTTTCAACCTCGACCGACGCCTTTCGACTCCACCCCGACCGTCGACTTTCAGCGTTGAGCGCGTCGGAGGACGATTACAACCGCGGCGGCGTCCGCGGCGGCTCTCTCCACGCGCAGATCCGCGCGTTCGCTCGCGACGCCGCGCCGGACGCGGACGACGTCGAACGCCGCGCGGCGATGTTCCGGAAGATCGACGAGGGCGTCCGAGCCGCGTTCCCCGCGGCGCGCGTGCACGTCTTTGGATCCGGCGCGACGGGTCTCGCGCTGAAAGGCGCGTCGCGTTCTATCTCACACTGGTCCCCATACGGCCGCGTTGGCGTGGTGAACGCCGATCCTTAAGGACTTTCTCTCCCGGCGCGCGTTTCTCTCCGCCCAGGGTCCCTCGCTTTCAATCCCGACACACCTCGACGCCTTTCGACTCCATCTGACGCACCCCTGAACTCCACCCCGACGTTCGTCGCTTCGCGCGGATCCTCGACCCCGAAAGAGTCCGACATCGACCTCGTCGTCACCGGCGTCGGGCCGACGACGGCGTCGAACGGCGGCGGCGGCTTCGCGCGCGCGGACCGCGAGGCCCTTGTCCGCGTCTTGCGCGCGATCGAGCGGCAGTTGCGTAGGGATAAGGTGATTCACCGCGCGCAGGTGATCTCCACCGCGAAGGTTCCGATCATCAAGATGCACGCCGGGCGCAATCCGCACACGGACGCGGCGTACGCCGTCGATCTCTCAGGCGCGTTCTATCTCACACTGGTCCCCATACGACCGCGTCGGCGTGGTGAACGCCGTTCCTTAAGGACTTTTCCCGGCGCATCTCTCCGCCCAGGGTCCCTCGCTTTCAATCCCGACACACCGCGACGCCTTTCAACTCCGCTTCTGACGCCTTTCAAATCCACCCCGACGTTCGCTCGTATGGACCCTCGACCCTCAGTCGGCGCGGTAAACGGGTTGGACGCCGTGGCGTGGATAAAGCGCCAGTGCGAGACGTTCCCCGCGCTGAGGCCGCTGGTGTTGACGCTGAAGCGGCTGCTGAAGACGCACGCGCTGGACGACGCGAGCACGGGCGGCTGTGGCGGGTACTTGCTCGTGTCGCTCGCGGTGTCGCATTTACGACTCAGCGGCGACGCGGGGAAAGCTTCGCCGGGCAACTTGGGCGCGCTCTTACTCGGATTTCTGCGACGGTTCGGGAACGATTTCGACTACGCGCGGACCGCGGTCGCGGCGGGGAGAGCGTCCGGGGTGCTCAGCGCGAAGGAGCTCGTCGTGCATCCCGGCGCGTTCGGACGGCGGCCGGTCATCCTGTGCGAGGACCCGCAGGCGCGTCTTCTTCGCGTCTTCGCGTCTCCGCAATTCTTTTTTCCTCAGCCAAAAATAAATTCTCGACCCGGCCCGGAGAGGAGGAGAAGCGCGCGGCTCTGCGACGACGTCGCGATGATATAATTGCATTTCTCGTACTGAGCGTCGATATTAGCGTGCCGACGCGTGAAGAGAATGGGCCTCGCCCACTCGCTGAGCGACGTCGTCGACGGGCCGCGTCTCTCTCTCTCTCTCTCCATTTTTTTGGTTTTTTTTTGGTTTTTTCGCCGCCCGCTCTTTCGCTCTGACGCGCACCTTATCCCGCAGGAAGTCGGCCGTAACATCACCGGCGCGGCGTACCGCTTCAAAGAAGTCAGAGGCTTGTTCCGCGCCGCCGCGGAGGCGATGCAAGCGGAGGGAGAGCTCACGTTTTTGCCCGAGATGGTCGCCCCGAACGCCAAAAAGATTAACCCGAACGATCGCTCGCCGTTCACGGGCGGACGCGGCGGCGGCGGAAGCGCGAGCGGGAGTAGCAAGACGAAGACGCGCAAGGCGGAGAGGAAAGAGAGCAGGATGAAAGCCGCCGCGCGAGGACAGGGGAAGGGGAACCAGAACCTTTTGGGGAAGAGGCAGAGGGAGACGCCGGGGGAGAAGCGCGAGCGCGAGAGAGAGGAAAACGCGCGGGAGGATTTTTTCATCGCTCGTCTGAAGAACGAGGGCATCGGGTCGCCGGCGCGGAAGCGCCAGAAGAAGAACGCGGCGTCTGGGATGGTCAACGGTGGTAAAGGCAAGGGCAAGACCAAAAGTAAAAACGGCGTCGAGGCGACGGCGGCGTACGGCAACTCGAAGAACGGCAACTCGAAGTCGAAGCAAAAGAACCGAACGTCCCCCGGCGGCGGCGGCAAAGGCGGCGGCGGTCGGCCGGACGTGAAGCCCAAGAGCGCGGCGAGGAGAAACGCGAAGAAGAAGACGAAGAAGCGGAAAGGCGCGAGCGCGGCGGCGAACGGCTCCGGCAAGCGCGGAAGAAAAGGATGGGGCACGGGGTAGTGAGCGCGTCGCCTCAAAATACGTTAGAACCAATTTAAGGTTAACCTTAGTTAGGCTGCAGTCATGTCAAGTGATACATTCGAGCGCGAATCGTCGTCGCGTGAACTCACGATACGGTTGTACGTCAACCGTGTTAACTTCCGCGAAATAATCATCTATCTATCTACCCGCGCGCGCGGCGTCTGCATGTACGACCGACCCGACCCGATCCCGACACCGCGCGGACGTCAGCTGAGCTCCTTCCACGCCTCCACGCCGTTCGCGGACGGAGACGAGATCACCACCCGACCGTCGCACCCTTCCCGTTTCGCCGCCTCCAACATCGCGTCCGCGACTTCCACCGCGAGAAACGTCACCATCGTGTCCGCGTCCACGTCCGAGCCGTGCCCGCCCGTGAGCGCGAGCACCGTGGGCCCGGCGCCGCTGAGGAACGCCCCGTGCGCGCCCTTGGAGTACGCCGCGTCGATGAGCTCCGCGAGCGGAAACGCCGCGCCTCGTACGGGTTGATGAATCACGTCCTGACACGCGTACCTGACAGGGTCGTTCCATACAAAAATAGTTCATCGGTCAGTTGAAAGAAGACGCGATCAAGTGTTGAAACCGAGCGGTGGGTGAAAAACGTTTGTATAGAACGCACCTGAGCGCCTCCAAGTTACCGGTGCTGAAGCTGTTCACGAGCATCGCCGCGCGGGAGATGTTATACACCGCGTCCGCGACGGGGATCTCCTTCGGCAGCGCCGCGCGCGTCTCGGACGTGAGCGATTCGAAATCTGGGATGAACAGGATCGCTTGCATGCCGTCGGGAAGCCGCACCGCCTGCGTCACCCACTGCTTCCCGGTGTTGATCGACACCTGGAACCCGCCGTATATCGCCGGCGCGACGTTATCCGGGTGCCCCTCGCAGTCCGCGGCGAGCTGAAGCAGCAGCTGCTTCGTCTGCGGCGCCGCGAGGTCTTGCCCCGCGAGCGCGAGCCCCGCGGCGAGGCCGGAGACGAGCGCCGCGCTCGACGACCCCAGCCCGCGCGCGGGCGGGATGCGGTTCACGCTCTTGAACCGGATGTTTTCGATCGGGAGCTCGCGGTCGGGGTAGATGGCGCTGAACCCGTCCTTCACGGCTTGAATGATCGCGTTCGACTCGTCGCGCGGCAGCGAGTCTTCGCCCTCGCCGACAACGTCCACGACGAATTCGCCTCGCTCGAGGATGAGCTCGTTCTCGAGGTCCACCGCGAAGCCGAAGGAGTCGAACCCGGGGCCCATGTTCGCGCTCGTCGCGGGGACGGAGACGCTGCGGGGGCGCGGAGGTTAGGTTTGGAGCGGGGGGGGAGGCGGGACGGACGGACGGTCAGTCGATTCGATTCGCGCGAGGAGGCGATCGATCGTCCATCGCGAGACGAGACGAGACGAGACGAGACTTTTTGGCTTGAGGGTTAGGGCCGACGAGGCGATTCATCATTACGACGCGCTCTCGTCGCGCGCGTCACACTGGTCCCCATACGACCCCGTCCGCGTGGTGAACGCCGTTCCTTGAGGACTTTTGCCGCCGAGAGGACGCGCGCGCGGCGATGGAAGAAGACGCGGGGACTGACGCACATGAGCTTCTCGCCGTCTTTCAGGTCGATGTCCTCGTCCTTCGCGAGCTGCCGATCCGTGGACCACTGCGGCTTCGATTTATCCCCGGCGGCGGCTTGCGCTCTCGGCGCGACGCCGACGCGAACGCGCGCGCGGCGCGGCAGCCCGCGCGTCAGCGTCGCGCGTCGACGCGCGGCGAGCGGCGCGCGCGCGGAGAGCGCGAAAGCGGAAGACATGGCGGGACGGGTGAGCGTCGTGCGACACGGCGGTCGCGCCCGGACGAGTGGGTCCGCGCGAGTGGATGAGCCGACCTTTCCAACGCGCTCGGCGCAGATCCGGATCTCAGAAAAGCGCCAAAAAGTGCCAGGAGGGCGGGTTCGGCGGAGCGCGGACCGATGCGCGGAGGAGGTCTACGTCTGCGTGCTCCGCGCGCGAACGAATGGATTACATATTCAACTCCACCCCGACATTCGCTCGTGTAGAACGCGCCTCAGTAACTCCGCCCCCATATCACCCACGTCGTCGCCGGCGCGCCCGTGACGAAACACTTCGTCCCCGGCTCCAACGGCGGCTGAATGAACGGAATGCACAGCGTCTTCGCGGCGCCGCCCTCGCCGTCGTCCATGCTCCGCTTCTTCACGAGCTCTTCGCTCTCTTTCGTCTCGCACCACGGCGTGAGGACCATCTTCTTCGCGTCCAGCGCCGCCACGAACCCGTCCCAGGACGTACACGTGGTGATCGCCTCGTTGCGTTTTTTCGTCGCGCGCGCGAGCATATCCGCCTGCATCTCCTCGCACAGCTTCGGCAGCCGCGTCGGCAAGTCTTCCAGCTTGACCGTCTCCTTCGCGCGATTGTCGCGGCGCACGACGACGCAGTGCCCAGCCTCGAGGTCTCTCGGGCCGAACTCGCATCGCAGCGGGACGCCCTTGAGCTCCCAGTGGTTGTACTTCCACCCCGGGGTGTAGTTGTCGCGGTCGTCGAGTTTCGCGCGCATGCCCGCGGCGAGCAGCGACGCCGTCATCTTCTGGCCCGTCTCTGTTTGTTTTCGAGTGATTTGATTCGATTTGATTTGATCGATCGATCGATGGATGGATGGGGTGGAAGGGTCGCGTGAGCCGAGGGTCGCGGCGGTCGGCGGGGAAAGGAAGAGAAGAGAGGAATGACGGACGGACTGTAGGGCTCCTCATTATAACGAAGCCACAACCTCGCGGTCGACGACTCGTTACTGGTAAGGGGCCTCACGGCGGAGGTCGCATTTTTCAGTGCGCCGCGCTCGGTGTGCGGCTCGGACGTCCGAGGACGTTTCTCGCCGCGCGGGACGATTCGCCCGCGCGAGAGACGGTAAGAGCCGGGCGGATCGAAGACGCGCGCGCGGCAAACGGAGGGCGCCAAAAGAAAAGAAGCGGAAACGAAAACGAAAGCGATCCATCCCGGCGGACGCCCGCGACGAACGAACGAACGCGACGCGACGCGACGCACCCTTCATGCGACCCGTGTCCTCCTTAGACATCTTCGTGTTCGGGATCGTGATGACGACCGCCTGCAGCGGCGCGACGCGCGGCGGCAACACCAACCCGATGTCGTCCCCGTGCACCATGACGGCGACGCCGATGGTGCGCGTCGTGCACCCCCACGAGTTTTGCCACGCCATCGACCGCCCGCCGGTGGCGTTTTCGAACGTGATGTCGAACATCTTCGCGAAGTTTTGCCCGAGGCAGTGGCTCGTCGCGCCCTGGATCCCTCGTCCCGTCGCGGGCACGAACGCCTCCACGGTGGTGGTGTAGAGCCCGCCCGCGAATTTTTCCTTCTCGGATTTCACGCCCGGAATCACCGGCACCGCGAGGAGTTCCTCGTAGACGCGGCGGTACAGCTCCAGGATGTGCCTCACCTCCGCGTCCGCGTCCTTCTTGTTCGTGAACGCGGTGTGGCCTTCCTGCCACAGGAACTCGCGCGAGCGAATGAACGGCGTCGGGTGCTTGAACTCCCACCGAACGACGTTGCACCACTGGTTCAGCTTGAGGGGTAAATCTCGGTGGCTTCGGATCCAGTTCGCGAACTGCGGGTACATCACCGTCTCCGACGTCGGTCGGACCGCGATGGGGATGTCCAGATCGCTCTGCCCGGACCTCGTGACCCACGCCACCTCCGGGGCGAAGTCCTCGATGTGGTCCTTCTCCGCCTCGAGCCTCGCGGCGGAGACGAACAGAGGGAAGTAGCAGTTCTCCACGCCCGTCTTTTTAATCTCCGCGTCGAAGAAATCTTTGATGCACTCCCACATGCTGTACGCCCACGGTCGCAGAATGTAACACCCGGAGATATCGTAGTACTCGATGAGCTCGCCCGCGACGACGACCTGCGAGTACCACGCCCCGAAGTCGTCCTCCACGGACGCGGTGAGACCCAACCCGGTCTCTTTGATCGCCTTGGCGTTACCCGCCTTCTCCTTCTTCGCGGGCGGCGGCTTCTTCTCGCCGCCGCCCTTACCCTTTCCCTTCGGCGGCGCCGCGACGACGCCCTTGAGCGCGTCCGCGCGCTTCTTCAGCTCCAGCAACGTCGCCACGGCAGCCTTGACCTGATCGTCCGTCACCGTCGCGTCGCCAGCCTTCTTCGCGTCCTTCAGAGACTTCACGACGAGCCCCTGCGCGCTCGCCGCCGCCTCCGCGGCGGCGATCTCCTCCGGAGTCCCCGTCGGCGGGCCCGTCGCCGCCGGCGCCGGCGCGGACCGAGACGAAGACCGCGGCTTCGCGGCGGTAGCGGCGGATTCGGCGGCGGCGCCACTGTCATTATTCCCACTACTCGGGATCGTCACCGCGTCCACGCTCGTCGGCGTCCCGATCGCCTTTTGAATCCCCGGCGACGCCGCGACGGTGTACAGCAGCCGGCACACGTTGGGATACCGCTCCTTCGCCGCGGCGTCCACGGCGCACGAGAAGGCGTCGTACAGCGAGCACACGACGAACACGTCCGCGAGCGTGAGGTTCTCGCCGTCCGCCATGAACCGCTCGTCGTCCTTTTCGTACCTCGGCGCGAGGTATCGCTCGAGCTCGGCGAGCGCGGCGTCTAATCGCGTCGCCGCGTCGTCGAACGCGGCTCGCACGAACGGCGTCTCGCCGCGGAGCATTTTGACGCACGTCGCGACGCGCGGCGCGAGGACCTCGTCGTCCCATTTCACCCACGCGTCGACCTGCTCGCGCGGGGCGTACATCGGGTACGTCCCCGTGCTCGCGAGCGCTTTCGCGCACGTCGTCGCGCCGGCGACGTCGCCGCCCGGCACGCCGCGCAGGATGGGCGCGAGCGCGGGGTCGATCGCGCCGTCGTAGGATGCGAGCGGGAGGAACGCGATGTCGTGCTCGCCGAGGCTCGCGACCACCTTGGACTTGATCGAGCCGTCGTGGGGCTTCGTGTACATCGAGAGCGCCTGCGGCGCGGGGGGTGGGGCGGGGGCGGACGGACGGGGAGGACGGGGGGGGGCGGAGGAGAGGTGAGAAGAGAAGAGAAGAGAAGATCGATCTTCCGTCGCGTCGGAGCGGCGGAGCGGCGAGCGATCGATCGGTCGATCGATCGAACCGCGCGCGGCCGCGGCGACGCGTCCTCCTCGCGGCGGGCGTCGGACGAGGGAGAGGGCGGACGCGCACCATGGCGATGTCGCGATGAGCCGGCGCGGGGCCGCTGCGGGCGCGCGTCTTCGAGTGCGGACGCGTCGCTGGAACGCGGGCGCGCGAAGCGGCGACGCGGCGGCTGCGGCGACGGAAGGTCAGAAGGGCTCGCGCTCTGCTCGATCCCGCGGCGAGATCGCGCGCGAGCTGGCGGGCGAACTCGCGCGGCGTCCAGGCTGTACGAAGGTAGTTTCCGCGAGGGAAAAAATTATCCGGTTCCTTCCGGTCGCCGTGATACTTCTCTCCGCGCCGCCGCACGACCGGGCGCGCGATGATGCCCCCAAGATAAAGCTCAGGTCTCGTTTCTACATCCCTTATTAATTAAATCTACTGCGCTGCTACAGTACCTCCTCTCGCGGCTCTCCCCGAGCGGACCGAACCGAGCGCCGCCGTCTCCCGTCTCGCGAACGACGCTCAGGGCCGTTCTATACAAGCGAACGTCGGGGTGGAATTCAAAGGCGTCAGTTGAAGTTGAAAGGCATCGAGGACGGGGATTGAAAGCGAGGGGTAGGCGCAGAGAGACGCCGGCAAAAGTCCTTAAGAAACGGCGTTCACCACGCCAACGGGGTCGTATGGGGACCAGTGTATAGAACGCGCCTCACGGCGGCGGCAACCGCCCCGTCGCGCGCACGTGCGAAAACACCGCGCGCAGGCCGTGTTTATTATGCGCGGCCAACGCGGCGCGTAACCCGTCGCCGTATATCTCGCTGCGGTCCGTCCGTATCTGGTTCGCGACGTACCCCGCCATCGCGGCGGCGTTCGCTTCCTCCCACGACGCCGGAGCCGGCGCGGAAACTTTTCCGCCTTTCCCGCCGCCGCCGCTCGAGGGTCCCCCCCTCTCTCGCGACACGCCGTGCAGCGCCGCGTTCTCGACCCACAGCAGCGCCATGAGCTGACACAGCCCTTCCTCGACCTTCGGCTCCAGGCGCGGGTACCCACCCGCGAGGCGTATGTACGCGTGCGTGCACTCGTGCGCGAGAATCGCGCCGGCGGCGATGAGCGGTAAGCCGTACAACACGACGACCGCGTTCACGGTGTGCCCCGCGGTCCGCGTCACGACGCGCTCGCTGAACCCTAACCCCGGAAACCCAGAACTGTTACTAAATCCCCTCCCGCCGTTCACGTTCGGCACGCGCTCCACGGTTCGGATGCGGTGCTCCTGGAACATGCACAGACCGCGCGTGCGCGCGGTTCGGCCGCGATGCCACCCCTCGACGTCGTCCGCGTCGTTGAGCATCTCTTGCGGGACTGAGGGTCGTTCCATACGAGCGAATGTCGGGGTGGAGTTGAAAGGCGTCAGATGGAGTTGAAAGGCGTCGAGGTGTGTCGGGATTGAAAGCGAGGGGTGGGCGGAGAGAGACGATGGCAAAAGTCCTTAAGGATCGGCGTTCACCACGCGAACGCGGTCGCATGGGGACCAGCGTATAAAACGCGCCTAAATGCAGCGGCGGTCGCTGCGGCAGCAGCGGCATGTCTTTGCTCTCGAAGAAGAGGCACACGTCGTCGTACAGCGGCGGCGCGTCCGAGGCGCTGTCGATGACCGCCGTGGACGCGCACTCGATGCACAGCGCTCTGCCGTCCGGCAGCTCGCCGAATTGATTCTCCGACGTTCCGCGGCGTTCCAAACGATCGCAGCCGTCGCATCGACGCGTGCCGTCGTCGTCGTGCGTCGGACAAAACACGTCGCCCCAGTACGGGTGCGTGAGAAACTTCACCGATCCCGACCGGTCCGCGGGGATGAAGACGTCGCACACGACGCACTTCGGGTGGAACAACTCTCGGAAACACGATTTGTGATACGCGACGCCGTCGCGCGTCGCGAACGAAGGCTCCGCGATGACGCGGCGACACCCCGCGCACGTGAAACACGTCGGGTGCCACGTCCGCCCCATCGCGCTGATCCCGCCCGTCCACGCGGTCGATCGCTCGCACCCGGGGCAGTGTCCGGGGGGAACGGATCGAACGGGAACCGGAGAAGGCGGGACGAAGGACGCGCCCGGCGCCGGCGCCGGCGCCGGCGCCGCCGCCCACCCGGCGTCCTCTTCCTCCTGCAGCGCCCTCGCGAGCGCCTCGTCGTCCGCCGCCGTGGCGTCGCGTCCGCTGGGGGCTCTCCCGCCGTCGCCGTGGTGACGCGCGGCGGCTTCCGTCTCTTCCTCCGCGAGCGCCCTCGCGAGCGCGGCGTCCGCGTCTTCGTCGTCGCGTCTGCGTCCGCCTCCGCCGCCGCCGCCGCCGCCGCCGCCGCCGCCGCCGCGCGCGCCGCCGCCGAATATCAACCCCCCCGCGGAGAGCATGTCCCGCCCCGCCGCGGCCGCCGCGATCGCCGCGTCTCTGCGGCGGTTCGCCGCGAGGTCGTCGAGCTCGACGTCGACGTCGTCGTCGCGGCGCGGCGGCGGCGCGCCTCGCCCTCCTCCGCCGCCGCCGCCGCCCCAACCTTCCGCGCGCCCCCTCGCTCGCGCCTCCGCCATCATCATTCCTCCGTTCGAGTTACCGGACGCGGCCGCCGCGGCCGCGGCTTCTTCTTCGCGCTGAAGCCTCGCCGCGAGCATCGCGTCGGACTCCGTCGCCGTCGCCGTGGCCTCGTCATCGCGTCGCTGCATCCGAGCCGCGACGCGCGCGTCCTCTTCGACCTGTCTTCGCCGCGTCTCCGCTCGCGTCGCGCCCAAGGCGTCGAGCTCGACGTCCGCGCGTTGCGGTCGCGGAGCATCGCGGCCGCTCGCGCTCGCGCCGCCGACGCTCGCTTCGAGCGCCTGGAACGATGCGAGGAGGGAGGAGGGGACGAGGCGCTGATGACGTGAGCGACGACGAAGGATGGCGAAGGAAAAAAAACGACGACGACGACGAGGCCGCGTTCATCTGTCGCGAGCCGGAATCTCGCGCACCTTGCGGAGCTGCTCCTCCTCTATCTCCGCGAGCGCGGCCTCGAGGGTCGCGCCGCCGCTCGTGTGACCCGGAGGCGGCGACGGCCGCGACCGCGCGGACGACGCGCTCCCCATGGCGCCGCCCCGGAGTGACGCCGACGACTTCCGAGAAGTTTCTTCGTCCGCGTCACGACGCGACGCGACGACTGCGACTCGTCTGTCTGTTGCTGACACGAGAGTCAGACAGGATCGTTTCGCCGATACAACGCGTCGCGCGCCGCGGCCGCACGCGCGCGATGACGACCGCGGCGGACGACGCCGCGGAGGACCTCCTCGAACGCCTCGCGGACGTCGGGTGCGTCTCTCCCCGGTCCGACGCGCCGTCCACCGTCCGCCGTCGCCGTCGCCTCTCGTTCGCTCGACGACGCCCCCCCCCACCTCGATCGATCGACATCGACCGACGCGTCCCACCCCTCCCTCCTCTCCCCCCCCCAGCGTCCCCGTCGACGACGCGTCCCCGGGCGACGTCACGCGTCGCGCGTCCCCCGCGGACTTCGTGCGCATCGCGCAGCACCTCGCGTCGGACGTCGCCGCGCTCGTCGAGACCGCGGGCGCGGACGATGCGCGCGGCGTCGAGGCGGCGACGCACGCGATCGTGCGATCGTGCGCGTCGTCCGCGTCCGTCTCCGCGACGACACCGAACGCGGCGGACGCGAACGCGCGGCGGATCGAGCAAGGGCTTCGCCGGCTTCTCGCCGCGATCGACGCGGAGTCGCGCGCGGCGTCGTGCGACCTGCGGACGCTGCTGGACGAGCTGGTGACCTACGTGCAGAGTGGCGTGATGCTCTCGAGGAAGAGTGAGGTGCGTTCTATACACTGGTTCCCATACGACCGCGTTCGCGTGGTGAACGCCGATCCTTAAGGACTTTTCCTGGCGTTTCTCTCCGCTCACCCCTCGCTTTCAATCCCCGCCCTCGATGCCTTTCAACGCCAACTGACGCCTTTCAACTCCACCCCGACGTTCGCTTGTATAGAACGGCCCTGAGAGCGACGGCGCCGCGGGGGCGGGAGCGGGCGCGGGCGCGATGGATACCGAGGACGCGGGGCCGCCCGGCCTCGACGACGCGGCGGAAGAGAGGACGTCGAACGCGCTGTGGCGGATGGCGGACGCGCTGGTGGACGACGACGCCGTCCCCGCGGCCGCGGCGGCGGCGGCGGCGGGGGATGCAGATTCAGCCGGAGCCGTCGCCGCCGCCGTCGCGGCCGCCGTCGCGAAGGCGCTGTCGCGCCTCCCCGCCGACCACCTCGACCGCCTCTTCCCGGCCGGGTCCTTGGAAACCCTAAACCACGACGTGACTGAAACTCTTCGCGCGATCGTCCGCGCGCTGAACGACGAGTACGCGGTTCGAAAGGAAACCGTCGGCAAGCGCGCGGGCGTCGCCGCGCAGTCGTTCGCGTACTCCAAGGTGCGTTCTATTGCACACTGGTCCCCATACGACCCCGTTCGCGTGGTGAACGCGGATCCTTAAGGACGTTTGCCGTCGTCTCTCTCCGCCCACACCTCGCTTTCAATCCCCGCCCTCGACGCCTTTCAACTCCGCTTCTGACGCCTTTCGACTCCACCCCGACGTTCGCTCGTATGGAACGGCCCCGAGCGAATGAAACCCCGCCCGGAGCTCGCCGCGGCGTTTCTCCGCCGCGCCGGCGCCGGCGACGGCGACGGCGACGACGGGACGCTGCAGACGCGCGCGAGCGTGACCGTCGCCGACCTCGCGGACGCGCGCGTGGGGGACCTCGCGCGCGCGAATCTGCGGACGAACGCGGAGGCGCGCGCGAGCGTGCGCGACGCGAGCGCCAAGCGCGTCGTCATCGGCGCGGTGCGTTCTATGTCACACTGGTCCCCATACGACCGCGTCCGCGTGGTGAACGCCGATCCTTAAGGACTTTTGCCGGCGCATCTCTCCGCCCAGGGTCCCTCGCTTTCAATCCCGACACACCTCGACGCCTTTCAACTACGCTTCTGACGCCTTTCAACTCCACCCTGACATTCGCTCGTATGGAACGGCCCTAAGGTGCCGGACCGCGGCGGAAGGACGGACGGGACCAGGGGCGAGGGCGGCGCTTCGATGCCGGCGTTCCGCGAGCGGCGAGCGGGGGGAGGGGATGGTGGTGGAGGAGGAGGGGGAGGAGGAGGGAGAGGCGGCGGCGGACGCGGAGGCGGGGGGGGAGGACGAGGCGGCGGGGGAGGACGCGGCGGCGGCGGCGGCGGCGGTCAAAAGAAACGCGGGAAAAAGTCTGGGTCGTTCGCGTAAACGCCGCGCGCGGATGACGGCATAACGTAGCTCTCGTCGTGATGCTTCCTTCGCGCGTGCAGTACTTACAAACGTCCGCGCCGTCCGTCTCTCTATAAATGCGCTCGTCACGCCGCGGTGGCCGCCGCGAGCGCGTCGCGCGTCGCGGTGACCGCCTCCTCCACGGTTCCGTATCCCGCCGGATCAACCGACCCGGCGGCGGCGGCGACGATCGCGGGCGCGAACCCGGCGAGCCCGACGACGCGGACGCGCGCGCCGTTCATCGGCCACTCGAACGGCACCTCCATCGCGAGCGTCCCGACCGGCGACAGCGGCGCGCGCACGATCGCCTCCATCGCGTTCCATTCCACCGCGGTTCCGTTCGCCGCCGCCTTACTCAACGCCTCCATTCGCGCCGCCGTCGCGGCGACGCGCGTGCGCGTCTCGCACAGCAAGTCAGACAGCGCGCTCTGCGCGTCCGCGGCGGACCGCGCGACGGCGACGACGTCCTCGATCGGCACGTCCGCGGGCTCCAAAGACGCGTCCTTCACGGCGACGGACCCGGGGTGGAACTCCACGCGCATCAGATGTTCCTTTTCTCTCCCCGCGTCGTCAAAGTCGCCTTCTCCGTCGATCGCCTTCTCCGTCGGGGGCAGCGCCGTGCGCACGCTCAGCGTGAGCCTCACGCCGCCGTCGTCCACGGACACCACGCGCACGCCCTGCAGCGTCTCCACCAGCGCCTTCTGCTCGCGGATCAGCGCGTCCGTCTCCGCGATCTCCGCCATCGCCTTCGCCTCGCGTTGCATCGCGCGCCCCGCGCCGGCGAGAAGCGCCAATTCCGCCTTGCACTCCGCGAGCGCCGCCTCCCCGGGCTCGAGCGCGCTCCGCATCGCCATCGCCTCGCTCTCTCGCGCGCGCAGCGCCGCGTTCACGCGCGTCGCCTCCGCGTCCAGCTCGTCGAGCATCGCGCGCGCTTCCGCGTCCGTGAGATGCTCGTCCGCCGGGTCCGGCGCCGCGTGCTTCGATTCGTCGTCGGGGTGGAGTTGAAAGGCGTCAGAAGCGGAGTTGAAAGGCGTCGCGGGCGGGGATTGAAAGCGAGGGGTAGGCGCAGAGGGACGCCGGCAAAAGTCCTTAAGGATCGGCGTTCACCACGTGGACGCGGTCGTATGGGGACCAGTGTACAGAGCTCGAACGAACCTTCGCGACGCCCGCGCTCGCGAGCTCCGCGGCGTCCACATCGCGCTCCAATCCTTCCAACGCGTCGACGCGCGCCGCGAGGTGCGCCTTCTCCGCCTCGAGCGCCGCCGCGGACGCGCCGACGCGCGTCACGAGGTCTTCGACCACCTTTTCGTTCGCGTCGTTCGCGTCTTTGAGCTGCTTCAGCGAAGCGTTGCGCGCGCGGAACGCGTCGGATTCCTCGGGGGGCGCGCGAGGGAGCGGGCGGGACTCGAGGATGGAACGCAAGAACGCGCGCTCTGTCCCGAGCTCGATCGTGCCGAACTTCAGGCGCTTGATGTTCGTCTTGATGCGCTCCAAGTCCGCCTCGGAGTTCCCCAGCGCCTTCTCGCGCGCGGCGTCTAAGATGCGCGCGAACGACTCGGTCGTCTGGTTCAGCTCCGCGAGCGCGCGTCTGAACGTTCCGGTGGAGGGGTTCTCGCGCAGCGCGCGCATGGCGTCGCCCTTGCGGAATAAGCCGGGGGAGTGCACGCTGATGTCCTCGAACGTGAGCTCCTTCGCGATGTCCCTCGTGACGTTCACCGTCGTCGTCGGCGCGTTCTCAGCCATTGCGAGCGACGACGACGACGAACGGGCGACGATGCGATGCGGTCGTTGCTTTTTTTCGTGACGCCCGCCGCCGGCTTCGAGGACGCGACGACGTGGACGAGACGCGCGGACGAGACGCGGTTCGCGCGCGTTCGCGGACGTGCGCGCGCGTGTCGCGGTCGATGCGCGCGCGGCCTCGGGCGCGTGCGGTGCGCGGCGCGCGGGGGTATGACCTCGCGCGAGGTGGCGCGCGGGGGGGAACGAGATTCCGTCGCGGCCTCGGAAAATCCAGCAGCTGTCAGTGGTTTCAAATTTCATCGCGGTCGAGCCTTGGTCAATATTTTTCTTGAACCCGATTTTCACCGACCAGCACCGCGATCAACGAACGACCTTCAGTTATCATATTACCGGGGAAATCGGCCGCTCGGCGTCGTCACTACGGAAGGCGCCGGCCGCGGCGAGGAGGAGTCAGGGGTCGCGAGCCCGCGCGAAGGGCGATGTTCGCGCCGTATCAGGGCGGGCCTTTCGTCGAGGTCTTCTCCCCGCAGGTGCGCGATCGCACAGACGACCGCGGCGCCGCCCCCCCGCGTCGCCGTCCGTCGTCCTCGCGGCGCCAGATCGCGTTCGTTCGTTCGCTCCCGCGTTTTTGAATGGCAATGGCTCACCTCTCTCGTCCGACGCGCGCGCGCAGGGGAAGGACCCGACGGGGGACTGGAAGATGCTCGGCGGGAAGGCCGTGAAGCGGATTTACGAGAAGACCGTGAAAGGATACGTGTACTGCGTCAGCGGCGGCCCGGGGCACAAGATGCAGCTCCCGAAGGACGAGCGCAGAGGACGTGCGTTCGTCGTCCGCGTCATCCCGTCGTCCCATCGCGCGGCCTTTTGACTTTCGTCGCTCCGCCGTCCTCCGCGCGCGACCCACCCCCGCTGACCGTCCGTCCATCTCCTCCTCCTCCTCCTCCTCCTCATCCGCGCGCGCGTCGCAGTGAGCCTGAAGCAGCCGTACCTCGTCGTCCAGATCTTCGTCCCGGAGGGCGCGCACGTCTCGTTCGAGGTCGGCGTCAGCGACTCGGACGGCACGCGACGCCGACTCTTCTTTTCCACCTCCTTCAGGCGCGTTCTATGTCACACTGGTCCCCATACGACCGCGTTCGCGTGGTGAACGCCGTTCCTTAAGGACTTTGCCCGGCGCATCTCTCCGCCCAGGGTCCCTCGCTTTCGATCCCCGCCCTCGACGCCTTTCAACTCCGCTTCTGACGCCTATGAACTCCACCCCGACGTCGCTTTGTATGGAACGACCCTCAGCGACGTCAAGTCCTCGCCGCTGCACGTCCAGGTGCCGCTTCCGCGCGGGATCTTGCAGCACGGGACGTGGACGAACTTGGCGCTGGACGTCCCCGCGCTCGTCGCCGCGCTGTTCGCGTCCCAGGGCGGCGAGCGCGTCGCGCATCGCGCGGTGGAGAGCGTCGCCGTGGGCGCCACGTGCAAGGTGCGGAAAATTTTCACGCTCAGATCCCCGCCGCTGGCGACGGCGGCGGACGTCCTCGACGGGAGCGTCGGAGGCGGCGGCGGCGGCGGCGGCGGGGCGGCGGCGGCGGCGGCGGCGCGCGCGCGCGCCGCGGCCGCGGCCGCGCGCCGGACGCCGTTCAACGTCGCGATGCATCAGTTTCAGTACGACGCCGGCGACGGCGGCGGCGGGAACGATGTGGGCGGGGGGGGACCCGCGGATGATCCGATCGCCGGCGTCCCCGGCGTCGGTGTCCTCGGCGTGTTCGACGAGCCGATACACCGAGCGGTGGACTTCTTACCCGGGGTCGACAGGCGCACGCGCGTGCTCGACCCCGCGCGGTTGTCGCGGTGCGACGTCGCGCTCCCGAGCGACGGCGGCGACGGCGGCTTCGTCTCGCGCGAAGGCTCGGCGCACGGCGGCGAAGCCGCGCGCCCTCGAAGCGGCGACCGCGTCTTCGGCGACCGCGAGACCGAGGGCGTGTCCACCCCGGGCGGCGGGTCGCGAGGCGCGAGTCGCGGCGACGGCGGCGGCGGCGTCCACCTCGCGTTCGGGAGCAGGTTCACGCCGCGAGGAGGCAGCGCGGGCTCGGACGCGCCCGGCAGCCGCGGCGGCGCGCGACGCGGCGGCGGCGGCGGCGGCGGCGGCGGCGGCGGGTCTCGGCCGTCGTCGCAGCACCTCACCCCGCGCGGGGAACGCCGCGGCGGCGACGGGTACGGGTACGATCTGAACGACCACTTCGGACGAGGATTGAGCGTGGGCGGCGGGCACGGCGGCGGCGAGCTGCTCGTGGAGCCGATGTACCCGCCGAGCGCGGCGGCGTCGCCGAGCGCGCGCGGCGGCGGCGGCGGCGGCGGCGGCGGCGGCGGCGGCGGGTCGTCGTGGGGGTTCCGGAACGCCATCCCGGGCCCGGACGACGACGACGCGGCGCTGACGACGCGGGGTGGGGGGATGCCGTCGCCGAAGTCGCCGAAGGGGACGTTCGGCGTGTTCAAGGTGGGATCGGCGCCGGTCGGCGGGGCGAGGGCGGCGACGGCGAACGCCAAGCCGTCGAATCTCCTCGCGTCGTCGAGGACGCCGCGCGGCGCCGCGAGCGCGCGGACGGGGTCGTCGCGCGGCGCGCGGTTCGCGTCGTCGCCGTCGCCGTCGCCGCGGCGCTCGAGCGTCGACATGGGCGTGTTCGGGAGCAGTTACGCGGGCGAGGGCGAGTCCTCCCGGCGCGCGTCGTCGGGGGTTCGACTCTCGGCGGACGGCTTCGGCCTCGGCGGCGGCGGAGGCGGCGGCGGCGGCGAGGGGGACGCGTCGCCGACGCAGCCCCCCGCGCATCTGTACTCGAGCACGCGGTACGACGACGGCGCGGGTCCGGGTCCGGGTCCCTCGAGGCGACGGTCCGGCGCCGCGAACGTCTCCCTACTGAGCCTGCAGATCCCCCGCGACGACGGGCGGTGGGGCGTCGTGTCGTCTCCCGAGGAGGCGACGGCGGAGCCGCTGCGAAGCGTCCGGTCGCCGACGCAGCCCGACGGATTCCCGGACGCGGCGCCGGCGGGGGGAACGAAGACGAAGACGACGACGAACGTGCTTCAGGGCGCGACGCGCGTGTCCGACACCGTGCGATTATCGTCCTACGACGACGACGTCGACGACGACGCCGCGGAGCTCGCGATGGCGTTGAACGCGCCAGCGTCGCCAGAGTCGGCGGAGGACGGCGTCGCGTACTACCCGAACGGCAGCGGCGGGCTCGCGGAGGGTGAATACGCGTACGACGACGACGCCGGCGACGACGAGATGCTCCTCACATTCCCGCGCGAGAGCGATATGTTGCTCCCCCCGCGCCACCTCGGCGGTCACGGCGACCGCGACGCGCATCACTCCAGGGGGGGCGAGTCGTCGCGGTCCTTCGGCGGCGCGAGCGCGTCGGGCGCGTCCGACGGGGGGATCCCGTCGCGACGCGAGACGCCGATCCCCGGGGCGTACCCGCCGCCAGCTGTCGGGCACGGCGGCGTCGGCGTCGGCGTCGGCGTCGGCGTCGGCGTCGGCGTCGGCGCGGGCGGTCCGGGTGGGGCGCGAGCGATGCACTACCGCGCGTTCACCCCGGACCTCGTCGTGCCGTCGTCGTACGGCGCGAGCGGCACGCCGAGGAAAACCGCGGGGGAGGCGCAGCGCGAGGAGGAATACGGAACGTCAACCGCCGCCGCGGAAGACGCCGCCGCCGCCGCCAGGGAGGCGTCGAGAGAGCCGAGCGCCGCGTCCGCGGAGAGCGGCGGCGGGGAAGACGCGGCGACGGCGACGACGACGGCGCCGCCGCCGAAGCCCGAGGGCGCGGCGGATTTAGACCTCATCTACGACCCGGTGCTGAACTATTACTTCGAGCCGAAGACGGGGAAGTACTTCGAGCTGATGTGACGCGACGCGACGCGACGCGCGATGGATGCCTTTCCGCGGACGGCGGCGAGTGGGGACGCGCGACGAGTCCGGTATTTAAGACGTAGCGAGTCAACCGTACCGTAATAATAAACGTCGGTTGACGACGACGACGTCTCCTACGTAAACGACTCGACGACCGCCGCCGCGTCGTCAGTGCCAACCCGCAGCCCCCGCGGCGAACCCTCTGAACGCCGCGTAGCTCGGCCTCGACGGCACGCCGATGACCTGCGGCCCGTCCCCTAACCCCGGCCCGTCGTCGTCGTCGTCGTCGTCGTCCTCCCCCTCCCCCGCGCCGCCCTCCCTGTTCAACCTCTCCCATCTCGCCCTCGCCGCGGCGTCCACGTCAAACCCCGTCGCCTCCTCCTCCTCCCTCTTCTTCTCCTCCTCGAGCGCCTGCATCCGCGCGTGCTCCCTCGCGAGCGCGCTCCCCTCCACGCCCGCGCGCAGCCTGCGCGCCTCGTCGCGATCGATGATCATCCGCCTCGTCTTCCCCGTGTTGTCGTGCGCGTAGTCGCGCTCCGGTTTCAGAATCTCAGCCACGACCCACTTCTTCATCTTCGACAGCGGGCGCGAGTGCGTGAGCTTGACGATGTCGCCCTCCCTGCACTGGTTCATTTCGTCGTGCGCCTGCGGAGGTTGGGGGAGGGCGTCGTGAGCGTGAGGGGGAGAAGACCGCGGGGCGCGAGCGGCGGGACGATCGATCAGACCGATCGATCGGTCGATCGATTTAGGGTTCATTCATCTCCTCGCGCGCTGTCCTCGAGGCTGGGGGGAAAAACGTCGCCGCCCCGCACCATGTATCGCTTCCGCGCGCGCATGATCTTCGGCATTCTCTTGTGCCTGAACAGCCTCTCGACGACGACGACGACGGACTTCATCATCTTGTTGCTCACGACGACCCCGGTCAGCGGTTTCACCATCGTGCCCGACGCGTGAGTACGACGACGGGCCGGGGCGCGCTATGGAGTGATCGTGACGACGGACGCGACGAAACGCTGCGCTGGCCTGGGCAAAACGAACAGACGAAGCAGAACGAGTGTTTTTGCATTTTTTCCAGACTCGTCGTCGGACTACAACTAAACTTACTCAGGGTCGCCCCCGCGTCGTAACCGCACGACGCAGTCGTATACCTCCGCGTCCAACCTCCGCGCGTTGATCTCGCTCTTCACCATCGCGAGGTTCAACACGTTTACGCCGTCTTTCACGTACTTGTACGCGTCCCAGTTACTCTCCAGCGACCGTCCCATGCCGTCCAACACGATGAGCCAGTCGTCCCCGGCGGGAACCTGCTGAAACTGCATATTCACCCAGTCGTTCAGCTCGCTCCCGCAGTTATTCAGGTTTAGCAGCGTGCTGTCCTGCCCGCTGTTCACCGCCGCGACCATGTTTCCGTTCATCTGCGCGCCGAGTATCGGATCGCCGTCGTAAAATTCGCCCCCGCGCCGAGTCACCGCGCGAAGGTACTCGTCCAACTCCTCATACGTGACGTCGTTCAACGCCGCGGTGTCGTTCGCCACGAGCGCCACCTTGGTGCCTTTCCCGCCGACCGCCGCGAGCGCTTTCGCGAGCATCGTCATCCCCATCACGTCCGCGCCGGCGTTATCGCAGAAGATGAGGACGCGGCGCCACCCGGGCGCGATCTTTTTCTCGACATCCTTCTCGCGCGTGCATCGCTCGACGACGCGCGAGAGCGAGTCGAACCGCCAGCCGCCGCTCTTCTCGTGCGACACGCGCTCTCTCGCCTTGGCGAACGTCTCCGCGAGCGCGTCCGCGTCGAGGACGTACTTGCACTCCTCCGCCGCGTCGTCCGGGTCGTCCGGGTCGCCGTCCTCGCAGAACATTATCCGCTGCGGGGTCGTTCAGTTCATCACAAAAAATGTTCGTTCATCGGTCAGTCGAAAGGAGGAGACGCGATCACGTGTTGAACCCGAGCGATGGGTGAAATACAGTACGTTTGCATAAGGCGCCGAGGGCGGAGATTGTCGTGGCGTGGGCGGAGAGATGCGCCGGGAAAAGTCCTTAAGGATCGTCGTTCACCACGCCGACGCGGTCGTACGGGGACCAGTGGAACGCGCCTGCACGGCGGACGCGGAGCCCGCGTCGAAGAGATTCCCCGCGAGGCAGCACTCGATGACCGCGCGGATCATGTTCGCCTTGGCGTTCGGGTCCGGGTGCTCGCCCGGGCCGTACCACGCCCCCGGGGTGGGCTCCCATATGTCGTCGATCTCGAGGCCGATCGGGCGGTACAGCGCCGTCGCGATCTCGTTCTCTTCCGCCTTCATCCCGGCGAACAGATCGTCGAAACCGCGCGCGCGGAGCAGACGCTCCTTCTCGCGCACCATGTCCAGCAGCGTCGCGCCCTCGCCCGGCGCCTTGTCGTCCAACGACACCGACGCGAGGTACGCCTCGTAGTCCCGCTCCCACAGCGCGTAGCGGTCCATGAACGTCTCCGCGTCCTCTAGCTTTCCCTCGCCGACGAGCATGTCGCGCGTTCGCGTCGCGTTCGCGCGGTGCGACGGGAGCTGCCCGAGCAAGAGCGCGACCCACGCGATTCGCGCGTCGACGTCGTTCGCGCACGCGTCGCACACGCCGGGGGAGACGTGCGTGTATCCCTTCGTCGGGTCCAGAAGCGGGAGCGGGCCGGGGCCGAGCGACGGCGGTGGGGGCGGAGGGAAGCGTTCCTCCTCGTCGTCGTTTTCGACGTCGATCACGGCGCGCGCGGAGACGTCGACGACGCGCGCCGCGCGGCGGCGGCGGCGTCGCGAGGAGGAGAGCGCCGCGCGGCATCGCGCGGACGACGACGACGGCGCGAACGGGCGCGCCGCCGAGGCGGCGCGGAGGAGCCCGCACGCGCTCGCCATCTGTGACGAAGATCGATCGAGATTCTGTTATCCGAAACTGCTGGACAGTAGTGCTCACCGCAGCGTGCTCGCATAAAAATCGAAAGCGCCCTCGGCGCCGCGTCTAGCCTACGTACGACAGTCTTCGTCCCCCCGCGCGCGCTCACAGCTCGCCGTGCTTCGCGTACGCCGCGTATATCGGGTCGTACCTGTACTTCTTCAGCAAGATGTACGCGATCCCCAACGAGAGGATGAACGCGAGGAGGTCCAGCGTTCGCTTGAACTCCTTCGCGAACGCGGTCTCGCCGTCGGGATGCGGGACGCGAACGGTCGCGGCTTGCGACGGTTCGTCTTCCTCCTCGTCGTCGTCCTCTTCATCTTCATCGTCTTCTTCTTCGTCCCTCGCCACCGCCTCCTCTGCCGCGGCGGGAGGTTGCGGCGGCGGCGGTCGCGGCGCCTCCGGCTGCGGCGGCGTCGGCGCCGCGGGCTCTCTCTCCGCCTCCGCCTCCGCCTCCGCCTCCGTCGGCGTCGGCGTCGGCGTCGTCGTCGTCGCCGTCGTCGTCGTCGCCGTCGCCGCGGGTGCGATCTCGCCGCCGTCGCCGCGCCCGCTCGCGCCGACGCCGTCGACGTCAGCTCCCCCTGAAAACCTCCTCTCGCGCGGCGCCGCGTCGTCGTTCGCGTCCTCGTCCGCCTCCGCCTCCGCCGCCGCCGAGGCCCGCTCCGCGTCCCCTTCCGCCGCCGCCTCCTCCTCCGCCTCCGCCGCCGCCTCCGCTCTCGCGACGTCTTCCCTCTCTCTCTTCGCCGCCCGCATCGCTTCCCACCGCGTCAGCATCTTCGCGTGCACCTCCGCGATCAGCGCGCGTCGCGACTCGCTGTTCCCAAACTCCGGCGGCCGCTCGCGACTCGCCGCCGCGAGCTCCCGTCGCTCGTCCGCGGGGTAGTCCAACGACCCGACCGCGCCCTCCGGCGCCGTCGGCATGAACGACCGCACCGCCAGCAGCGCGGTGCGCACGCTCCACGACGGCTGCCAGTGCTCCGGGTGGTGGCTGGATATCGAGAGGCAAATCTTCGCGTTCGTCTCGAAGCGTCCGGAGGGGGTCAGCAGCATGAACGACGGCGGCTTGAACGGGTACTCCGGCGGGAGGAGGATCCGGCCATGGTAGATGCCGCCCTCGAACTCGGTGTCCTCGGGGCCTAAGATGGCGAAGTGCCACTCGAAGATGTCGTCCTCGACCGCCTCCGCGTGGTAGCACGGGTCGACGTCGCGGGACATCTCTCGCATCTCCTGCGCGATGCGCTTCACCGCGGGGTTCTTCATGTTGTACTTCGCCTCCGCGCCGTCGGGGGGGGCTTGACCGCCGGGCGACGCGCCGGACGACATCTGATGACGATGCCGCGCGCGCCGGGCTCCAGATCTCGCGCGACGCGATGTGATGAAGCTTTTCGATCAGTCCAATAATTGATGATGTCCAAACGCCAACACAGCACGATGCGCGGGGGCGGCCGAAGCCGGAGCCGGAGCCGGAGCCCGAGCCGCGACCGCGACCGCGGTCGAGGACGCGGGCGCAGCCGCAGCCGCGGCCGCAGCCGCAGCCGGAGCCCGGGCGGGAGCCCCGGTCGCTCGCCGAAGCGAAGACGCGCGAGCCCGAGACGGGGCGGCTGGGAGCGATCGATTTCGATTTCGAGGTCGAGGTCGCGGTCTCGCTCGCCGCGACGCGGCCGCGACGACGGCCGCCGCGGCCGCGACCGCGGCCGCGATCGCAGCCCGCGCGGGGGGCGACGCGGCGACAGCCCGCGACGACGACGCAGCCGCGACAGACCGTCGCCCCCGCCGAGATCATCAAATCGTCATCACTCGACGATGCGCACGGTGCCGCCCCCGCCCCCGCCCCCTCCGGGCGGCGGCGGCCTCGCCGGACGCGCCCGCCGCGACGACCGCGCCCCTCTCCCCGACGAGGAACCCCCCGCGGTCGGCGCGATCCTCCGCGGACGCGTCGCCAGCGTCCGCCCGTTCGGAATCTTCGTGCGAATGGACGGCTTTCGACGCGACGGCCTCGTGCACTGCACGCACGTCGGCGAAGAGCTGACGTTCCGGCGAGAAGACTCCGACGACGCCAAGGTGATGGCGATGGAGTATTTCCACCCGAAAGACGCGAGCGTGTGGGTCAAGGTGATCGACGTCCATCGCGACGGGTACACGGGCGGGAACGTCAAGATCGCGCTGTCGATGAAGCTCGTGGATCAGGCGGACGGGAAGGATCTGGACCCGGACGGCGCACAGCTGGCGGAACTGGCGCGCGGCGGCGGCGGCGGCGGCGGCGGCGGCGGCGGCGGGTCAAGTAACGCCTGGAGCGACGACCCCCCGGAGCTGAACTCGACGCACCGGGCGACGGTGCGCGAGGTGAAACCGTACGGCGTGTTCGTGCAGATGGAGGGGTACCGCAAGAACGGTCTGGTGCCGACGCATCAGGTGAGCGACTTTTTGGAATTCGCGAGGGAGGACGCGGACGAAGAAAAGGTGCGAGGGATCGAGGGCGTGATCGGCAGAGGCGAGTCGTGCTGGGTGAAAGTCGTGGAGATAAAGGGCGGCGGGTACGCGAACGACCCGGTGAAGGTGACGTGCTCGCTGAAGCTCGCGGATCAGAGCACCGGGGAGGATTTAGACCCGCAGGGGACGCGGTACTACCCGCAAGGCGAGGGACGCGACGGCGGCGGTACAGGCGCGTTCTATACACTGGTTCCCATACGACCGCGTCCGCGTGGTGAACGCCGATCCTTAAGGACTTTGCCCGGCGCATCTCTCCGCCCAGGGTCCCTCGCTTTCAATCCCCGCCCTCGACGCCTTTCAACTCCAACTGACGCCTTACAACTCCACCCCGCGGTACAGGCGGAAGAGGCGCGCCGCTCGGCGCGCGCGCGGGCGAGAACGTCAAGAAAGGCGGCGTCGTGGACTGGGGGCATCACGCCGGGGACGTTCGCGGGCAGATGGACGGGAAGAGCTACGACCTCGTCGTGGACGACGGCATCGACGCGCTCGCGGCGGAGACGCGGTTCGACGGGAGAGGGCCGGGCGGGGCGCCGATTCCGCCGCCGCCGCCGGGGCCGGCGGCGGCGGCGGCGGCGGCGGCGGGGGGGACCATCGGCAGCGTCGAGGAAGCGCTCGCGATCTTGAGAGAGCACAAGAAGCGAAGCAAGAAGGAGAAGAAACACAAGAAGGACTCCAAGAAGCACAAGAAGGACTCCAAGAAGCGCAAGAAGGACAAAGGAGGCGACTGGAGCAGCAGCAGCGACTGACATAACATATATCCCGACTTATGCGGGAGGTGATCATATTGATGCATAATTAGGCGACGAGTAACGCGTGTCACCGACGCGCGGCTCGTCATAAATCATCCTTGCTCTCGCCCGCCGCGGCCGCCGCGGCGCCCTTGCTCTTCTTCTTCCCGGAGGAGCCCTTCCCGGAGCCCTTCTTCCCGGAGCCCTTCTTCGGCGAGGCGGTCGCGCCGGACGCTTCGTCCGCGACCTCCGCCGCCGCCGAGCGCGATTGCAATTTCTCGACGCCCGAGCACTCCTTCGACAGCTCGACGCACAAGATCTCGTCCACGTTCGTCGCGTTGAGCTCGTTCGCGTACAGCTTCGCCTGCAGCGCTTCCTCTTGTTCCTCCACGAGCCTGTGGCAGTACCCGGAGATCTCCGCGCGCATCGCCTTGGCGCGCGCGCCCTTGATCTTCAGCTTTTTCGCGAAGGTGCGCCATCGCTTCTTCGGCGCGTCCGCGTCGAAGATCTGGAAGTTGTTCCCGACGTCCGTGCAGAGATCCTCGAGTAACTCCACGAATCGAAGCTCGGAGATCTTGTAGTCGATGAGCTTGCCGTATCGCACGCCCTTGCTGTCGATCCTGCCGCGCATGTCGAGGTGATTCCGCGGCCGCTCGCGCTCGAGCGCCGCTTGGAGTTCGTTCGCGACCGCCTCGCACGCGCTGCACTTGGCCTCGATCGCGCTCGCGGGCTGGACGCCGAGAGCGCTCATCGCGAGCGCGAGCAGCGCGAGGACGAGAAGACGCGGCGGCATGCCGAACGGCGCGACGACGGCTTCGCTGGCGCGCGGCCGCAGCCTTCGCGCGCGATCGAAGTGACAGGAAGGTCTGGCTGAAAAAAGTCCGCGCGTTCATCGTCGTCAATGATTCGATGGCGCATCAGAGATCATCGCGTCACTCCGCGGCGGCACTTTCGTTAAAATCCATCGTTACTCGTCGACCGGCTGTTACACGCGTAAACGTCACCGAATCGATGAGCGCTAGTCTGAACGCTACTGATAAACACCTCCCTCCTCACGGCGGCGACCCCGGCGACGCCGGCGGCCGCGTCGCGCGCGTCGCCGCCGCCGCCGCCGCGCCGCCGCCCTGAGAGCGCTCCTCCGGCGAATGCGAATGCGATGGCGACGCGCGCGCGCTGTCCTCCGACGGCGCGGCGCTATCCCTCACGACCCGCCTCCCCCCGCCCGGCAACTCGCGCCCGCTCGCGTCGCACTCGCCGCGCAGGTGCCCCGCCTCCACCTCGGCGAGGATACCCTTCACGTGCGCGAGGATGAGCTCAGCCTTCTCCACCCCGCGCCGGCGGCTCGCCTCCTCCGCCTCCAGTCTCGCCTTTTTCCGAGCTTGGAACCCTCTGAACGCCGCCTGCATGCGCTCCACGGCGAACATCTGCGCGACGTCGTACTCCTCGCCGTCCTCGCCCTTGATCCCGTGCTTGATCGCGTGCCGCTTGTGCGTCTCGAGGCGTTTCATCTGCCGTTCGGACTGCTGCTTCGTCCGCGCCTTCCCAGCCTCGAGCGCGACTTGCACCGCCGTCGGAAGCTTGTCGAACTCGATCCCCATCGCGTGCGATGTCAGGGCTTGGAGGACGTCTTGATAGTGCAGATAGTTGCTGTCGACTCTCAGGTTCAGGTTCTTTTGAAACCGGAGCAGCCCTAACCTCGACAGGTTCTTCCCTTTCACCCCCAGCGGCGGCGACGTGATGTTGAGTAAAAACGCGAGCTTCGTCATCTGAATGAAGCCCGTGGCGTGCGGGTCCACCTTCTTCCACGCCTCGGCGAAGTCCTCGACGTCGTCCTCGCTGACGTGCGTCACCGTGTCTTGCTTCTTGTTGTTGCTGAAGTTATCCAACACGACCGCGATGAGGAGGTTCAGCGTGATAAACGACCCGAAGACGACGAAGGTTATGAAGTACAGAGGCGCGCCTTCGCTGCCGCAGCACTCGCCGATCTCGCAGTCGACGTTCGAGTCGCAATCGCTCGTGTTCATGCAGTCGTACATGATCGCGTTCCACGCTTCGCCGGTGACAGTTCGGAGTAACAGCATCAGCGACATCCCAAAGTCTCTGAAGTTCGCTTGCTCGTTGAGGTGCTCGCCAAACTTCACCTTCCCGAATATGTTCATCCCCAACACCCCGTACACGAACATCAACAGGAACAGCAATCCGCCGATGTTTATGAGACTCGGGAAGCTCATCACGAGCGTGTTGAACAACATCCTGAGTCCTTTCAGCGTGCGAATCAACCGGAACACGCGCGCGAGGCGGAACAGTCGGAACATCGACGCGATCCCGCCGCCGCCGATGATGTATCCGATGATCGTCGTGCACACGCAGAAAAAATCGAAGCAGTTCCACCGGTCGTTGAAATACGCCTTGGGGTACATCGCGTACAGCTTCGCGATCGCCTCGAGGAGGAAGATGCAGAAGAAGAAGTACCCGAACCCTTCGAGCACGCGCGTCGTCGAATCCGCTTGACCGTACGACTCAGCGGCCATCGTGACCGCGTTCGCCATGATCGCGGACATTATGAACCACTCGAAATTTTTCGACTCGATGACTTTGTACACCGCCGTGCGCTCTTTCGACTCCGGGTAGTAGTTCAGCTGCACCGGCGCCGCGGTGCGCTGATACTTTTGCTGGCTCCGGACCCACTGCTGCTGCGCTTTCGTCATGAGACCGCTTCCGCCGTCCGCGCTCGCGCTCGCGAGCTTCGCGAAGTTATCGAGAATGATGCCGACGAACAAGTTCAGGATGAAAAAATTCGCCACGACCATGAACGACACGAAATACAACGTCGCCGCCGGGTTATAGTTTCGCTCCGGCGCCATCTCGTCCGACCGCGCGTCGACGCCGTTGTACATCACCGTCGTCCACCCCTCCGTGGTGCTCATCTCGAACAACGTCTGCATCGCGTTCCCGATGTGGTTAAAGTTCCCCGTGTCCGACGGCGAGGACCAAACTCTCGTCGTCCACGCCGTCGCGGAATAGGTCCCCGCGCACGCCGCCTGCGTCGAGATCGTCGCGTCGTTGCACGACCTCGTGATCGAGCTCCACTCGCGGTCGGACGTCGTCGTCTTGTACCCGTCGACGCACTCGGGTCTGTTCGTGACGTCCGCGTCGCTGCAACTCGCGAACGCGCCCATGAAGAGCGTCATGCCGAGGATGCCGAAGATGAGCCAGAATAAGAGCGCGATGACGGCGACGTTGAACAACCCGGGCATGGACTTGAACAACGCGTTGACGACGACTTTGAGCTCTGGGATTCGTCCGATCGTCCGCAGCGGACGCAGCGCCCTGAGCGTCCTCAGCGCCCGGACCCACGAGATGTTTTGCCCTTGAAGGCACTTGCCCACGATGCCGATGACGACGATGAAGCAGTCCATGCAGTTCCACGGGTCTCTCAGATACGCGCCGTCGTCGTCTTGGTACAAACCGAACGCGATGATCTTCGCCACCATCTCCATGCCGAATATGATCGTGAACGTGATGTCGATCGCCTCGAACGCGGTCGCCGCGCGGTCGTCCTTCAGCGCCTTCGGGGACTCGAACGCCATCGTGAGGGAAGAGATCAAGATGAAGACCATGATCAGGTAGTCGAACTGCTTGTCGTCGACGACGGCGAAGCAAAACCGCCGCGCCGGGTTCGTCGCGTCGAAAAGGTTCAACGACTTGTTCTCGTACTTATCGAGCGGCTTCGGCGCCGCGCCGGGCATGCGCTTGCACGACGCGACGTCCGTCGCCGCTTCCCCGAGCGCGAACGCGGACATGAGCCTTCCCTGTCTCGCGGACTTTATCTCCACGATCGAGCGCTTGCGTTCCTCTTCGATCCTCGCGAGTCGGTCCGCCTCCTCCATCGCCACGCGCATCTCTTCTTCGCGTCGCTTCTCGTCCTCGTCGTCCCATATCTTCTGGAAGAGCTTCTCGCCGATGGATTCCCATCGCGCCACGACCTCGGGGTCGTAGTTCTTGTCCGGCAGCGTGTCCCAGAAGAGCAGCGCCCTGGTGTCCTTCGAGAGCTTTCCTTTTTCTTTCGAGAAGTACTTGAAAAAGTTTAACCCGTCGAGTAATTTCCGCGTCGCCGCGTGCGTGCTCTCCACCTGCTGCTGCCCAAAGTTCGTGAGCAAGATGGCGACGAACAAGTTCAACACGAGGAAGTTCCCCATCACGATCAACGCGACGAAATACAGCGCGGTGACGCCGCCGGAGGCTTCCATGCCGTCGTACATGACCGCGTTCCAATCCTCTCCGGTGAGAATCTGAAACACGGTCACCGCCGCCCAGAGGAGGGTGTCGAAGTTATGCCGCGGGATGGCGCCGTCGTCGAGGCCGCACATCTTACCCCCGAACGTTTGCATCCCGAGCAGGGTGAATATGAAGATCGTCAGGAGGATGATGAACCCAAAGTTTCCGAGCTCGCAGATCGTGAGCCACACGCTGTAGAGAAACGCCTGAAGACTCGTCCAGCTTCGTATGAGCTTCAACACGCGCATGATGCGAAACGCCCTCAGCGCCGTCAGCCCGCCGCCGCTGCTGAACGCGAGCTCGATGATCGACATCAAAACGATCGCGGCGTCGAACTTGTTGAACGGGTCCTTGCCGTACTCCTCGACGCCCATGCCGACGACTTTCAAGACGAGCTCTAGGATGAACATGATCGTGAAGACCAAATTCGCGGTGTCCAGCCCCTTCTCGTAGCTGTCGCTCATGCCGTCGTACGCCATCGCGAGCACGATCGTGTTGGCGATGATCAACACCACGAACAACGGGCCGAACCACGACGCGTTGATGATCGCTTTGCAGAACGCCCTGACGTTCACGCCGCCGCCGCCGCCTATGATGGACTCCTGCAGCCGTCTCAAATTCTCGTCGTCCGAGTCCTCCTCGTCGTCCGTATAAATCCCCTTATCGTGGCGTTTCGCCCTCGCCTCCGCCTCCTTGCGCTCCGCGATCGCCTCCTTCTCGTCCTCCTCCTCCGCCTGCTGCTCCGCCTCGAGCTTCGCGCGCGTGTTCTCCTCGTCGTACACCTCCGTCATGACCGCGAGCGCCAAGTTTAGGAGGAAAAACGCGCCGATGAACACGAGCAGGAGGAAATAAATAAACGTCCACCCGGTCAGGGACTGCTGCACGAGGTACATGATCGGCGTCCACCCTTCCAACGTGATGCACTGAAAGATGAGCAGAAACGCGTGCCCGATGTCGTCGAACGAGGTTATCCCGTAGTTCGGGTTGTTCCCTTTCAGACACATCTGGCTCCCATTCGCGCACCGCGTTCCCGCCCAGTGGATCGTCAGGTTCGTGCACCCTTCCTCGTCGTTCGCGGACTGCAGCACCGCGGCGGCGACGTCCTGCGACGCGAACGACGCGTCCGGGACGACGTCACGACAGTATATCAGGTCGGACAAGACGCCCTCGTGGTCGCCGCACGTCGTCCCGGGCACGACTTCGAAGCACCGATTCCGCATCACTCCCATGAACATCTGTAAGCCGAAGATCCCAAACACGGTGAACAGAAACACGCAAAACAGCAACACGTTCGCGATCATCGGAATCGACTTAAATATCGTCCCGATGAGGACGCGCATGCCCTTCAGGATGCTCAGCGTGCGCAGCGGCCGCAGCACGCGCACGACGCGCAACGCGCTGAGATTCCCGCCGCTCACCACGAGCGACAGAAGCGAGATGACCACCACGGTGAAATCAAGGACGTTCCACCCGTCCTTGAGGTACGACGTGTCGTCCAACAGGAACGACTGCGCCATGATCTTGATGGCGCACTCGATCGTGAACACCGCGGTGAATATCGGCTCGGTGAGCTCGACGAGCTCGTTGCCGCCCGTGCTGCTGTCGTTTTTCGACGCGCCGCACCCGCGGTCTTCCATCTCCAGCGGCTCCATCCAGCACAGCAACAGCGCGTTGAGCAAGATGGCGAGCAGGATGAAGTTGTCGAAGTACGGGCTCTCTTGCACGTGAATGCACGCGCGCCGGAGCGGGTTGTCGAGGTAAAAATACCCCAGCGAGCGGTCCGTGTAGAATCGCTTGAACCCCTCCGTCGGGGGGCGGTCCGCGGGCGCGAGGTCCATCGGGTCGATCTCCGGCTCGACGTCGTCCGGGCCGATCGACCGCGCGTCGTCGCTGACGCCGCCACCGTCGTCGGGATGATCCTGCGGCGCGCGGAGGAGAAGGGCGGAGGAGAAGGGCGGGGGTGAGGCGGGGAGGATCGTTGAACGAATCATTCATCAAATCGGTTCGGCATCGGAGAGCGGGCGGAGCGCTTTCAATCGACCGCGGACGCGGCGGGGATTGCGCGGGGACGCACCGCGTCCGGACGCGGCGGACGCCGCTCCGCGCCGCCCCTCGCCACTCTCAGCGCGTCCATCATGACGCCGACGCGCCGCCGTCGTCCGCGCGCAGACCTGCGCGTCCGCGCGACTGAGACCGTTAGACGCCCGAATCTGAAACACTCTCGCTGGCGCTGAGTCGGCCGCGACGAAGATCTCGCTGCGCGAGCACCAGACTCTGTCGCGTCGTCCGACGTTCGTCAGACGGAGCCGCGCCGTCGCCATGGCGCCGTCGTCCGGCGTCGCCGCGTTCCTAGCGTGGCCGTCCACCTTCCTCGGCCCTCGCCATCGATGGGTCAGCCTCGTCCTCGGCGTCGCGATGCAGCTCTGCGCGGGCGCGCTCTACAGCGTCACCGCGTGGGGCGTCCCACTGCGCGATCGATGCGGATGGAACGACGGCGAGCTCACGCTCGCGGAGACGGTCGGCACGCTGGGGATCTACCTCGCGCTGCACAACGGCCTCGCGGTAGACAAACACGGCGCGCGCGTCGTCGTCGTCGCCGCGTCCGCGGCGCTGTTCGTGGGGTGGCACCTCCTCGCGTCCGTCGCGCGCGAGCGCGGGTCCGCGTGGAAAGCGACGCTCGCGCTGTACCTCATCGGTCAAGGATGCATCTCCACGTTCATGGGGTCGCTCGCGCCGAACGTGAGCAACTTCGACGAGCGCGATCAAGGGAAAGCGCACGGGGTGCTTCTCGCGGGGTTCGGAGGGTCCGCCGCGCTCTTCGCGACGGCGTACCGAAACGCGTTCGGCGGCGGCGGGGGGGAGGAGGACGAGGACGACTTGCCGGGGTTCTTCGCCGCCGCGGGTTGGGCGACGGCGACCGTGACGCTGCTCGGCGCGTACGCGTGCAAGGACGGGACGAAACGCGACGGCGGCGACGGCGGGAATGACGTGCGCGAGGTCGAGATCGGCGCGACGGACGCGCGCGAAGACGAAGTCGCGGTCGACGACGACGACGACGCCGACGACGACGACGACGACGCGATCGCCGCCGAAACCTCTGATGGCCCGCTCCGCGCCTCCTCTCTCGCCCTCCTCGAGCGCTTCCGCGACGTCCTCTCGTCGCGACTCTTCTGGCTCGTCTACGCGCACCTCGTCGTGACCCTGGGCGTCGCGCTGCTGTGGGTGAACCAGGCTGGGAGCTTCGTCGACGCCGTCGTCGGCGGCGACGACGGGCTGGCGACGATGACGGTGCTCTTCTCGCTCGGGAACGTCTTCGGCCGGATCGGCGCGGGCGCGGCGTCCGACGCCGCGGAGCGCGCGTGGCGCGTCCCGCGCGCCGCGTTCTTGAGCGTGGGCGCGGGGACGATGGCGGCGGCGTGCGCGGTCTTCGCGTCGTCCAGCGCGGGGGGGGGCGGCGACGGAGGAGGAGGAAGGACGGCGCGGTATCTCGCCGCGCTCGGCGTCGGACTCGCGGAGGGGTGCGTCATGGCGGCGTGGACCGCGATCGCGCGGAGGGCGTTCGGCGCGAATCGCTTCGGCGCGCTCATCGCGATGTATAACAGCGCGATCGCGATCGGAAGCGCGAGTTTCAACGGCGTCGCGAGCGCGGCGACGGGGGGCGGCGGGGGCGGCGGCGGAGGCGTCGGCGCGTGGCGCGCCGTATTCTGGGCAGCCGCCGTCGCGAGCGCGGGCGCCGTCTTCGTCGGCGCGGTCGCGACGAGAGAGATGCGGAGACTCGCGGAGACGTCGTTCGAGTACGTCAGCGTGAAGTGAGTAGATCTGTAGCGCGCGAGGTAGTCTAGCTAGGTACTTCCGGAACATAGATAGCATACTCGCGGGAGGCATGTCCTCGTAGAAAGTGCGTTTTTAAAAGTAAAAACAGAAGCGCCGGTGACAGGAAGTTTCTCGGGGCTACCGAAGACCTCCCCGCGCCACAACCACCCGCGCAGCCGCACGCTCGCAGTCTCGCACCGCTCCAGAACGCGATGAACGACGAATCTAAGCATCCTCGGGTCCATCCGTCCTCGCCCGAAACGCCGGGCGGCGACGACCGCGCCCTGGGCGGCGGCGGCCTGGCAGCGCGCGTCGACGAACTCGAAGAACTGTTGGAAGCCACGAGGACGAAGCTCGCCGCCGTTGAAGCGAAGAACGCGGAGTACGCGGAGATGTATCCGACGTTCAATGCGAACGAACACGTCGCGAGCGTGGTGTTCTCGCACGTGAGGGACGTCCGAACGCGCGTCGCCCTCGCGCAGGTGAACACGGTCTGGAGGAAGGCGTCGAAACACGCGTCTTCGCTGCCGCCCTCGCTCGACTTCACGGGGTGTCCGGACAAGTGGATGGAGGATAAGCTGTGGACCACGAAGTGCTCCTACGTCCTTTGGATTGAAGGCGTGCTCGATCTGCCGGAGTCGCACTTTCACGCCCTTCTCGAACAGGCCGGGGCTGACTTGTCCAACATGAAAGAGCAGTGCAACCTCGGTGTTTTCTACGAAGTGGCAAAGCGTTACGACAAGGCGAAGGAGTGGTTCATGAAGGGAGCGCGTCAGGGCTGTGAGGTTTGTGAGTATAACCTTGGGTTTTGCTACAGATACGGCCAAGGCGTAGAGATAAACATCGACACGGCGCTGGAATGGTTCACAAAGTCGGCCGAGAAGGGTGACGCCGATGCACAATGCGAGGCCGGCCGTATGCACTACGACAAGGGGCGACATGAAGAGGCGTTCAAGTGGTTCACGAAATCGGCCGCTCAAGGCGACACTGACGCGATAACAAACCTCGGGGAGTGCTACGAGAAGGGCGAAGGCGTGATGAAGGACATTCCCGAGGCGTTCAAACTATACGCGAAAGCCGCCGAGAAGGGCGACGCTGAGGCGAAAAAAAACATCCGTCGTCTGGTCGACGCGATGCCGTGAACGCGCGTAGACGCGACGTCTTCGAGTCCGATGATATAAAAGTCGCCATCTACCTCCACCCTCTCTCCCCCTCGCTCTCGTCGCAACCTAAACGAGCACCGCGCGCCGTCCAAGCTCGAGAACCGCGTCGCCGCGCGAAAAAAGGTTCTTCCGCCAACCGACCTTACGCGATTTTCGCTCTCAAGTCCTCGAGCTTCTTCATCACCTCCGCCGGGGTGCGATCCATCTCCTCCGCGATCGCCCGCTGCGTCTCCGCTGGCAGCGTGACGTACTGCTCGCACAGATCCCCGTCCACGACGTCCTTCACCGGGAAGTACGCGGACCGGTACGCCATGTGATCGCGCCCCAGCAGCGGCGGGTTCTCCTGCCGCACGTGCATCTCGAGGTGCGTCGCGAAATCCACATCCGCCCTCGACGTGAACGGCATCAACGCGCCCACCGTGCCCATCAACGTCGCGTACAGCATGCACTCTAACCCGCCAGCCTGTAACGTCCCCTTCGTCAGCGCGCACACGGTCTCGCCGACGTGGAACTGCGCGACGTGTTCCACCTTCCGTGGCGCGCCGTTTAGCGTCCCGCCGGACGCCTTCCCGCCCGTGGGGTCTTCCTCGATGTCGGCGCTGACGTCTTGCGCCAGCCGCGCGACGAAGACGTTTCCAAACTTGTCCGCGCCCGCCATCGTGTCGTAATCGAGCGGCAGCGCCGCGGTGATGTGCCGCGGCTGGACGTCGTCCGCGACGATGATCAGCGAGAGGTCCTCTCGTTTGTACTTGACGAAGTGGAAGCTCTCTTGGACGTCGCCGACGTAGATGCGGTCGCCGGACGCGTGCACCGTCGTGATGAAGTTTGGGAAGTTTCGGTTCTCCACCTTTCGCAGGAGCTTCTTCTTCCCGAAATCGTACAACCGCAGCGCGTTCCCGCACCCGAGGAGAAGACGGCCTTTGAATCCGCACATCGCCCCCGGGACGCCGTCCAGCGGCGTCTTGTGCACGAGCGTCACGGTGCCGTCTTCGAGGTAGCGATACAGATGCACGAATCCGCCGTCGCAGTCGCGAGGCGCGAAGGTCAGCCCGACGGCGGTGCCGACGGCGAGGAACACCTCGTTCGCGACGGGAAAGTACACGTGGCACGCGCACAGCGCAGCCTCGTTCCCGGTCATCTCGATGACCTGCTTCGCGCCGCCGTTCTCCTTCGCGACGTCCGCGGGGTGGACGATACGGAGGCACGACGCCCACGACCCGGGCGGCGCTTTCGGCGCGCCAAACTGTTCCGCGGGGGTCATGGCGAACTCGTCGTCGTCGTCGTCGTCGTCGTCGTCCTCGACGCCGCCGCCCTCGACGCCCTCCATCTTCGCCGCGCTCTCCTCCTTCACCTTCTTCTCCCCCGCGACGCCCTCCGGCCCCGCGCGCTCGTCGTACGGCACGGAAGACTGATCCGCCTCGACGATCGCGACGATCCCGCGGTCCGGATGCACCGTCAGCTGCCGCGGCGTGTACCGAAGCTTGCACGACGTCTGGTTGAACGCGTCGCCCAACCGCTCGACGCTGACGATGCGCAGCGTCGAACCGGCGACCGCGACGACCCCCTCCGGGCACTGATCCGACGTAAAGTCCGCCGCGTGCTCGAGCGCTTCGTACGACAGCGGCGCGAGCGCGAACCGTCGCTGCAAGTCGACGTGCCCGAGCCACGGACGCGACGACAGCGCGAGCATCGCGGGCTGCCCCCGGACCGTCGCGCCGTGAAGCTTCGGCGGGCGCGCGCCCAAGAACCGCGCCCTGGTGTCGGATAACTGCCCGGTGACGCGGTCCACCTCCGCGCGGAGAAGCACGCCGTTCGCGAGGCCGACGTTGAGGTACAAACCACCCTCGCGCGTCTGCAACATCAGGAGCGAGCACGGCGCCGCCGCGAGCGCCTGCACGCCCATCGTCTGCAGGCAGTCGTCCGCGCTCAGGGACAACACTCGCACGGTGCTGTCGAACGAACCGACGGCTAAGAACCGGTTCCGTAGCGACCCCTCCGGGACGGGACCGACGTGCAGGCACGCGACGTCGCCGTTCGTCTCGAGCTTCTCGATCTCCATCAGCTGCCCGGTCGAGTCGAGCTCGAAGTAGATGATCTCCCCGCCGCTCAGCGCGATGACCACCTGACGGTTGTTACACGCCACCCGCGTGATCGTCTTCCGACCCGGGCACCGCCACTCGTTGATGCGCTTATCCGCGCGGACGTGCCGCAGCCCGCCCGGGTGCGCCTGCAGCAGCGAGTCGTCGCCGAGAAGCGACGCGGAGAGCGTCGGCGTCGTCCCGAGGAACCCGCTGTCCGACACCTCCTCCACGGTCTCGCCGATGGACAGCACCAGCGTCGCGTTCACGAACGAGACGACGATGTACGCGTCGAACTCGTCGGCGATGTTCTTCTTCACCGTGAACACCGCGTTCGGGTTTCCCGGCAGCGGCGACACCGCCATCTCGCTCAACGCGACGCCCTGCCGCAACACCCGCAGCGTGCTCCTCGACCCAGCGCCGCACAGCGCGTACACCTGCGGCGTCTCCTCGGACGTGAGGTTGTGGCACTGCGCGTCGAGGACCGGGCACAGCGACTCGATCTCGTCGATCGGGTGCAAGTTGCGGAGCGCGCGCGGCTCGAAAAACACCGGCTGGTACCCCTCGTCCGTCTCCACCAGCGTCGCGCTGGACGACTCCACGTCGTCGTCGTCGTCGCCGATGCCTTGGAACTGATACAGCGCGTGGTTTGAAAACTCCGAAGCCGCGAACAGGAACCCAGTCTTGAGGACGCACAGCGACGCGCACGGGGGGATGGTGTCGAAGTACTTGATCTTCACCTCGGACACCGTCTCCGAGCCGGGCGTCCACTCCACCGTGACCTTGTACACGTCCCCGTACTCCGACTGCGCGAGGAAGAAAAACTGCTGTTTCGTCCGGTGCGTCGCGCTGGAGACGATGAGAACGCCGCGGTCGCCGGAGAGCGACGACCGCCGCGGGATGACCGCGCGCACGTCCGCGTGCCCTTCGTTTTTGTAGATTATGAAATTTTCCGCGCACACCAGGCATCCGCCGGGGCCGTCGCCGCCGCCGGGCACGGCGATGAGATGATTCGCGCCGTTATCGATCGCCTCGCTCCACTTCCGCACGACGTGGTTTAACCCCAAATCGAGCTCGTAGAACACGAGGTGCTTCTGCGCCTCGGCGGCAGCCTCGCCCGTGGGATCCTGATCCGCGTCGCCGTAGTCGAGCTCCACGGCGGCGAACTGCGGGTTATCCAAGCCGCAGTCTAACGCGCACACCGCGAACGTGATCACGTGAGATTTGTTCGCCTCGAGCGGGCTCGAGATGGTCAAGTTCGCGCTCGTGTCGCGATTCAGCACGTACACGATCTTGGACTTTTCGATCGCGCCGATCATCACCGCGCGGCCCTTCGGATCCACCGCGAGGAATTGCCCGGGGACGATCCGTCGACAGCCGCTCTTCCCGAACGTCTCCTGGTGCACCTTCACGAACGCGCTCTTCTCCTTGTCGAACGATAACACCACGATGCGCCCGCTGTCGCTGCCGACGACGACGTAATCGCGATTCGCGCCCGTGAGACGGAACGCGCTGAGCGATCGCACGACGCCGAACACCTCCGTGCTCACGATGGTTTGCATCTTCCCCGCGTCGTCCGGGCGCAGGAGCTCGAGCACCTTGTTCCGCGACGCGACGATCTCCTGCGCTTTCGGCGCGGAGAAGTTGCCGTACACCGCGCATTGGATCCCGCCGCCCTTCTGCAGCGTGAGGTTGTAGAGGTGCATCGCGCGGCGGCGGCGGCGGCGGCGGCGGAAGACGGATCGATCGCCGCCGCTTAATAAGATCTACTCGCCGCGCGCGCGCCTCCGGCGAAAGATGATGAACCAACGAACGAATCTCCTTCTTCGGGGCGTTCCCCGCGGACGGATCGCGATCGCGCGCCGGCGTCCTGTCGATCGAGCGCGAGGGTCCCGTGCGTTCCCGGTGCCGATCGCGGGTCCGCGCTCTCGCGTCGCTCGCTCTGAGGAGACGGCGCCGCGACGTCCCGCCCTAAATTCTCTCTTCTCGATTGCGACTGGAACAGAAGCTGGAAGGAGAATTTCGCCGACCGCGACCGCCTGGCCGCGCGCCGACGAGTGCGAATCCCTCGGAACCCGCTCTTCTACTCGCGCACTGCGACGCGCGCGGCGCGGAGATGTTGTCTCGCGCGACGTCGAGGGCGGCGACGCGCCTCGCCGCGGCCGCGTCCGCGGCGGCGTCGTCGTCGTCGACGAGCGTCGTGACGCGCGGCGCGGCGGGACGCGCGGTCGCGAGCGAGGTCTCGACCGCGAGCGAAGGCTTCGGCATCGGAAGAATCGTCAGCAGCGCTTCCGGAGCGCGAACGCGCGCGGGACGGGCGTCCGCGCGATCATTCGCGTCGTCGTCGTCCGCGCGCGAGGCGCTGCCCGCGGACGACGCCATCGAGAGGCGGCTCGACGAGATGCTCGCGGAGAAGAAGACCCGCCCGACCGGACCGCCGCCGTTCACGCACGCGGCGTCTCTCGCGACGACGAAGCGCGCGACGACGACGACGTCGACGTCGACGTCGTCGTCCCCGCTCGCGGCGTCGGCCTCGTTCGACGTCGAGGAGCCGGAGACGCTCGCGGACGAAGACACCGCGCGCGTCGACCAGAGGGCGACGCAAGTCCGCGCGTGCTTCGTCGGCGCGAACATCGACATCGGCGCGATAGAGAAGGAGATGCCGACGCACAAGAAGGAAAAGTTGGCGGACTGCGTCGTGATCACGTTGCAGCCGCCGCTGCCGCCGGGGCTGGCGGCGGCGATGGAGGCGGCGGGAGGGAGGGGTAACAAAGAGGGCGACGGCGGCGCTGGAGCGCAAACTACGAAAAAGGCGGCGGCGGCGGCGGCGGGTCAGGTAACGCCCGCGCACGTCGAGCCGCCGTTGATTTACAGGCGAGCCGATCGACTCGGACTGGGGAAGAAGAGGAGCCCTCTGTTTGACGCCAGCGGGCAACTGAGCGGGTCGCCGCTGACGTACGACGTGGGCGCGACGCGGTATTTCGTCGTGTACAAGTACGGCAGCGTGGTGTTCTTCAACGTGGGACGGCGCGAACGCGAGCAGTGCCTCAAGTTGGCGCGCAAGTATTGTCCGAAAGCGTGCGAGGGTTCGGGATCAACGGACGAGATCAACGTGTTCGTGCGACCGAGCCTAGAGGACACGTACGCGTTCGACGATAAAGTGTTGGTGGTAAAAGGCCTGGACATCAACAACGTGAGCGTCGTCGGCGAGGTCCTCGCGCAGTCCGTGGCGTTGCACTTCCACGAGGAACGCGTCAACACCCTCATCGAGGAGTGCAGCGTGTTGAACAAAGAGACGGGGAAATCAGGGAAGATGCAGATCGAGAAGAAGCGGCTGTTTAAGCTCGTCGCGGACGTGAACGAGACGCTCACGGAGGTGTCGACGCGCATAGGCATCAACTCGCGGTCGGAGACGGTGTGGAAGTATGAAGAGTACGACAAGGCGTGGAGCGTGTTGCGGAAAGATTTCGAGCTCGTGTCGAGGTTCGAGTCGTTGGATTACAAGCTGAACATCATCCAGTCGCAGGTGAAGTTTTACCTGGAGCTCCTCGCGAATCAGAAGAGCGACTTTTTGGAGTGGACGATCATCGTCCTCATCGCGATGGAGATTTGCGTGTCGTTGTACGACATATTCGAGAGGAAAGGGGGCGGGATCGAGGAGATTTTAGCCGCGTTCGGGTTGTAGTTTTTAGGAGCCTTCGGTTCATTCGTTCGCATTCGTTCGCATTCGTTCGCATTCGTTCGCATTCGTCCGCATTCGTTCGTCGTCGCCGTCCACGTCACTCGTGCTTGACGCGGCGGCCGTGCGCGTGCCCCACCTTCTGCGGCGTCATCGGCGTCCTCGGCCGCAACGCGACTCTGTACGCCCTTCTCGCCGCGCGCAACAGTTCCCCCTCCGTGAACTCCCTTCCTCCCGCCTCGCTCTCCGCGCGTAACACCGTCCGTAACACCCTCGCCGCGTACTCCGGCGCGTGTTTCTCCATGTGCTTCAGAAGCGCGCTCACGCCGTCGCTCTTTCCCTTGCCGTGCGCGGCGATCATGATCGTCACCTCGGACGGCGGGCCTATCTCCCTTCGGATCGACGGTCCGCGCGAAGCGACGTCGGGGCGGTGTTCGGGGGCGCGTCAGGGGTGGAGTTGAAAGGCGTCGCGGCGCGTCGGGATTGAAAGCGAGCGAGGGGTGGGCGGAGAATCGCCGGGAAGAAGAAAAGTCCGAAAAGTCCTCAAGGAACGGCGTGCACCACGCGAACGCGGTCGTATGGGGACCAGTTTGAAAATAGAACGCGCCGTAACGCGGCGACGACGCCGCGGAGCGTCGGCTCCGTCAACGGACCGCCGCCGCCGACGTCCGACGACGAGCCGCTGCTCTCTCTCTCGCCGCCGCGCGCTCTCTTCGGCGCGCCGCCGCCGCGAGAGGAGGACTTCTTCGTCGTCTTCTCCTTCATCGCGGGCGCGCCGTCGAACGGGTCGACGTGCTCGGAGGCGTTGTATCGCACCAGCGGCGTCAACTTCGTCGGCTTCCGCCCGTCGGCTTTCGTCGTCGTGCGATACATCCGCGCGCCGCGTCGGTCGAGCGCGACGAGGACGTGCTTGCCGTCCGAGAGCGCGGTCTCGACGGTCTCCACGCGTTTCGGCGGCGCGGCGTCGACGGGGGGTTCCGTGAGGTGCGCGTCGCGCTCGTTCCTGGGGCCCGCGCCGCCCTTCGAGCGGTGTCGTATCTGCGACGTCGCGCGCGACTCCGAGTTCCGCGCGACGACGGCGCGGGGGGCGGCGCGGCGACGCGATGGCGGCGGCGTCGCCGCGAGCGGCGCGAGCGGCGAGGGCGAGAACGTCGCGAGCAGCGCGCGCATGGGCGTCGACGTGCGGCGGCGGCGGCGGCGCGCGACGGAAAGCGACGACGTCGTGGTTGTCGTGGCTTCTCGTCGTCGATCGCTCCGAGTTTTTGTTTTGGTTTTCATCAGTTCCTCTCGCGGCGCCGTCGTGGGAGGTTACGTGTGAGGGTATCAACGAACTGCGAAGGTACTACACCTCTCCCTCCTTTGATAGGAGGGCTCAAATTCTAACTTCGGACGATGGATTAAAAGTCCAGCGCTAAGAACGCCTTCAGCTCCTCCTCTTCCTTGTCCATGTTCACGACCACCTCTTTCTTCTTCCGGCTCGGCGGCAGCGACCGCGTCATCTGCGGCTTGCCCACCTTCTTCTTCACCGGCGCCGTCGCGCGCGCCAAACTCTTCGCCGCCTTGTCGATCGCCGCCTGCTCGTCCTCGGCGATCTTCTCCAGGCGCGCGGCGCTTCGTCGCACCTTCTCCTGCGCCTTCTCCGCGTGTTCCACGACGTCTTTCGGCATGCTGTCCGCGACGGCGAGTATGGACTCGAGCTTGCTCTCGATGTTCGTGAGCATCTGAATCGTGCTCATGGACGGATCAAACGGGAAGCCGCAGCGTTGATACACTTCCGCGACCTTCTCCGTGAGCTTCTCCAGGGGGATGTTCGACCCGGCCGCGATCGCGCCCGCGGGTTTCTTCTCTTTCCCTTCCGAGTCTGATTTCTTCTTCTTCGCGCTCGGCTTGGCCCCCGCGAGCGAACCCTTCCCCGGGTCGCCGCGTCGCGCAATCTCCGCCGCCTTGTCCTCCTCCGCGGCGATGGCGGCTCGCAACGCCGCCGCCTGCGCTTCCAGCGCGTCCGTCTCCGCCTCCATTCGCTCCCGCGTCTCCCGCGCCCGGTTCTGGATCTCCTCCAGCGCCTCCTCCGTCTCTTGCATGTTTTGAATGAGGAACAAGTTCTGTTCCTCCATCTCGTTGTACAACGCCGGCAGCGCCCTCGCGTCTCGGTAATACATCGGAATCTCCTCGTCGCTGTCGTCGCACTCCGGCGTCGGCGGCGGCGATCGCTCCGGGATCGCCTCCCGCGCGGTCTTCGCCGCCTCCGACGCCGCCTCCAACTCCGCCCTCGCGCGGTCCTCCGCTTTTCGTCCGAGCCGCGACGCCGTCGCCAACGCGGCTTCGAGCCGCGGCAGGTCCGCCTCGAGATCTGCCGCGTTTTGAATCGCGTTCGCGTACGCGTCGCGAACCTCGCGCCTCGCCGCGCGCCGCGCCTCCCTGCGCGCGGCGCGAATCGCCGCCTGCTCCGCGAAAAACTCCGGAGGCGTGAGCGCGTCCAAAAACCTCTGGTACGTCGCGCAGTCGTTGAGCTGGTCCTCCGTCTTCCCGAGCTCCGACGACGCGATCGACACGTTCGCGTTGAGCTTCTTGATCTCCTGCAGCTTTTCGTGCTTCGCCTTGGCCGCGAGCTCGCCGTTTCGGATCGCCTCCTGGACTTTCATGTCGTTGTCTTTCAAGAAGCCGTCAAACCGAAGCGCGTCGTCCTCGAGCATCTTCTCGCTCTTCGTGAGCGCCTCCTCGCGCTGCAACGCGCGCTCCTCGAGCTTTCGGATCTCCGCGCGCTTCGTGTCCAGCGCCATCTGCACGAGAAAGATCTCGCGCTTCTTCGCGATGAAGTCGTGCAGGTGCTCCTTCTCCTTCCTCGGCGGCGGCGGCTCGTTCGGATCCGACACGAGCGATCCCGCGCCGGCGACGCGTCCGACGACGGGCTCTTTGCCTCCCGCCGCGCGCAGCGTCGCCGCCATCGTGCCGCCCATCGCGGACGTGAACGTCGTCTTGTCGCGGACGGACGAGCGCTGCGCGCGCGCCTTGTCGAGCGCCTTCCTCGCCTCGATGCGCTCGCGCGCGGTCTCGAGTTCGTCGTCGTCCGGCATGACGAACGGATTCTCCGCGAAAGGATCCGGGTTCTCTTCCGACTCGTCGCGCGGAGCGTCCATCGGCGGCGACGCCGCGCGGCTGCGCTCCCCGCCGCGCTGGGACGGCGCGCCGGAGCCGGAGCCCGCCGCGCTCATCGTCTTCGTCTAGTCGCGCGCGATCCCTTCGGCCGATCGATCGCCTCGTCCAATTTAGGCGAAGAAGGCGCGGTGGAATGAATTCCTTTCCTTTCCTTCGCGTCGCCCGCGCGCCCCCCCGCCGCGCTCGTCTTCCGGCGACAGCTCTGTCACGCCGCCGCCGTCGCCCGTGAAGTGCGCGCGCGTCGAGAGCGCGCCCGCGTCGACCGTCGGTCGCTCCGCGCGGTGCTCGACTGATGCGCGCGCGAGTCGGTCGCGCCCGCTTTTGGAAGAGCCGCTCGTGAGCGTGACTGGAGCAAAGACACCGATTGACCGACCGACCGCAAAATGTTATCGAAAACTGACACGTCCGCACGTCGAAACGTCTTGTCTCGCGCGGCACACCAGCGAGCGCGCGCTCGCGGCGTCGCACGCTCGCGCGCGCGAGGCTCGCCTCGCGCGTCGTCGACTCGCGCGTCGGGACGTCGACCGCGGGCGCGGACGCCCTCGCGAACGGAGAAGACGCGACGCGCGGGCGGTCGACGGCGGCGGAAGAGATCCCCGGCGCGGCGGGCGGTTGTTAAAGGCGAGCGAGCGGGCGAGCGCCCTCGTCGGGACTTCCGGCAGTCCGAGTCCGACCACGGCGCCTCAGGCGCGACGAGACCGACGACGGCGTCGACGCGCGCGGGATGGACGCCGAGCGCGACGCGCTCCCTTCGTCCAACGCGCCGCGCGCGGCGCGTCCGCGCGCGGCGCGTCGGCGACCGTCCGCGGCGTCCGACGCGCTCGCGCGCTCGCCGTACCTCCCGCGAGGAAGTCTTCGGGGATGTCATCATCATCGACACCACCGTCCTCCGTCGCCGCCGCGCGGCGCGTTCACGTCCGCGACGTCGTCGTTCACGATGGGCGCCGCCGCGTCCACCTCCCGCGGCGGGTCTCCGGCCGCGGACGCGACCGCGCGGCGGACGCGCGAGCGGTGCGTCGCGGTGTACGCGTGGGGGAGTCTCGGAGGCGACGACGTCGAGGGTGAGGATGGGGAGAGAGGAGAGACGACCGCGGACGCCGACGCGGAAACCAAAACGTCGTCGTCGTCGTCGTCGTCGTCGTCGCGCGGCGGTCGACGCGCGCCTCGGCCGATGCTCGCGTACGACGGCGAGGACGTCGCGCACGTCTCCGGGAACGCGCATCACCACGGCGCCGTGACGACGCGAGGGGACGTGTTCACGTCCGGGCGCGACGCGCGCGGTCGGCTCGGCTTCGGCTTCGGCGGCGGCGGCGAGAACCAAAACCAAAACCAAAACCAAAACCAAAACCCCGACGACGGCGGCCGGTTCGTGCACCCGACGCGGCTGACGCGCGCGGGCGAGCACGGCGCCGGCGCCATGCCGCGCGTCGCGTCGCTCGCGTGCGGCGAGAGCCACACGGTCGCGGTGACGCGAGCGGGCGAGCTCATGTCGTGGGGGGACCCCGACGGCGGAAGACTCGGAAGAGGCGGCGACGACGGCGGCGACGGCGACGGAGGAGAGCGCTCAGGGTGCTTCTTCCCGGGGGTCCCGCGGTACGTGCTCGGCGTCAGAGACGTCCGGTTCGCGCGCGTGGCGTGCGGCGACGCGCACACGCTCGCGCTGACCGGCGGCGGCAAAGTGTATAGTTTCGGAGTCGGCGCGCGCGGCGTCCTCGGTCACGGCGACGACGCGTCCTCCGTCGCGCCGCGCACCGTGCGCGCGCTGTGGCACGCGGGGATCACGCAGGTGTCCGCTGGGAAAACGCATAGCGCCGCGCTCGGGGTGGACGGCGCGGTGTACACGTGGGGAGGAAACGCGCGCGGGCAGCTCGGGCAAGGAGGGGTCGTCGGACGCGACGCGCATACGCCATCGCGCGTGCGCGCGTTACGGCGAATCGCGTGCGTCGAGATCGCGTGCGGCGGCGAGCACACGCTCGCGATCGCGCGCGGCGGGTCCGTCCTCGCGTGGGGACGCGGGTCGTTTGGGCCCACGGGCGAGGGCGCCGTCGCGGACGTCGTGTCCCCGCGCCGCGTCGAGTATTTCGGCGTGACGACGCGCGAGCCAGCGACGCGCGTCGCCGCCGGCGCGCGCCACTCCGTCGCGTCGACGACGACGGGCGCGGTCGTGACGTGGGGCGCGAACGACCGAGGGCAGCTCGGACGCGGCGCGCCCTCGAAGCACCCCAATTATGACGATGACGACGACGGCGGCGACGGCGTCGACGTGCGCGGCGTCGCGCCCGTGATCGGGCTGCCCCCCGGGCGCGAGGTGCTCTTCGTCGCCGCGTGGGGCGACGGCGCGACCGCGACGCTGGCGCCGACGAATAGTGGGGCGCGGCCGGCGAGAACGGAAGATCACGAAGGAGATCACGGCGTCGCGTCGCGGCCGATGACGCTCCCGCCGCTGCTCGAACTCGCGGAGACGGTCGCGGACGCGAGCGGCGGCGGCGACGGCGACGGCGACGACGAAGACGCCGCGAACGAGCTCGCGCCGGCGCTCGCGCGAGCCGTCGACGACGTCTTCTCCTCCGCGGGTTTCCTCGTCGAAGGCTTCGCGTCGCCGCGTCCGCCGGTGAGGACGCGCGACCGCGACGACGAGGCGGCGCGCGACCTCACCGACGCACTCGACATCGTCTCCGTCGACGCGACGTACGACGCGCTGGTTCGCACCCGCCGCCCCGAGGTGGTGACCGCGCTCGCCGTCGCGCTCGCGCGTCTGCTCGACGACCTCGACGACGCCTTGACGCGCTATTGGACGCGCGTCGACGATGAATTCGACGGCGTAACCGTCCCCGATGAGGCGTTATGTAAGGACGAGATGTTGACGCTGACGCGCGCGGCGACGATCGCGTGGCGGTCGCCGCTGATGCGCGACGCCGCGTTCGGCGACGCGCTCGTCCCTCGTCTCGTCGGCGTCGTAAAAAAACTGCCGCCGTCGATCGTTCGCGACGTCCTCGTCCCGTGGCTCGCCGTCCGCGACGGACGCCGCGCGGAGACGCACGAGTCCAAGTTCCTCGATCCGATTCGCGCGTGCGTCGAGCGGAGGGTGCGGCGTCGCGAGCGCGAGCGGAGCGATCGAAACGATCTCGTCGGCGCGTCGGCGTCGTCGTCTCGACGCGCGCGCGGCGTCGACGAGGTGGTCGCGTCGTGCGCGCAAGTCGTCGCGACGCTGCACGCGGCTAACGCGTTCGGCGCGGAGGCGCGCGGGACCGAGGCTATGCTGCCGGAGCGCGCGTATCACCTCGACGCGCTCAGCGACGCGATCGACCTGAGGGAAGAGTACATGCGATGGATCAAACTCGTGGAGGAGGAGGAGGAGGTGGCGCGCGAGGAGGCGGAGGAGAGGGCCGCCGCGGAGGTCGCGGCGGGGCGCGAGGACGGGGCCGAGGGCGACGCCGCCGCGGAGGAGAGACCGACCGCGCCGCCTCGTCGGGACCCGACGACGCTTCTTGACGCGTGTAGAACCGGCGTGGGGTACCCGCGGTGCGCGCGACCCGGCGGCCTCGCGTCGTTCTGCCAGATTCCGTGCGTCTTATCCCTCGAGGCGAAGAGCCGCGTGTTGCAGGGCGAGGCGAATCTGCAGAAGCGGCACGAGATGCGCGCGTCGCGCGACCGCCACCGCGGGGGGGAGATCCCTTTCGGGTCGCACGACGCGAGCTTCCTCGAGATCAGCGTGAACCGCGAGAGGCTGTTGCGCGACGCGACGAGAGCGGTCGCGTCGCGGTCGCCCGCGGATTTGAAGAAGCCGATGCGCGTGCGGTTCTCGTCCGACGGCGTCGAGGAGGAGGGCGTCGACGAGGGCGGCGTCACGAAAGAGTTCTTCCAGCTGCTCGTGCGAGAGCTCTTCTTACCACCGGAGAAGAGCTCGACGACGGGGGATGCCGAAGAAGAAGAAGAAGAACGGTCCACGGGGACGGACCGTCCGACCTCTTCGTCTTCTTCTTCTTCTTCGGTGTTTACCGTGGACGAAGACAGCGGCCTGTTTTGGTTCCGCGCGGGCGCCGACGACGCGCCGTCGCTGTCGCGGTGCCGCCTCGTCGGCGCCGCGATCGGCCTCGCCATCTACAACGGCGTCACCTTGGACGTGCACCTGCCTCACGTCGCGTACAAGCGCCTGTTCGGACTCTCGCCGACGCTGGCCGACCTGCGCGAGCTCTCTCCGAGCCTCGGGAGAGGTCTCGAGGCGATGCTGGAGATGCGCGGCGACGGCGGCGACGACGACGACGAGGACGTCGAGGACGCGGTGTCGCGCGATTTCGTGTACGAATACGTCGACGCGCGCTCCGGCGCGGTTCGATCGATGGAGATGAAACCGAACGGGTCGCGCGTCCCCGTGACGCGCAAAAACATGCGCGAGTTCGTCGACTTGTACGTGAAGCACGCGCTCGACGTCGCCGTGCGCGCGTCGTTCGCCGCGTTCGCCGCGGGGTTCCACGGCGTCTGCGGCGGTCCCGCGTTGCACTTGTTCACGCCGCGGGAGCTGTCGCTACTCGTCGGCGGCGACCCGGTCGTGGACGTGGACGCGCTGCGACGCGTCGCGCGGTACGAAGGCGGGTTCGACGCGAAGACGCGATGCGTGTCGTGGTTCTGGGAGATCGTCGCGGAGGACATGTCCGCGGAGCAGCGCTCGCGTTTACTGTTCTTTTGCACCGGGTGCGGGCGACCGCCGTGCGGCGGGACGTCGCGGCTGCCGTTCATCGTGCAACGCTCGGGGCCGGACTCGGACCTGCTCCCGACCGCGCACACGTGCTTCAACGTGCTTCTGCTGCCGGAGTACGCGTCGAAGGAGAAGCTCAGGGAGCGGCTGGCGGTCGCGATGGCGAACGCGGAGGGGTTCGGGTTGCAGTGAGGAAGGAGGACGGATAGGTAATAGGCTGGCGGACTTTTTTTTTCGTCGAAATTGATTGAACGAGCGGTTTCTTTCTCCGCGCGCAGTCCGCGCGCGCGCCGTCTGTCTGTCGTCTCTCTACGCGTCGTCGCGATTCCGCTTTCCCAGCGCGGGGTTGCACGCCGGGCACCCGGTCGGGTTCTTTTCCCTCGTGCGACTGAACACCATCGCGTTCCACGCGTGCGCGCACGTCTCGCACTTCCAACGCGCCTTGCGCTTCGACCCTTTCGTGAACGCCGTCGACGGCCAAAAGGGGTCGACGTATTCCCCGAGAAGCTTCGCGCCGCGCGCGCCGTTCGCCTCGCACCACGCGAGGAAGTTGTACGTCGCCGAGAGAGGCAGATTGCCCGCGCACTTCGGACACCCCGTCGGCTTGTCGCGCTTCGTGCGGTCGCTCATCTTCGCGCGCCATACGTGCGCGCACTCGGCGCACGTCCACAGCGCCCTGTACTTGGACGCTCTCGCGACCGACGCGGCGGGCGTGTCCGGGTCGCAGAACTCGCCGAGGAGCCTCCCGCCGCGCTCGCCGTTCGCCTCGCACCACTCCGCGAGCGGCTGTCCGGTGTGCTGGTTCGCGCCGCGTTTCCTCACCATGCTCGCCGTCGTGCGGGGACGCGGTGGAAGTGGTGAAGGAGGGAGGCGGCGCGAGGAGCGTCTTTTCCGAGGGAAAAAAAAAGAGAAGCACGAGGTTCTTTTTTTCCAAGGCCACGCCTCGCCGCCGCCGCGTCCTAACCGCTCCGATCGACCTGGAAATTTGTGGAGAGGTTCCTCGCATCGTGTCGACGATGATCCTGCAGCGTAACGCCAAAAAAAAACGATTTGTGTGTGCACCATAGCAGGTTCGAACTGCTGACCTCGAGCTTACTAAACGCGCGCTCTACCACTGAGCTAATGGTGCTTGCCGATTTTCATCGGCGTTTAGTGTGTGAAAATCACCGGCGTTCACCGGCGAGGTCCTTGTGTAACGTGGCAAATCTCGGAATTTATAAATTATGAACCGCCCGACAAAGCGCTGATTGGACGAGCGATCTGGGTTCAACAGACCGTCGATCGCGCTCGGGTCCGTTCCAGCAGGGCGTAGGGCTTTGGTTGTCTCTCTGCCGTCATCCTCCCGTCACTCCACCCCCCCCTCGCGCGATGCACGCCGCCGCCGCGGCCGCCGCCGCGGTCGCGCCGGTCGGGGCGCCGCGCTCACGAGGGCTCCGCCGCCCTCACGGTCGCGCGGCGGTCGTCCGGGGCGCGAGCGCGTCGTCGTCCTCGGACGCGTCGTCGTCGTCGTCGTCGTCGTCGTCGTCGTCGTCGTCGTCGAATCCGCCTCGCTCTCGCGACTTTCGCTTCTGCGTCGACCGCGGCGGGACGTTCACGGACGTCTACGCGGAAGTCCCGGACGCCGCGAACCCGTTCCGCACGTTGAAGCTCCTGAGCGAGGACCCGGCGAACTACGAGAGCGCGCCCAGGGAGGGGATACGACGCATCCTGGAGGAAGTCACGGGGAACGCCATCCCGCGAGACGCGCCGGTGCCGACGGAACGCATCGAGTTCATCCGCATGGGGACCACGGTCGCGACGAACGCGCTGCTCGAGCGCGATGGCGCTCGGTCCGCGCTCGTCGTCACGCGCGGGTTCAAAGACCTCCTCGAGATCGGGAACCAGGCGAGGCCGGACATCTTCGACCTGAAGATCGAGCGCCCGTCGCGGCTGTACGAGAGGGTGTTGGAGGTGGACGAGAGAGCGCGCGTCCTGGACACGAGATCTCGCGCGAGCGATCGCGAAGCCGCTTCCGCCGCTTCAGCCGCCGCGGACGACGACGGCGCGGCGGGCGGCGTCGTCGTCGCCGGCGTGACCGGCGAGGATATCCTCGTCGAGCGCGCGATCGACCTCGAGGCGCTCAGGCCGCGGCTTCAGGCGCTCCTGGACGACGGGATCAAGTCGCTCGCGGTAGTTTTCATGCACGCGTACGCGTTTCCAAATCACGAGCGCGCCGCGGGCGATCTCGCGCGATCGATGGGGTTCGAGCGCGTGTCCACGTCGAGCGAGCTCGTGCCGATGGTGAAGATCGTGCCGAGGGGGCACACCGCGAGCGTGGACGCGTACCTCACGCCGTGCATTCGTACGTACTTGGACGCGTTTCTGTCCGGGTTCGACGACGGCTTGAAAGACGTCAACGTATCGTTCATGCAATCGGACGGCGGGCTCACCCCGGCGGGCTCGTTCAGCGGGTACAAGGCGATCCTGTCCGGCCCCGCGGGCGGGGTCGTCGGGTTCGCGCGGACGACGTCCGGGGAGGCGGACGGCGCGCCGGTCATCGGGTTCGACATGGGCGGCACGTCCACGGACGTGAGCCGGCACGACGGGGCGTCGACGGGGTTCGAGCAAGTCACTGAGGTGCGTTCTATACACTGGTCCCCATACGACCCCGTTCGCGTGGTGAACGCCGATCCTTAAGGACTTTTGCCGGCGTCTCTCTCCGCCCACCCCTCGCTTTCATTCCCCGCCCTCGACGCCTTTCAACTTCAACTGACGCCTTTGAACTCCACCCCGCCATTCGCTTGTATGGAACGACCCTGAGACGCGAACCGCGGGGGTGACGATTCAGGCGCCGCAGCTGGACATCACGACCGTCGCCGCGGGGGGCGGGTCGAAGCTGACGTTTCGATCGGGGACGTTTCGCGTCGGCCCGGAATCCGTCGGGTCGCAGCCCGGGCCGGTGTGTTATCGCAAGGGCGGGAAGGAGCTGTCCGTGACGGACGCCAACGCGCTGCTGGGGAGGGTGTCGCCGGCGTATTTTCCAAAGATATTCGGCCCGACCGAGGACCAGCCGCTGGATATCGATGCCGTTCGACGCGCGTTCGAGGCGGAGGCGGATACGATCAACTTCGAGCTCGGGTTCGACGGAAAAGACGATTCGAAGCCGAAGCTGACCCCGGAGGAAGTCGCGCTCGGGTACGTGCGCGTCGCGAACGAGGCGATGTGCCGGCCGATTCGCGAAATCACGGAGAGCAAAGGCGTCGAGACCGCGGCGCACGCGCTCGCGGCGTTCGGCGGCGCGGGGCCGCAGCACGCGTGCGCTATCGCGCGCGCGCTCGGCATGCGACGCGTGTTCGTGCACAGGTTCTGCGGGATCTTGTCCGCGTACGGCATGGGGCTCGCGGACGTCGTCGCCGAGGCGCAGCGGCCGTTCGCCGCGTCCGCGCTGTCCGAGGATGGGAGACGAGCGGCGCGGCGAGCGTCGGACGAGCTCAGAGCGCGCGTGGTGTCGGAACTCGCGGCGCAGGGCTTCGCGATGGACGACATCGCGACGGAGACGCTGCTGAACCTGCGGTACGAGGGCACGGACACGGCGATCATGACGTCGGGAGGAGAGCGACGACACGGCGCGGACGGCGGCGACGCGGGCGTCGATTTCGAATTCGATTTCGAATTCGAATTCGATTTCGATTTCGTCGCCGCGTTCGGCGAGCGCTTCCGCCGAGAGTACGGGTTCGACCTCGCCGGTTCCCGAGACGTCGTCATCGACGACGTCCGCGTGCGCGGCGTCGGGAGCGCGTCGCTGCTCACGCGCGTGCCCGTGGACGTCGCGAAGGACGACGAGCCGCTCCCCGAGCCGGACAGCGTCGCGGAGGTGTACTTCGAAGGCGGACTCGAGTGGACGAAGACGCCGGTGTTTCTCGCGGAGGCACTGAAGTTTAAACACGCGATCAGAGGCCCCGCGGTGGTGATGAACGGCACCTCGACGTGCGTCATCGAGCCCGGGTGCGTCGCGTCCGTGACCGAGTTCGGCGACCTTTCTATCGACGTGCACCCGACGCCCACCGCGGAGAGAGAAGAAGACGCGGAGACGGCGATCGAAGAAGAAAAAGACGAACCGACGCCCGAAGAAGAAGAAGAAGAAGAGGACGCATACCAATCCCCAGACGCGGTCCAGCTGTCGATATTCAACAACCGGTTCATGGGCATCGCGGAGCAGATGGGCCGAACGCTGCAGCGCACGTCCACGTCGACGAACATCAAAGAGCGTCTGGACTTCAGCTGCGCGTTGTTCGGCCCCGACGGCGGCCTCGTCGCCAACGCGCCGCACGTCCCCGTGCACCTCGGCGCGATGAGCAGCACGGTGAAGTGGCAGCTCGATCGGTGGAACGGCTCCGATGAACGCTCGCGATTGAACCCGGGGGACGTCCTCGTGACGAACCACCCGTCCGCGGGGGGGTCGCACCTGCCGGACATCACCGTGATCACACCCGTGTTTAGGGACGGCGAGTGCGTTTTTTTGGTCGCGTCGCGGGGGCACCACGCCGACGTCGGCGGGATGACCCCCGGGTCGATGCCGCCGTTCTCGAGAACGCTCGCGGACGAGGGCGCGGCGATCAAGACGTTCAAACTCGTCGAGGGCGGCGTTTTCATGGAGGAGGGGATCACCGCGCTGCTCACGAAGCCCCCGGACGGCAGCCCCGGGACGCGAAAACTACGCGACAACCTCAGCGACCTCGCCGCGCAAGTCGCGGCGAACCAGCGCGGTATCGCGCTCATCGACGAGCTCATCGACGAGCACGGTTTGTGCAAAGTCCAGGCGTACATGCGCCACGTCCAGGACAACGCGGAGCTCGCGGTGAGGGACACGGTGAGGGAGTACGCGTCGAGGCTAAAGCGCGAGCGTCCGACCGCGTCGGACGCGTCCGACCCCGAACACCGCGTGTCGCTCACCGCGGAGGACAAGATGGACGACGGAAGCGTCGTGAAGCTGACGCTGACGCTCGACACGCGCGACGGCAGCGCGGTGTTCGACTTCACCGGGACCTCCGACGAGGTGCGCGGGAACTGGAACGCGCCGCCCGCGGTGACGACGGCGGCGGTGATTTACTGCGTCCGGTGCCTCGTGAACCAGGAAATCCCTCTGAACCAGGGCTGCTTATCCCCGATCACGATCGTCGTCCCGGACGGGACGTTCCTGTCCCCGAACGACGGCGCCGCGGTCGTCGGCGGGAACGTCCTCACGTCCCAGCGCGTCACGGACGTGTGCTTCGCCGCGTTCGAGGCGTGCGCGAACAGTCAGGTGCGTTTATATTTACACTGGTCCCCATACGACCGCGTCGGCGTGGTGAACGCCGTTTCTTAAGGACTTCATCTCCCGGCGTGTCTCTCCGTCGCTCTCGTCCAATGAAACATCCACGTCATCAAATAACTAACCAATCACATCACTTCCCGCCACATCACCCACCAATCAAACGACCCTCAGGGGTGCATGAACAACTTGACGTTCGGGGACGACACGTTCGGATACTACGAGACGATCGGCGGCGGCGCCGGGGCTGGCCCGACGTGGGACGGCGCGTCAGCGGTGCAGTGCCACATGACGAACACGCGGATCACGGACCCGGAGATCATGGAGCGGCGGTACCCGGTGGTGGTGCGGCGATTCGCGATTCGCAACGGCAGCGGCGGCGACGGCGCGCGAAAAGGCGGCGACGGGATCGAGCGCGCGATCGAGTTTCTCGCGCCGGTGACCGTGTCCGTCTTGACCGAGCGAAGGGTGTTCGCCCCGCGCGGCGCGCGAGGCGGCGGCGACGGCGCGAAGGGTCTGAACACGCTGACGAGGAGGAGGAAGGACGACGGCGGCGGCGGCGACGGCGGCGAGGAAAAGGATATCGGCGGAAAGAACACGGTGACGGTGTGCGCGGGGGACGTGCTGACGATACGCACCCCGGGCGGGGGCGGGTACGGGGAGAAGACGACGCGGGCGCGGGAGACGCGATAGACGATCAGACGGCGGCGAGCGGCGAGGGAGAGGCGCGGCGAGAGGGGCGACTCGATCGATCGGCTTTTTAGGGCCTAGCTTTTTGTCGGCCAAAAAAGTAGACACGTGAGAAAGTGAGATGGACTTTCGACACCAGCGAACCGACGGATCTCGGGTGCGAAGGGACCTGAAGGGGCACCGAGATTTCGAGATCGCTGAGTAGTTTTTACCGTACGATTTCGTACGCGTTTCAGTCACGCGAAAACGCGCGTAGGAGACTGAAAATGTGGTCAGCGGCGACTTGTGATCCGCGGCTGCGGCGGCGCGTCCCTTCGGGCTCTCGCGGCTGCGGCGCGCCCCAACTGCAGAAAAAGTAAATGTTCCTTTCCCGCCGCGTCCGCCGATTGCGGCGGGTACAAGTCGACCGCGCGCGCGTGGCGACGAAGTCCAACCCGCCGCCGACGCGCCGACCGCTTTCAGGTCGATCGAGACTCGCATCTCGACGCGCGTCCGCTCGGGGAACTTTCGCGACTTTCCACCACTCGCGAGAGAAGGCGCGGCTCCGAAAAGGGCTCGCCGCTGATCGATCGCCCTACCACCCCTGATCATCAAAGGTACGTACGGCATCATGGCGGCCCCTCCCGAGGAGCTCAAGATCCACGAGAAGGACATCGATGACGTCATCGCTGAGATGCAGACGGACAAGGTCAAGGGCCTGACCGCCGCGGAGGCCGCGAAACGACTCCTCGAGGACGGCCCGAACGAGCTCGAGAAGCCGCCGCGCGTCTCCCTGCTCGTGCTGTTCCTCATTCAGCTCAACTCCGTCATCATGTACCTGCTCATGGGCGCGGTCGTCGCGTCCGCGGCGATCAAGGCCACGGGCGACGACAAGGACCAGTTCCTGTCGTACATCGACTCCATCGCGATCACGATCATCGTCTTCATCAACGCCTCGATCGCGGCCAAGGCGGAGAACAACGCGAACGACGCCCTCGAGGCGCTCTCCTCGCTTCAGGCGCCAATCTCGACGTTGATCCGCGACGGAGAAGAGATCAGGGTCGAGTCCAGCGACATCGTCCGCGGCGACCTCGTCAAGCTCGGCACCGGCGACGTTGTCCCCGCGGACGTCCGCTGCATCACCGCGAACGACCTGCGCGTGAACGAGATGCTCCTCACGGGCGAGCCCGAGGATGTGGCCAAGTCCACCAAGGTGAAGCCGCGCGTTCCGGGGCATCCGGAGAAGCTCACCGCGGATAACATGGCGTTCTCGTCGTGCAACGTGAAAGCGGGCGCGTGCCTCGGCCTGGTCGTCGCGACCGGCATGCGCACGCGCGTCGGCACGATCGCGGCGCTTCTCAACGCGACCGGCGACGACGACAAGGGCCCCGAGCCGACGGAGGAAGAGATCGCGTCGGGCGCGGCGCCTAAACCGAAGAAGAAGAAGGAACCGTGCCTCCCGGACACCAAGTCGGGGCAGTCGCCTCTGCAGGAGAACCTGGAGAAGCTCGCGGTGAAGCTCGGATACATGGCCATCGCGGTGTGCACCGTCGTGTTCATCGTCGGCGTGTCGCTGAACACGAAGGACCCGGAGGACCAGGACACGCCGTCGTGGCTCTTCATGATTCTCGTCGCCGTGACGCTCACCGTGGCGGCCATCCCGGAAGGGCTCCCGCTGTGCGTCACGATCGCGCTCACGTCCGGGTGCGCGGAGATGGTCAAGGAGAACGTTCTCGTGAGGAAGATCGCCGCGGTCGAGACGCTCGGCTCCGCGTCCATCATCTGCACGGACAAGACGGGGACGCTCACCGAGGGAAAGATGACGCTCGTCGCGATGCACGCCGGCGGCGTCGATTACACCGTCACCGGCAAAGGGTTCGACCCCACGGTCGGGAAGATCACCACGTCCAACGGCACGGACGCGTCCAACGACGCGCCGATCCAGGCGACCCTCGGCAGCGCGGTCCTGTGCTCGAACACGTCGCTCAAGCTCGAGACGGACGTCGAGACGGGGACGTCCAAGTGGACGCCGCGCGGGAACTCGTCCGAGGCGCCGCTCGTCGTCGCCGGCCAAAAGGTTGGCATCAAGCTCGAGGACCTCGAGGACGCGCTCGAGCGCACCGCGGAGATTCCGTTCTCGTCCTCGCGCAAGATGATGGTCACGGTCACGAAGACGGTCAAGCAAACCCCACTCGCGCACGTCGCCAAAATTGGCGAGCAGACGGCGCACGTCAAGGGCGCGCCCAACTACATCATGGAAAAGTGCACCAAGTACATCACCGCGGACGGCTCCGTTAAACCGCTGGACGACGCCGTCAAGAAGAAGATCATGTCCACCGTGGACGATCTCTCCGAGCAAGCGCTTCGCGTCCTCGCAGTCGCGACGAAGAACGTCGGCGGGAAGCTCCCGTTTGACTCGGAGCAAGACACGGACGTCAAGTTCGCGAAGCTCGTGAACGATCTCACGTTCTGCGGTCTCTGCGCGAGCATCGACCCGGAGAGAGACGGCGTCAAGGACGCGGTCAGGACGTCCAAGGTGGCGGGCGTGAGGGTCGTCATGATCACCGGCGATTACCTCAAGACGGCGATCGCCATCGCGAAGAACATCGGCATCCTCAACGCGAAGACGTTTACGGAGGACAACGGCGAAGCGACCGACTGCAAAGCGCTTCGACCGGAGAAGGACACGGAGTACGCCTCGAGCGATAAGATCGACGCGCTCACGCGCACGACGTCGGTTTTCGCGCGCGCGAAGCCCGAGGACAAGCTCGAGATTGTCAAGTCGCTGCAGCGTCAGGGCTGGGTGTGCGCGATGACGGGCGACGGCGTGAACGACGCGCCGGCGCTCCAACGCGCGGACATCGGCGTCGCGATGGGCCTGGAGGGCACCGAAGTCGCGAAGGGCGCGTCCGACATGATCCTCACGGACGACAACTTCTGCTCCATCGTCAAGGCGATCGAGAAGGGACGCATCATCTACGCCGGCATCCAAAAGTTTGTCGCGTTTATCATGTCCGTGCATTTCGCCGAGGTTGTGCAAATCTTCCTCTGCATCGTGTCGTCCATCCCGGTGATGCGTCAGCCTCTGCAGATTCTGTTCCTCATCCTCGTCACGGACCTCCCGCCGTCGATCGCGCTCGGGTTCGAGCCCGGAGAGGACCTCACGATGAAGCGCTCGCCGCGCCCGAAGACGCAGCCCGTCGTCCAGATGTGGATGTGGCGCGGCATCGTCATCAACGGGATGATCCTCACCGTGTGCATCTTCTGCACCTACCTCATCGCGCTTCACGCGTACGCGGGCGCCTTCCTCACGGACGACATCACGGACACGTCGCGGTCGTCGTGCAGCATCTGGCCCTCCACGGGCGCGATGACGCCTTCGCTCAAGTTGGACTGCACGACGGATGACTGCAAGCGATGCATCACGACGTCCATTCGCCGCGCGAGGACGACGGCGTTCATCGCGCTCGTGTACGCGGAGAACTTCCGCGCGTACTGCTCGCGGAGTTTCGAAAACGGCGTGTGGGTCAAGCCGTTCAGCAACATGACGATGAACAAGGCGATCATCTTCGCGCAGCTCGCGTTGTACTTCGCGCTCTTCTGCCCCGGTTTGAACGAGTCCGTGCTGGGGTTGTACGTGTACGAGATTCACGGTTTCGGCTGGTTCCTCGCGGTCATGGGGTCGCTCGCGTGCTTGGTCGGGTGCGAGATTTACAAGAAGATCGCCGGCCAGTTCATCAAGTACGAAGAGCTCGCGGACTTCAAGGACCCCGAGGACGAGGCCGGTCCGGACGCCGTGAAGATCGACGTCCAGTGATGATGACGACGATGACGACGAGTAAAAATTGGGAGAAGTTTTGAGGAGGCGGAACGGGAGGAGGAGGAGCGAGAAGAAAAGAGCGGCGATGTGTCAAGGGTGCCGCACATCTGCGAGTTGGTGCCGCACTGCGATATCATACTGTACGACGACGGTCCCCCCCGACGGACGACGACGTTAGTCTCGTGGGTGGTTCCTTGCAAATAAATTCTTTGAATAAAAATCAAACTCTCTGTTGGAAAACGACGACGCGACGCGGTCGAACGCGTGCGCGGAGGCGCGCTCTGACGCGAGAGAACTGAGATCTCCGGATCGCGAATCTGATTTCCCCGGGCGCCGCGCCGCTCCGCCAGCTGTGTGTCCAGCAGTCGTCGTCGGCCGTTATCCGCCGCCACTCCGCCGCGCCCCGCCCCGTCGCGCGGACGCGACGCCTCCTCCCCACCTCGGGACGCGACGCCCCCTCCGACGCCCCCTCCGATGTCGTCGACGGCGCGCGTCGTCTCCGCCGCCGCGCCGTCGACCGGGCGGTCGTCGTCGACCGCGACGTCGTCGTCGTCGTCGTCTCGACGCGGCGGATCGACCATCGCGCGCGCGGTCCAGCCTCCGTCGTCGACCGCGAACAAGACGTCCATCGCCGCGGAGATCGTCGGCGCGGTCCTGAAGTTCCCGCCGCTGTGGGAGGCCGCGAGCAAGGGCGCGAAGGAGAAGATGATCAAGCGCGCGGGCGACCTCGGCGTTGACTGGCAGCGCGAGGTCGAGTCGCTCCGATGCGCGACGGACTGGGAGAAAGCGCTCGCGGACGCGACGGACGACGCCGTCCTCGCGAGCACGCCGGCGTACTACAAGACGTCCTTCCACGCGTACCCGGAAGGCAACCTGGGCTGGGCCCCCGCGCACGAGGTCGAGGTCGCCGCGGTCGCGGTGCACGCGGTGACGTTCTCGGACGACGGGAAGACGCTCGACGCGAACGGCGACGAGATGCTCCGACGCGGGTACCACGATGCGCAGGCGTTAGGGATGAACGCGATCGGCGGGCCGGACGTTCGCGCGAATAGTATTCGCACGATCGTCGACGTCGGGTGCTCGTCCGGGCTGAGCACGCGGGAGCTGGTGCGCGCGTTCCCGGACGCGACGCGCGTGGTCGGGATCGATCTGTCGCCGCATTTCATCGCCGTCGCGCGTCACGCGCTTGCGACGCGACGCGACGGCGACCCCCCGGGGTGGGGGGTCGGGATCGGGGTCGACGTCGACGGCGACGGCGGCGACGACCACGGCGGGAATAAGGTTTCGTTCGCGCACGCCGCGGGGGAGCGGCTGCCGTTCGAGGACGGCTCCGTCGACCTCGTGAGCTCGTGCCTCGTGTTCCACGAGCTCCCGTCCGACGCGGCGGCGGCGGTGATCGCCGACGCGTTCAGGGCGCTGCGACCGGGCGGGTACTTCACGATGATGGACATGGACCCGACCGCGCCCGCGTTCGAGCGGATCGCGAACAACGTCTTCGCGTTCACGGCGTTTAAAAGCACGGAGCCGTACTTGGAGCAGTACGCGAGTTTGGACGTGCAGGACGTCGTTCGAGCCGCCGGGTTCGAGGCGCGCGTGGAGACGCTGCCGAGTTCGCCGCGGCACCGGACGATCGTCGCGCGGAAGCCGTGCGCGTGATGATGATAGGGCGGAGGAGACGCGATGGTTTCTGTAGTAGTTCGACGTGCCTTTCGATGTCTTATTTCATTCGTCCTCTGCTCTGCTGATGAAACTCGCGTCGTTCGTCGTCATTCGCCCTCGCGCCCACTCGCACGCGGCGATGCGTCGACACGCCGCGGCGGCGGGTTCGTCGTCGACGGCGTCGCGGGCGTTTCTTCGCTACCTTCGCGGCGATGGCGTCGAGGCACTTGCGACCGTCGCGCGCGACGCCGCCGCCGCCGCGAGGCGCGCGCTCGCGACGACGACGACGCGCGATTTGACATCGGAGGACGCGCCGTCGACGTCCTGGCGCACCGTTCGCGCGTCGCCGTGCGTCGCGTCGTGGCGCGGGTTCGCGGCCGCGGGCGCGCGTCGCCCGGCGGGCGGCGGGTACGGCGGAGGGCGCGGAGGGGGCGGGCGGGCGCCCGGGACGCCGTTCATTCCCCAGCGGGTGAACTCGGAGCTGAAGGCGGCGAGGAGCGCGGACGCGATTCTGTCCATCGTCGCCGCCGGAGGAGAGCGTCTCGATTTCATCCACGTCGCGACCGCGGTGAACACGCTCTGGAAGGTCGCGAACGCGCGCGACAACCTCCGCGGGGACCCGAGGTACGCGCGTCTGCTCGAGCTCGTGC